GAGAGGACTCGCAGAGGAAGTGAGGCCTCAGCTGAGCTCTGAAGGATGACCAGGGGTTCCCCGTGGGCAGAGGGCCAGACCCTACCGTTGGGTGGTCCAGGGAGTCCGGGGAACGGAATGGAGGCCGGTGCAGCTAGGACCCAGGGTGCAGGCAAGGAGGGGAGCTGGAGCCCCAGCAGGGCCCGGGAAGGGGGATTCCTGGAGGCCCCTGCAGCCCAGGACCCCCAAGTCCACCAGGACTTGGGCCTCAGCAGCCCAGCCTGCCTCACCATCAGCCAGGTCCAAACGTCCACCCAACGGAGCTCACCTCAGCAGCCACCGCTGAGCTCGGCCACCCCACCCCAGGCACCGAGGGACAGTCCCCAGGGTCACTGAGAACTCAGCCCCTTCCCTTAGCACCAAACCCTACTTTAGTCTCCCCCTGCCCAGCCTGGGGCTCTCTCTCTGTCCTGCACGGAGCCTTCCACACAAGTCCCAGCCAAGTCCCAGCTAAGGCCCAGCCCCATAGCTGGTACCCAGCTTCTGACCCAGCACCCAGACAGCTGTCAGAGTGTCCTAAAACCCAGTCTTGATGTCTTTCTCTCCTTCTCTCAACAACCCCTTCCCCCACCAACACAGGCACCAGTTAAACACCTTTCCTGGCCACGGATACGTTTAGTGGGGCCTGCTGTGTGCCAGTCTGGCTGGCACTGGGATACAGCACCAGGTGGGTCCCTGCCTTCTGGCCGCCAATCAGACTAGCGGACCAGACAGATGTGAAGCACATACATTTCGCATTACAAACCTCACAATTCGGTGAGGTTGTGTTGCATCAAGGGGATGGGTAGTGTTATGGGAGTGTCGGCTCTGAGCTCTCTGCAGACCAGCCCCCATCTGCTTTTCCAGCTCTGTCTCCTGTGACCCACACCGCCACACCTCCACTCACAATAGGCCCCCCCACCAGAATGCCCTCTGTGTCTGCCCGTCATTCCAGGCCCCGCTCAAAGGCCACCTCCTCCCCAGAGCCTTCCCTGAGCCCCTGCCCAGAGTCCATCATCCCGCTTCCCCCACAGCTGGTCCAAGATCCCTGTTTCCACTAGGTTAGAAGTTTCTTTTCTTATTTTTAGGATTTTTTAAAGTCATCTCTGCGCACAGCGTGGGGCTCAAACTCACGCCCTGAGATCAAGAGTCTTGTTCTCCATCCACTGAGCCAGCCAGGTGCCTCTGGCTGGAAGTTGCTTAAAGGTAGGATTCTCACCTTTATTATCTCCACACACCTGCAAATGCTGTGTATATAGCATGTGCTTACTGCTTGTCAGACGCCAAGGAGAACATGTCGCCCGACTTGGGTGCAAGTCTTGGACGCGCCTGGCCCTCCCTTTTGTTCTCCTTCCAACCCCCGTCCTGCCAGGGATTCTGCTAGGAAGGGCCTCTCTGCGCCCACCACCACACCCGTGAGCACAACCTCAGCGCCCCCTGAGCCAGGAACACAGGTGCAGGGCTCCACTTGCTTTCTGGGGCCTCTCTGGTCCAGGATGGTGGGCAGCCAACGCTCCCTCCTCCAGAGCTGGGGGCCAGCCCCACACTCGGCTTGCCTTGGAACCCAGGGAGCCCCAGGGAGTGACAGCAACACAGCCCTCCTCCGCCCTTCCCAACTCATCCTCCGCCCATCCCATCACCCGGGCCCCAGCCGGCTTGCCAGCCTGCTCTGAAGCCCTTGCCTGTGGGCTCGGGGTCCAACTGCCCCCCCATAAGCCCCCATCTCCTGCCCGCCCCACCCCACAGACAGTTGGGGACGGAAGGAAATCCAGAACAAGGCAGGAGGCAAGAGTCGTTGCGAGGGTCCACCTTCCCTCCACTAAGAAAGGACAAGCAGCCTGGCATCTTTCCAAGGCCTCGCCGCCGCTAGCCTCCCCTCTTCAGCACACGATGGACAGGGCCTGCAAACACAACGACCATCACCCCCTTTGAGCCTTCCCTGACTTCGAGCCCCCTACCCACTCTGCCCATCTCTGCTCCCTTTCCAGCAGAGCTCTGGAAGAGGGAAGTGAGGGGTTGTGCTAGAGTGCCCTGGGCTCTGCGGTCCTCCTCCCAGACAGGTGGGCTTAGACCAGAGACCCCACCTCTGCACTCCTGTGAGGCCCTTGTGGGGCCTCATGAGGACGCGGGAAGTACGTCCACCTCCACGTGTGATTCCCACTCCCTCCCCAGCCCTCTGCCACCCTGCCACCCACCCTGCCCAAGCAGCCCTCAGCAAGGCACAAAGACCCAAGGCTGGTTCCGTCCTCTAGCCACGCGCCCAGGGCTCTGACCTGAGAGTGCTCTGGCCCCCCTCCCCCACTGGTCTGCCCAGAACCAGCCAGCCCTCCTCTTCCCTTTATGCCCTCCTCCTGCCTCGGTGACCCCCAGGACCTGTCGCTTGCTGATCACTCCCTAGTCCGACAGCCCCGCCCCGCCCTTGGCTCCAGATCAGCAGACCCAGATGCCTACCCCACACCTCCTCTTAGATGCTAACAGGCACCCCCCAGGGCCCCCAATAGCAAATCCCTCCTCCACGCCTGCCCCCCCTCAGCACACGGCATTAATTGGGCTGCATAAGCCAAGAATCGGGGCTGCTAGGGGCTTCTCTGTTCCCTCTCTCACCTGCCTTCCCGTTGGTGATGGCTCTAAACACAGCCGAAACGGGACCCCCTCTCACCACCTGCACACTGAACCCCAACCCAGGCCACCACCCCCACGCCTCCTCTTGCCCCCACATACTTCAGGCCCTTCTCACTGGCCAAAGCCTCCAGCAGCCCCCCAGAGCATACTCGTGGAGACTAAACCCCAAACCTGGCAGTAAGGACCTGTGAGGACCCTGCCTCCCGACCCCCCCACCCCAGCTTCCAGCTGCTTCCCCCCCACCGCCCCCCACCCAGCAGGTCTCTCCAGGATGCACTTTCCCAACCCTGTGGCTCAAGCCAACCCCGCCTGCCCTGGTCTCGATTAACCACTGGTTATTTCCTTCCTAATACCCACTACTACCTCACATTCCGGTACTTGGGGGCTGACGGCAGTCTTCCGCAAGAGAATGAGGAACACGCAGCCACCGGCCATCTGTGAAATGACCGGGTCCTCACAGTCCATGGCCGGAGTAGCGTTACGCCCACTTTCCTGACTAGGAAGCCTGGCTTCCCCAATTAGGGTCTCCCAGCTGGTAAGTGACACAGCGGGCCTGAAGTTGGCTCGGGGGCGGGGGGGAGCTCGCTTGAGGCAGGGCTCCCCGCCACCAGGTCGGCAAGGCCTCCGAGGCCAAGAGAAGGGCCAAGGGCTCATCCTCCGAGTTGGGGGAAGTTGGGGACCACTCACCTACAGACACAAGCCCACGAACAGGTGTGTGTCCGCCTCAGGTACGACGGCCCCCCGACTCCCAACTCCGGCACGATAGGGACAGAAGGGTTGGGGGAGGACAACACAGAAAGTGCACTCCACACGCCACAGCAGCCTGGCTCGCAGCAAAGTCGGGTCCAAAGGCTCTCCCATCAAGCCTGGAGTCCAGAAGGGCTGCCTTCTAGAAGGGCCGGGGTGACCACAGGCGTCTGCTCCGAGCCAGGCCCTGGGCTGAGGACCTCACATCCTTCACTCACTCCTGGCCGGCACCCGGTGACGGTCCCCACTGTGCAGATGAGGAAGCCAAGGCTCAGAAAGATTCTGTAACTTACATCCAGCTGGGGGTGGGGACAGCCAGGACCCGCCAGAGCCTGCTTGGGCGACCGCTGCATGTTCACTGGCTGCCCAGGGAAGGCTCGGCCCAGATGCCGCTGAGCCAGCCAAGCCCCAGACACCAGGGCCTGCAGGAAGGGGACCTGACAGGGAGACAAACAGGCACGTGCAGAAGGAATAAACAGGTGGCATGAAAAGACACACCTCACACGGGTGACAGGTGCAAAACAGAGGCTTTAATCCAAACAGCAATGAAGGCGCATGGGACTGGAGGGGCACAAGGAGGACAGGGCAAGAGGAGCCAGGAAGGCGGTGGTCTGGACCCTGGGAGGGAGGCCAGCACTGGGCCTCTCCTAGGAAAACGATTTCCATGACTCTAGTGGTTCCCGTCCTGGCCTCTGCCCAGGCCATCGGCCCAGATGTGAGGGTCAAGCCCCTGAATTGTGCTTCTTGGGAGCTCCTCCTTCCCAAAGGGATGTGAACCCGGACAGAGGGTGGGGGTAGTGGAGAAAGGCGGGCCTGGGCTTGAGCCAGGGAGGGCCTGCAAGAGGCTAGCCCAAAAGCCTAGAAAAAACTCAGGACTTGGCATGCCAGCAACCCCTCACCCAGCCCAGCCCCTGCCAACCCAGACCCAAACCTGGGCTTGGGGAAGGGGAACATGGCTGCCTTGTCCTGGAGAGCCAGTCGGTGAAGTTCAGGGAGAGGGGAGGATGGGGGGGTTGCTGCTGAGTGCTCCAGTAGCCCCTGACCCACTGCCCTGAAGGGCAGGGAAACAGGGCCAAAGGGCCCTGGAGAAGCAGCAGCGAGGAGGGAGCAGAAGCTAAGATTCATGAGGAATCCAGGTTCCCCACAGGCCCAGTGGGCCCCAGCCCCTCCCTGTCTCAGCCACCCCCTCCCAGCCTGAGAAACTTTGGAAAGGCAGGCCTCACAGGGTCAGCCAGTGAGCAGGCCCTGTACCCAGTGCCTACCCAAAGGGCAGCTTCCAGAGGCCACCCCGGTAGAGGGTGGCAGGAGTGGTTATGGCCAGAAAACCCAGCAGAGCCAAAGGGCAAAGAACAGAGAAGCCAGGATGAGGCGCTAGACACAGGCACCAGCAGGCCCAGGGGCCGATGCTCTTTGGTCCCCGAGCCCACCCCAGGCTGGCCACCAGCCTCAGCCTGCAGCCTTCAGAACCCCCAGACGCCCACCCAAACATGGCTTCAGAAACAGACCCACCCCCCGGGAAACAACCGCTCCAACCCCTAAGAAGGCAACAGGACCTGGGAAAGGAAAGCAAACCGCAACCCCTTTCCCCTCCCAGTGGGGCAGACCAGCCCAGGTCTTGAGCCAGACGGGACGGGAAAGGAGGAGAGGAAGGCCAAGCGCAGGACTGGGGCCCGAGCACACCCACCCTCCCCGCCATGGGGAAACGGGCCCCACTTTGGTCACTTCTCCCTTCACTTTGGGTCCTACACCCTTATGCCCTGAGCCTCCCTCAACCCCGCACTCACCGCCCACCCCAGCAAACAGCCTCTCAGCAAACAGAAAGAACAGGGGGAGGGGTCAGGGAGTGACTGGAGCTGGGGCAGGGGAGGGCAGGCACAGGAACGGTGGCGGCCCGGGTGGCTCTGGCTGCTCCGCCCCTAGCATGAGGTGACTGGATGGATGGGCAGCAGGCTCCCGAACTTGAAGTGCTGGATCACAGGAAACTTCTCCAGGCACTGTGAAGGGGAGAAGGGGGAACAGAGGTAAGGACGACACTGCACCCATCAGGGGCCCACTCAGCCTCTGGGGCTTCCAAGGGACCCGGGCACAACTCTGGAGCCTCAGAGCAGCATGGTACCCAGAAAGCATCCACCCAGAGCCCAGCAAGGGGGCCATCCAAGGGGAGCTCTCAGCCCTTCAGGGCAAGGCAAGGCTTCCTACCTGCTTCTGACCACCCTCTCCTATCCAAAGACCGCCCCCCCCCACTCCATGACAATCAGACCCACCAAATAATGAGTGAGTGAGGGAGAGGGAGAAAGGAAAGGAAAGAGAGGGCAGCCCAACCTCATTGGGGGGAGGGGGGATATGGGGGAGGGCAGGAAGTTGGGGACCAGAGACGAAAAGAACCTTCCAGGCCATAAGGGAGCCCCCTAGCCCAGGTCCTGGTCCTGGAGGAGAGGTGTGGTGACATTTGGATACAAGCCTAAGAAGGGTCCAAGACCCATTTTTCTGCAATTTTCAGTTCTCTGGACTGAAAAAGACACCTTGGCTGGCACTTCGCAGTCAGAGAGTAAGAACCAGTTAACGTCCCCCAACCCCCAGGGCAACCCCCAGCAGCTCTGTGCGTGGGGCAGATGACAAGAACACCCAACAGGAATGGCCTGACTCCCTGAACCCAGGCCAGACGGGACCTCAGCCCAGGGCTCCGGGGGAGACAGGGAAGTTGGCAGGGGCTGCCTGGCACACAGGCAGCTGGGCCCCAGGCCACACACCTCTGCCCTCTGACCCAGGCATGGCTTAGCACCACCTGGGACCAGAAAAGGGAGGGAGGGCCCCAGCTCCCAGCCTCCCTACACCAGTCCTGCTGTGCCTCACACAGGCCGGGTCATTGCTAACTCTCAGGCAGCAGCTCCCGGCAAGCGCGGATCGCCTTCTCTCATACCTTTGACCACGGAAAACCACCAGAATGGCTGGGTTGAAACAGGACCTACAGCTTCAGATAGGGCGAGTCCTGCTCTGTGACTGTGGTCTCAGCCTCCTCCTAACTCAGGAGGACAAAGGTGTGCCACAACTGGCCCAGGCCCCCTCGCTTCAACAACCAGCTGCAGAAACGAGGAGGTCTTGACTAGCTGTGTGTATGTCAAGTGGGGGACAGTCAAGGCCTAAAGGGGGCCCAGGAGCTGAGCAGGAAAAGGACAATCTTTCCATGCGATGGAAGAAGGACACAGAATGAAGCCCAGTGTGGGAGCTGAGCTCCAGGCCACAGGCAGACTGCGGGGCCTGGAACGGAAAAAGTTGGGAGCAGGCAGGAGCGGGGTCCCTGGGGTGCGGGGAGGAGGAACAGCAGAGCTCCAGGCCAGAGGCAAAGGCAGCTGCCATTGTGCTTATGTCATCAAGGAAGTGGTGGGAGTTTGTAAAAGGGGGCCCCCAGGGCCCTGGAATTCCAGAAAGGGTCAAAGGTCACCCTGCTTCTAGCTCTCACTCAAGAGAAGCTGCAAAGGCCAGAGGCTTAGCAGGAGGGGGCAGGGGCATTTCTCTGCACTCTGCCTTGGGGACCCAGAACAAGTCCCCCCAGGGCCCCAGCAAAGGAGAGGAACTGGGCTCAAGGTAAGAGGCTACCTGGGGCAAAGGCAGGCCAGGGCTGCAGGACAACAGCAACAGTGGAAGGGAGCCTCTGGGCAGGCTTTCTCCCAGCTAGCCTTGGTGGGGGGCGCCAGTGGACAGGGCAGAGGGGCGTCTTGGGCTCAGCTCACCCAGCACAGACCTTCCAGCTGGAGGCCCAGATCTGGAGGCCCTTCCAGGTGCCCGTGTTTCAAGGGGGAGAAGGGGTTCTCCATGCCGTGACAAGGCCCTCCGGAAGGGAGCACCAGCAGGGACAGCCTTCGGGAAAGACAGGCCCCGCCAGCCATAAGGGTATTGAACATATTTCCTCCTCACTTCAGAAAGGCAGGGGCAGAGATGCACACAGCAGGTCCCAAAACCTGAGGCCACCTAATGCCAGGCCTGGTCAGGCCTCTGTGGCAGCTCAGGGGACCAACTGTCCTCCAAGAGCCAACTCTGGTGGCCCTGACCTTGCTAACCCTGCTCCGAACTTCAAGACTCGTGGGTCCTGCCCACTGACTGAGAGCTAACCTGAAAACAGGAGTCTTTTCCCTGGGATCTCTGGGAAGGGGGCAGGCAATCCCCCGGGCTCTCAGGGGCCAAAAGACCAAGGGGTACCCACTAGAACCTTACAAACGAGCGCCGAACATCACAAAGATGCGGGGTTCCTAAACCCGCAGTCAGGGGCCCCAGCGCCGTCCTACAGAGGAGTCTGGTCGCCACATAGCCCCCCACAAGACTGCCAGCCCACACCATGCCTGTTCGCACGCAGAGTTGCAGCTTCCCCCGGGTTTGGGAAGGGCACGCAGGGGTCCCCTGGGGACCCCCCCGTTCTGGGCCTGAGCTGCAGGGCCCACGGTGCCGCAGCCGCAGAAATCCCAGAACTGCTCTAACTGTTCTCTTTTGTTCCTGAGACTGCGGCGCCGTGAGGAACCCTAGCCCATCAGGCGGGAGCTCTGCAAGGGGAAGGTAGGGGAAGGAGGCTGGGGCTCCTGCTCTGCCCTGAGGGCCCACCCGTCCCGCCCAGGATAAGTTTCCAGTGAGTCATTCGAGGGAGAAGCCATGCAGGAAGGGTAGCACTTCGGACCCCAAGCAGGAAAGGCCCAGAGCCCTGGCCTCCAGGAGTCCTGGCCGTGGCAGTGGCAGCCGGGAGCAGGGCTGGGAGGCCGGAGGGGCCAGGCGCTCCACTCATGCTGCACACAGCCCCCAGCAGTAGGGAGGGGTTCCCCATCGGCACCCACTAGGGGACTGGCGGGGACAGGTGGGGGGTGTGTCAGGAACAATAGGACACCCAGAGGGCAGTGCCCCGGGAGCTCTCCAGGCAGGAGACAGCCGGACTGGAGGGCCCAGTGGGCCAGCCCGGAAGGAGCGGAAGGGGCGAGCGGCAGGGCAGCCCGTGCCTCTCAGATTAGAGAGGTATGTGGGCTGGAACCTAAACACAGGATGTGAAGTCCAGAGGAAGGGGACCAGAGGGGGAGGGGGCGGAAGGGAGAGAGAGGGCCAGGCCCGGTCAGTTCCAGCGCCATTAACCCCTTCAAGGCCATGTAGAGGAAACAGGGCCAACTGGAAGCATCTATACTACCAAACCACAGCCAAGCCTCCAATGCCCTCTTCTCCCAGCGCCCCCTGCCTCCATTGATGGGGTCTGCGTTAAGCGCGGAGCATAATGAAGTAGACCCAGAGAACCACCCCCCCCCTCCGTGGGAGAGGGATGGCCAACCGTCAGGAAGGAGATGGACATGGGGCAACATCAAAGACCACCAGCCTGAGGCAGAAAGAGGGGACTTAGAGAACTCGTGACTCTGGGTGAAGGACTTCACATGGAGGCCCTTCCCTGGCCAAGGTCGCGCAGCTCTGGCATTGGTGTGCACAGATGTGAAAGGAGCTAGCGGAAGGGACAGGATGGCAAGAAAATGTCTCCTCCCTACTTGGTGGGGAAAAGGTGCCAAAGGGGAAAGAGGGCAGAGGACGCCCTCAGGAGCTGGGCAGCGAACTCCCAGCAGGGGGAGCTCAGGGAACCGACGTCCTCACCCTGTTCTCCCACCAGAGAGCAGGAGGACCACCTGAAGTGGTTGCCAGAAATGTCAGCTCTGGGCCTTCCGGGAGACGCCCACCTGCCCAGGGATCAGACCCACCAACGCCTGAGGAGAACCAACCTGGCCGCTGCCTCCAAAGCCCGTCCGCCTCCATGTCCCCGTGGGAGACACGGCTGTGAGGGGCCTCTGGCCATCTGACAGGGCCCTGAGTTGCAGGGCCTTGACTCGGTCACAGGGCAGAGCCGGGCCTCAGCCCAGAGATTCTCTGGGTGCCCATCCCACACACCGAGAGAGACTCTGAGGCCTGCAGCGTCAGAGGAGCTGGCCCAAGATTTGCAGCAAGGCAGCAGGGTGCGGGGTGCGGTCGGCAGCCCCAGGATCAGGAGCGCCGGCCCACCCTTCTCACCTCGGCCTTGTACATGCGGATCAGACCCTGGTTCACCTTGGACCAGGAGGGCACAGCGCTGATGTTCCACAGCTGGTTGGAGTGCTCTGCAAAGGGGCCTGTCTTCATCTGGAAAAGAGAATCCACAGCTGGAGAGGCAGGCCACCTGGGAGCTCATCCCCGGATCCCAGCAGCAAGGTCGCGCACGTATGTGTACACGTGTGTGCACGCACTAAAGCACACACGTGCACGCGTATATGTGCACACAGACACTCACACGTGCGCGTGTATGCTCGAGGACTTGGATGCACTATCTGGGAGGGAGGGGACACACACACATGCACACGCGTGCACACAGAGGCACCCGTAAGCATCAGAGACGTTCTCTCAGTCTGAAAGACCCACAGGGAAAATATAACCTCCAGGGTCATCCTCTTTCTTCCACAGCCAAAAAAAAAGGGAGCCCGATTCCCACCACCCACCACATTCAGCAGCCTCAGAAAAATGAAATCTCAACCCAAGCCCCAGCTGGGACTCCCAGCAATGCCCCCGCAGCCGCAGAGCGCCCCACCAGCACAGGGACCTGCTCCCGGTCTGATAGAGAGCAGCATCAGCCTCCCCGGCCCTCCCCGGCCCCACACGCAGGGCAGGCTCTGCCCCCCCGGGACTCGGGCTGTACCTGCCACAGGCGAAGCTGCAAGAGCCAGGGGAGGGGGTGGGTTTGGGCGAAGGGCAAGGTGGGGAAGACCAAACCCAGGCATCCAACTGCCCTCTGCAAGGCAGGCAAAAGGGAGGGAGGAAAAGAGGGGGCAGACATGAGCCGTGAGCCAGGGGCACCTGCAGCAGATTTGGGAGGAACGTCTGTTCTGGAAAGCCCGCCCGACCTGGCTGGGAGGTTAGGAAGGGATGGCACTGACAGCAGCAAGGGACAGGCTGGAGCAAGGACAGCTCCATTCCTGTCCCTCCTCTTGCCAGAGAGTTTGACCCTCCAGGAAGGAAAGAGACTCTGCAGCCAGCCCAGTGACGTTCCCACGACAGGAGAAACCGCAGCCTGAGACAGGGAGGCCCTCCGCACCAGGCCGGCACATCTGTAGCTCGCAGGCATTTCAATCCCCCTCAACACTGCCCTCCTCAACTCCGAAACAGTACTGACGCTGGCTGCAGGAATGGAGCTCAGCACCCTGAGCCCCAGGCTTCAGAAGAAAGAGTCCGAAAAGCAAAGAGGCTGAGCTGGCAAGGAAGCAGAGACTTGGACCCTGAGTGGGTGGAAGGTTCCAGAAGAGGCTGGGAGCAGAGGCGGGGCTGGAGGAGAGCTGTTCCAGGAAGAAAGGATGGACCCAAAGCTCCTCCATATCGGGCATAAGAAGAGGGGCCCAGGAACTCGTAACACCCCCCGTTGCTTGGCTGTGCACTCCCCAGGTGGCCCACTCCCATACCCCACTCCCACACACCTCTCACTTCTCCCATAAGGCCTTGCACCAAACTGCAAGATTTAAGTCCAAAAAGCTGCCATCTACTGCTGTTGCCGCCCTCTCCTGGCTAAAATTCCCCCAAAGCCTGTCTCGACCCCCAGGTTCAGTAGCAAGGACAACAGACCCCTTCCTCCAGCAGAGAGGGCCACAGTCTGAGGTGGGAGACAGAAACAAGACCCACCCTGGTGGCCGCGGGGCTCTTCCTGGGGTCAGGGCCTACACCCACTATCTTCCCCACCTCTCTATTTCGAAGGCTCCCTCCTCCGGGATGGGGATGGCTGCTGATACCCAGAGCCTGCGGGTGGGCAGCCCTTGCAGGAGCTTTGTACCCCCGCCCCACCACCTACTCCAGCAGGCTCCACCCCCAGCTACCGTCCCTCCCTCTCGCCCCGCCCCTTCCCCCAAAGCTCTCTGGCCCTTGGGGACCAGCGCTGGCTCCAGTCCTCTCCCGCACACTTCCAGGCCCAGAGAAGTTCGGGGACCGCTGGAGCGGTGTCATCAGTTTCACTCTGGACAAGGCCTGGTGACCAAACCGCCCCCCAAGGCGCCCTGCTGGCCTAGTCCCACAGCATAGCTCCAGAAGCCTGCTCAGCTAGGGCCCCGAGGCCAGGGCCAGCCCAGGATGCTGGGAAACCAGAGGCTCCGCCTCATGCGCCAGCCTCACCCACTGGGGGCACGGGAGGGGACCCCAAAAGGCCTCTCTGGCCTGCTGGCAGAGCCCCAGTGGCCCTGGCCCTCCCCGTTGGAAAAGCCAGAGATGCTATTTCTCGAGAGGGGCTGCCCCACCCCACCCCACCCCACCCCCAGGCCTTCAGTGTCCCCAGGTCTCCCTAAGTCCTTCAGAAGGAGACTTTGCAACTCTGGGAAAGGAAAACAGACGAAGGGGATAAAAGGAATCGGGAGCGAGAAGACCAAAAAAAAGAAAAAAAATTAGCTCATTCTAGCCACAAAGGGAGAAGGGAAAGAGCGAGAACGAGCAAGCAAGCTGCAGTCCCGCAGTGACCCCAGGGGAATCGTGTGAGTCAGAGCAGCCATATTGAGCAGGAAATTACTCACAGACGCTGCGTTCCTGCCTCTCCACTCCCAAGAGAATCGGCCTTTTGTAAATGGTTCCTCTGTCAGTAACTGAGGGGGGATGGGGGGAGGCTCTGCACAGCGCCTTCCTGTCAGCTCCTTCCCTTCCAGCTGAAATCTGATCCCTCCCTTCCCAAAACTCCAAATTTAGAAGACAGATTGAAACTGAAATTCTTTTCCTGCCTGCCCTGGGCTCTTAAAGGCGCCAGGGCTGCATTTCCTGAGCCAGCAGAAGCCCTGTGAGGTGGGGTCCCTCTTCTGGGATGCCCAGGGCTACGAGGGCAGGTCCCAGGAGATGGGGAGGAGATGCCCGGTTCTACGGCCAACTTCTGGCTGTTCTGCTTTTTCTCCTAGTTGCACCAGCCGTCTGGTTCCCCAGTCTCCACAGGCAACACTGCCCCCTTCCAGCCGGAAGCACACAGAACTCCGCAGGGGCCTCCAGGTCCCCTGTGCCCCACCCCTCGGTCAGGGTGAGCCAGGCCAGGTCACTCATTCACAAACTGGGGGAACCAGGGGCAGTGACACCCTGGTGCAGGGTGGCAGGGGGCTTGGGGTGGGCGTAGCCGAGCCCGGAGCAATGGAGAGCCACCACAACACAGCAGCAGTCCGCTCCGTGCCAGCCCCGTCTCAGCTAGGCCCCGGGTGGACGAAAGGGAGCCTCGGCCCTGCTGGCACTCGGTATTTACCACCAGGCCCAAGCACCCAGCCCCAGAGTGAGAAGCAGGCCTTGCAGAAAGGGTACACAACAAGCAAAAACTCTAGGGTCTGCCTCTCGGCCTCTCCCCCAGTTAAGGTACCGGAACCTTCTCCAAGTTCGGTGTGACTTTCGCACCACCTAGTGGCCACTGCAGGATTTCCTCCAGCAGAGGAACTGGGTCCCAAGCTTTAGAAAAGCTTTTGGGTTTTTATACCAGTATAACCAACCCAACAAATAAAAATACAACATTTTAACCTGGAATCAATTCCCATCTTCCCTGCGGCCTGGCCTGGCTTTCTTCCTTGTTAGTCACTGACAGGGACCCAGGGGCTTGGCCAGCCACCAGAGGGAGCCAGAACAGCTGAGCCTTTTATCCCTCCGTGAGCAAAGCAAGGGCTCAGCCTAGAAGGTGTACCCCTTCTCCCCACCCTGCTCCTCCCGCTTCTTCCAGAGGCTCCCAGGGCTCCCCAGGCCCCCACATTCCGCTCTGGAAAGAGCAGCACGTGACTAGCTCTTGAGGCAGTGAGCCAGGCTGCCCTGAGTCCTTCCGACCTTGGGCCTGCCACACTGCTGAAGGCAGCAAATCTGAGACTGAGGCAGCGGCCGCCCAGCCGTCAGTCCCGGCTCCATTTGCTGACTTGGAAAAACGTGTCATTCCCCTCTGGCCTCTGGAGTTTGGCAGAGGCCTGAGCCGAATGCTGACCGTGAGGAACCCGAGGCAATGGCTGCTTAGCCAGGCTTCTCCATTCGGGGGGCTCAGAACCCGAGCCAAGAGAGCAGCCCCAGTTGGGAGGAAACCACAACCGTGCCGGGAGCATCACTGAGCCCAGATGTGCGTGTGGGCATTGTTCCCTCTGCAGACAGCAGAACCAGGGCATGCTTTCAAAGTTTGGGGGAAGGGGGCGAGGTATGTAGCAGGGGGGGTGAAAGGTCCTGGCAGCTCCTGAGAGAGGCCCTATGAGCAGTGAGACCCCAAATCCCATGCAAAATCACCTGGCAAGTGTATTTAACACAGGTTCCTGGCCCTTGTCCCTAAGATTCTTGATTCATAAAGCTGGAGTTGGGCACAGGAACGTGGATTTTAACAAGCTCTCTGGGTGACCTTGAGGAAGTGGGAGACCCAGCCTCCGTGGGCAACAGCACCCAGTTACTAAACACCCACTGCCAGGTGCGCTGGGGGCCCGGGCCTGCTTGGTTCACCTCCGGCACCTCATCTGGCCCGTGTCCTCAGGCACTGACCAAGACACACCCCCTCAGCAGATCTCTAGCCCTGCTATCCGCCTGAGTCTCCCGGCCTCCTGCATGGGTTTCATCCTGCACAGCCACATGCGTGTGCTGGACAGAGCTCGTGGGCCCCACCCACCCCCTCAGACCAGCTGCATCAGTCACCAAGTGCACAAGCCACCGAGTCCCAGTCCCTTAGCTCGAGTCCCACAGAGTTCCCAGACCACAGATTTGGGGAGGAGACGCCAGACAGTCAGAAGCTGGCTTAACCTTTCACAGGCCTACTGGGGCTTTCTTGTCAAAAATCCTCCTTCGAGGGCCAGCCCTGCCATCTTCAAGCAAGAGCTCCGGCTCCTCTGTCCCACTCCAAAGCCACCAGCCTCCGTTGACCTCAGCCAGAGGCTGCCATGGGCTTCTCCCTCACCCCCTTCCCCTCACCTCAGTGATAAACAGGATACATTCCAGGAACATGTAGTCCTTGTGGTTCTCATTCACGGCCTTCTCATCGACAAAGTGCCTGGGCTCCAAATACGGGTGGTCTGGGAACAGCAAAGAGCCCCGGGGTTCAGAATGAGACACTCACACCCACAGAGTGCCACCTCGGCCCAGGGCAGTCTACACATACCCTGGAGCCACAGTCCCAACGGTGCGCCCTCAACACTTGACCTTGTGGAAGCAATAAATGACGAGTATGTGTATGTGTTTGTGCACATGTGTGTGCGTGTGTGCATGTGTGCTCTAGTGGAACAAGCGGTGGCTTTGCCTTTTTCTAGCCATGTGACCTTGACCCAGTGACTTCAGCTCTCTGAGGCTTGGTTTCCTCATCTGTGCAGTGGGGCTATGAACAGCCCCTCCCTCATGCTGCCTGATGGTCAGGACCACCGGAGAGCCCCGGGCCTGGCGCCCACGCACGTTTACCCCTTGTCAAGGGTGCCTCGTCTCAGGCAGGCAAAGACCCTTCCCAGGGTCACTGAGAAGGTTCTGGGAGATAATCTACCTAAAATGCTTAGAGCAGGGCCTGGCACAGAGCAAATGTGCAAACACTTATGAATATTATCTTGTAGACAGTTCATTCTCCACTGTAGCAGAAGTCACCACCGGACCCTCACCCACCGGAGACCCCAGGGAGCCGCCCCCACCTGGAAAGCAGAGCCAAGTGAGGGGAGCCAGCACAGAGGGCCCACAGGAAGCGGCTCGCTGCCCCGCACTGGGTGGCTGCTCCCTGACGGGCCCCTTGCACACAGCTTGATAATAACGGCGGATGACGCCGGTCACCGAGTCAAAAGAGCCCCTCATTTTCAACATAAAACCCCACAGCTTTGCCAGGAGCTGGGGCGCATTTCACACCAGTCCATTATGCGCCAGGCAAGCGCCCCTGCACCAGCCCTTGTCACTTTCCATTATCTCAGCACACTCTGCCTCCGCCTCCCCCGGCCTGCCACGCTGGCTCGCAGCACAAGGTCGACAGCAAACAGCCTCCGTCAACAGCCGGTCTAATGCCTGCTTTACAAGCTGTCACTGTTGGCCCTGAGCAGCAGCAGCAGCAAGGCAGGAAGGGAGGGGGGCGGACAGACCACACACACCCCCCACCCCGGGGTGTGCAGGGGAGGACAAGGGGGTAGACGCCCCTTCAGTACCTATCAGCTGCGAGCTGCCCCAGATGAAGGGCAGAAACTGAAAGTCGTCCAGGCCCCACACTCCCTGGCTGCCGGCTGGCTCCATCCTGTAGGTCTTCTGGAGTTTCCGCATAACCTCCAGGTACCTGCGCAGGAGGGAGCAGGAGAAAGAGGTAGCAGAAAGCAGAGAGACAGTCTCAACCCTTCTGCCACTGGGAGCTCACGGAGGCCAGAAATAACCACGTAAGAGTGTAACTGGTCTCTATTTTCAATTAAAACCTACATGCGTAAGTTAGGCATCAGCTGGTACTCTCAAAATAATGTCGCTTTATTTTTTCCTCCCACACAGCCTTCTTCTGGCCCAGGAAGAAAGGGGGATTTAGCGCCACCAACTCCTGACAACGGAGACCCTGAGCAGCAGCCCCAGGCTCTCTAACTCTGGCAGGCCCATCCGAAGGCTGGTGGGGGATGGAGCAGATCACCTCCCAGGGCCTGCTGGCTCCCACCTTCCCTCTTCTCGGGGGCTATGTTCCTGTCTTCAGAAGCCCAGGCATCAACACCACCAGAGCGGGGCCTGGAACGGCACAGTGCTGTCAGAGGCCCCTGGTGGATGCACACACCTGGTGCTGCGGGGCAGGTTGGGGGGCGTGGTCAGAGCACGACTGCAGGGGGCAGGGTTCAGCTGGCTGTGTGACCTCAGGGATCAGAAGACAGCTGATTTCTCTGGGCCTCCCTTTCTTCATCTACAAAATGGAAATGATGGTCACTGCTGCCTAGAGCTGGTGGGGAAATCTAGGGAGCGAGACACGCATGGAGCGCTTGGGACACGCTTGACACGGCCAGTGCCGCGGAAGCATGAGCGGTCGGCACGTGACATTTCCTTCACTTGTCCTTACTTGAATCTGAACCTGCCAGAAGGCTTTGTGCGCGCCCCATCCACAGCCAAAGCTTGATCAGGACAGGCCAGAAGAAGCAACAACCACACAGGAGAGCCCTCCAGCACCTGTCCCCAGCCTGGCAGTGAGGAGGAGGAGAAACCCCCACTGCTTTTCTTGTCTTCCCACTCACCGATTGAACACCTTGAAGACAATAGCTATTTGGTCATCTACCCGGAGCACCCCAATCTTGCAGAGGCAGCAGAGGAAAGCAGCGAAGGCTGCTTCATGTCCTGGGGGAGGAAAAAACCAGCCGAGGTTGACAATCTTCCAGAAAAAGGAGCAGGACTGTTCTTGGTCTCACCAGAGTCCAACTTACTGAGAACCACCCCTCTATGGAGGAAGGTTAACATGGAGATAATGGAGCCTCTGCCTCTTCCAGAAAGACCCAGGCCCTTTTGAGAACTACCACTACTATAATTCTAAAAGGCCCAAGAGGCCGAGGCTGTGGACTTCTTAAACAGACATTCTCATTTTGTTTTGTAGGTTTAACTCACTCGTCCATCACACTCCATCTATTGGGTACCTATTATAAGGGCAGCCAGTGTCCGTGTCAGGCACCAGGGAAACTCCATCCATGACTTTGCTTGAGCATTTATGCTCTGTCAGGATGACAAACATTAAGTAGACAATCACTTATAATTCTAGCTTTGAAGGAGGAGGACAGGGTGATAACTAGAAGATATCACAGGGGGACCCTGCCATAAGGTTCAAGGAGATTTCCCTAAGGAAGTAATATTTAATCTGAAAGATGATTGGAGTTGGTAAGGCACAGGGTGTGAGGGAACCAAGAAGAGCAATCTACCCAGAAGGAACAGCACATGCAAAGGCCCTGGGGTGAGGGGAAAAAATGGGTTATGTTTGAAGGACACTAAGAAGGCCAGTATAGCTAAAGCAGAGAGCACAAGGGAGAAAGTGTAAGGAGATGAGGCTGGTGATGAGAGAGGCCTTAACTGCCATGTAAAAAGCTCAGACTCAGTATCCTAAGAGTGACGGGAGCCACTGAAGGCTTCCAAGCAGGGAACACATGGTCACGTCACAGGGTCAAAAGGCAGCCCCTTCCATGGGGTCCCTCGCTGGCTCAGTCAGTGGCACATGTGACTCCTAATCTCAGGGTTGTGAGTTCAAGCCCCATGTTGGGTGTCAAGATTGCTTAAAATCTAAAAAAAAAAAAAAAAAAAAAGGCACCGCCCTTCCTTTCCCAGTCATGCCACATAGGAATGGTCAGCACTACAGACACCGCTGATCAGACCCTGGCCTGAAATGCCATGGTTCATGGTATTATTTAAAAAAAAAAAAAAAAGGATTTGGAGGGAGGCAGGGACTTCCTGTCCCATCTCTGTAGAAAGAAGGTGCCTCCAGGGCCCAGGAAACTTGTGAGTGTTCATCTCACCTGCACTGTCTCTGATCTCCACCAGCCAGAGTCCCAGCCACCATCCCTCAGGGGCTCTCACACACCTGACCAGCGGAAAAAAAACCCACCCTCGGCTAACCTGGCCAGTCCCCCTTCAGGGTCCTTCCCTGTCGGTCTTAGTCAAAGCCCCACCCCAGGAAGTCTCAAAACACTTGATAAACCTGCTCCCAGCAACAGGGGAGCGGAAGACAACGCCTCCCCAGGACCCAGGTTCAAGGAGGCCCTTCTCCAGGCCTGCCTCCTGGCCTGTGCTCATGTGGAAGAAACCGAGCCCCAGGCAAGGGGAAGGCCTAAGAGAGCAGCCGAACTTGCACTTGCCACTTCAGGGCAGGCCAGAAAGGGGAGCCTACAACCGCAGGGTCCTCCCTCAGCCCCCACCCACCCCCCAGGCAACCCTTCTCCTCCGAGGTGCCTGCCTGTGCCCTCTCCCAGAGAACTCAGCAGCACACAGACACGGGGCCGGGCAAGGGTATGCCACAATGCTGCCAGAAGCTAGGCTCTGGTAAGGGGTCGCCTTGAGATATAATAAGTGCTCAATAAATTACTTTGCTGCCAGTGATAAGTTCACAGAGACTGAACAGAAACCAGTGCCGCACGGAGCCACCAGGCACGTGGCATCAGCTCCCCCTGGCGGACCAAGACAGAACTGCAGGAGCGGCACCGGGCCTCCCTGCACCCCAGCAGGCCCCAAAAGGCTGCCTGCTCAGAGGGCCCCAAGATACCCTGGAGCAAAGAGGAAGCAGCCCAAGGAGAGTGTGCAGTGGAGCAGAGCAAACACTGGGAGCGGCAGATACCTGTGCCATAGTCGATGCGGGTGGAGTTCCCCACGGACTCCTTTAGGTAAACAGCCACCTCAGGCACGGCAGCCGCCAGATGGGTGGGGACCACTGTGGCCACCAAGTTTTCTGCTTCCTGATAACACAAGAGACACAAAGTGGAGGCAGCAGATTAGGCAGCATCCTGACGGGCAGGCACCCAGGAGCAGCACTTGGCCGGGGCCCAGCTCCCTGTGCTGACTGGCTACAGAAAGACGAGGTGGGAGACGCTGACCCTTACGCCACAGAGCGACAACCCTGGGGTGGCTTTTCGTCTGCTAGCCCTTCCTCCGGGGGACAAGAGTCTGGGACAAGACAAGAGGGAACCGCAAAGAAGCCGTTCAACTCCCTCATCTGGAAAGTTGCTGCCGTCCCTACAGTCTCTCTCTACATTTCCAGGGGAGCAAGACCATGTGCCGCATGTCCACCAAAACACGCAGCCAAGAATCCTCGTGGCAGCAGTATTCACAGTAAACAAAATGCGGGAACAACCCTTCACTGCAATGCCCCCACCCACAGGCCGTGGCATGGTTAGAAGCCAGGACACCAGACGGCGACAGAAACGCTCCGCTGCTCCGCACAACACAGGGACTCGCGGAGACAGAACACCGAACAGAACACATCAGACGTCTGTAAGTTCAAAAACACAGAACACGACTCTGTGGGATGGAAATCGCAAGAGTTTTGGGGGGTGGGATATCAACTCAAAAGGGGCCCAAAAGTTTTAGATCTTGAGACAGCTGGTGGCACGAGGGCCAAAACACACTTTGCAAAAGACCCAGCAAGCTGTGATGGGATCATTTTCCTGTAAGTTATAACTCAAAAACAATCTTTAAAAAAAAAAAGACCCTGTGCCACAGGCTGCTCTTAGGCAGGGACAGCGTTTTGCTGGGTCCTTGGGGCTCCCTCTGCTGCAGGTGGAAACACTGGCCCAGAGAAATGAGGATCCAAGTTTCTCTAGGTTCAGTCTACAGGTACCTGGCAGGAAAATCTCCAGACCCGAGGAAAATCTGGATTCCCAGGCCCGACCCAAGACCTACAGACAAAAGGCTTTTCTAAGGACAGGGCCCATGAGCCTACATTTTTATTTTTTGCTTGCTTTGAGCAGGGGTCACTGCTATAGCATCCAAAAACAAAGACATTAAAAAAATAAAAATAAGGCGCCTGGGTGGCTCAGTGGGTTAAGCCGCTGCCTTCGGCTCAGGTCATGATCTCAGGGTCCTGGGATCGAGTCCTGCATCGGGCTCTCTGCTCAGCAAGGGAGCCTGCTTCTCTCTCTCTCTGCCTGCCTCTCTGTCTACTTGTGATCTCTCTCTGTCAAATAAATAAATAAAATCTTTTAAAAAAAATAAATAAATAAAATAAAAAATAAAAATAAAAATACCCTGAATTCTACTCCAGAAACCAATACTGCACTGCATGTTAACTACTTGAAATTTAAATAAAAATTAATTAGTAAATGAAAAAATCAAGAAAAAGAAGCACAATGCTAAATTCGTTGGGATTTGCCAAGAAAAATATCAAAAAGTAAAAAAGTAAATAAATACACACATTACAAAGGGATGCCCTGAGAAGTCTGTCCCTTCCCCACTCTCCCCTGCCCTCAGAGAAGTTACGGCTCTAATAGCCTCTGGCATATCCTTCCACTGATGTTCCTTTATGCGAACTGAGCAGCACAAACATATCTTGTCATTTTTCCCTCTTTCCTACCAAAAAGTAGCTGACCATGTGTCAGACCCTGGGTTCCTCTAACCGAACAATAAATCCCAGGCTGCCTCCCCGCAAGCTCCCGGTCTTTCTCCAGTCGCACGGCACTCCGGGCTCCATCTACTAGTTCATCCGACCGACCCCCGGCACACAGACACGTGGGACACTTGAACCTGTCGCTAATGCAAACAATGACCTCAGTAACAGCCCCATGCAGAGGACTGGGCATCCACAGTGGGGATTCCCAGAAGACAGCAGGGACAGAGAGTAAAACCATTTGTACTTTTGGTAAAGCGAATCGTCATGTTAACAAACTCCTGGGTGATTCTGAGATGCCTGAAAGCTCTTGGACCCTGGCCCAGGCCCCGAGCATATCCTGTGGCGCCTCACCTCGTCGAGTTTGGCATACCAGGTCCTGTAGGCCTTGTTCCCAAATCGAGAGGGCTGGTCCACCGGAGGGGTCTCATCAATCCACCTGTCCAGAGTGTTGAGAAGGGCGACCAGTTTCTCAATGGCCTGTAGCAAGCAAATAGAGGGGCCCAAGCCACAATGACTAGCGGCCCCCAGCTAGAGCCACAAAAGGAAGTCCCAGCTGCTGCTGGACAATGACCCGTAGGCATGGCATTGAGTGGTAAGTGCTGGGGAGATCACACACTCCTACAGGATTGAGTTCTTAAATCCAACTGTCTGGGGGTGCCCGGATGGCTCCGTCAGTTAAGCGTCTGCTTTCAACTCGGGTCATGATCTCAGGGTCCTAGGATTGAACCCGGCGTCGGGCTCCTTGCTCAGCAAGGAGTCTGCTTGCTCCTCTCCCTCAGCCCCTCCCCCAACTCATGCTCGCTCACTGTCTCACAAATAAATAAAATCTTTAAGACACGGACCCCAGGGCATGCACTGTTTTGTAGCCTGCTCAATTTCCCCATGAGCCTCATTCCATGTCAACGTGCAAACATAATTCTACAATAGCCTTTAGTAAGTTCATAGAATTTCATCATGCCAACATACTATACTGTTAAATGTTTGGGTTATTCCCAACTGTTCCCTCCCACAAACAATCTGGGCAGTCCCCTCTGCAGAGCTGCTGGGTCAGAGGTCTGAACCTGTGTAATGCTCTGTAGGGTCACAGTGTCAGGGAGCCCATGTCCCTACACCTTTCCCACAGCAGGCAGGAACCAAGGAATGAGATCAGTGTCACAGGCCAGGGCAACATTGGCACACAGAATGTTACTCAATGAGAAAATCAGGTGAGGCTGCTGATCCAAAAACACAGGGCAGCTAGAAGAGAACTCCTTCTAGGCGTGGCTTGTTAAAAAAAAAAAAAAAAAAGGCCAGAACGAAAGGCTGGCGGAGGGCACAAGGCAGAGGGGGGGTGTTCAGAGGCAGGCAGCCCTGGAAAAGTAGACCTTGCCAAGAAGCAGGTTTTGCCCATGTCCACTGGGCACGAGCAGCACAGACAGAGACCTCCAGGAGCACCTGAACTAGGTAGGACCCAGCAAGGTGGTGCCCAGGTGAAAAGCTGTGCGGAGGAAGGCAAGGATCCGGGAGGTCCGGGCCAAGAGCTGTGGGGGTAGGGCACGTGGACTTGAGCTAAGGGAGTACCTGTCAGCCAATGCCCACCCCCACACAGCTCCGGGAGGCACAAATCACACCACAGGCCACTTAATCAGCACCCCCAGCATTGTGCAACGGGACGCTGGCCTGAATGTTGCCATCCCTCACCTCCTCTCTCTCTGTGCTTGGGGTGTGAGAGCGAGGAAAAGTCAGGGGTACCTGGCTGAGGCAGAGGGCCCCGGTGACAGAAAGCTGCCCAGCTGAAAAGTGCTGCCACGGCCCAGCTTTGCGAAGAAGAACCGGGTCACCAGGAACTGAGTAAGGACAGAGCAAGCCTGGCCCAATGCAGCACCCGGGACTCCAGAGCGATGAGGCAGTAATTCTGGCCCCAGGAAGCGCCAGGCAGACCAAGTTCCCTGGCGGTCTCAGTCTTGGGCAAGGCGCTGAAGGGGATAAAGAAGGTGTGGGGAGGCCTCGGAAGCCGGAAGCTGGGCCCCAGCTGCCAGCTCAGCTGGAGTCATGAATAATTAAAAGGCTCCTAGCTTCTCTTTCTGGAAAGGGCTTTTAGAATGCAGGGGCGGCCTCTATTGTCTGACTGGCTGGGGCTGAGGGGTCTGCCCCTCCGCTGTGGGCCCAGCCCTCAGGAAGCACAGACAATCATTTGAACTACCCTCCTGCTCCCTACACCAGTGCTTCCTTTTACATTTCATGGTCCAGTAAAATTTTCTCCAAACCAGGACTTGCCAGTGTTTTCTTTCTCTTTGTCCCCCAACTTAAATATCAAACGAACAACAGCAAAAAAAAAAAAAAAAAAGCCCCTTATCTACTCACATTTTGCAAAACCCCAAAATGTGAACCCAATATAATCTCAAACTCAAGGAGAGTCTTCTAAACATGGGTCTAGATGGTCTCTCGGTGCCCTTCCTCATTCCCTTCGCAGCTGGTGGTCTGGAAGCTGCCACCTAGGGCCGCTCATCTGCCCTCTCCCCAGCTGCCATCCCCGCAGGAGTGAGAGGAAGCAGGAGCCCCCAGCAGCTGTGTCGGGGGCCTCCCCCATCTGTGGGCTGAGACAACACTCGGTGAGCCCTGCCTTCCACGGCCCTGCCAGCTGTGGGCAGAAGCTGGGAGACCTCTGGAGACCAAAGTAGTCACTTCTGCCCACCAAGTGATCGCCCTGGCACTGGGATGAACCCCAGCTCTGGAAGCGCCCCCCACTGAAGCAATCACACCACTACTGGAGATGAGAACTTAAAAATAGCTCACGTTAACAGATAATAATGATAAAGTCACCTAGTACGTCTGAAGCACTGTCCTAACAAGCTTATGTGTGGGATCCCACTGAATCCTCCCCAGGGGCCATGAGCCGGTCTGCTGGCTCCTACACTCCACAGATGAGGAGATAGAGGGTCAGAGGGGACAAAGCCAACAGCTTGGAAGGGAGAGGTTATCCAAACCCAGCCAGCCTGACTCCAGCCCCCAAGCACTTAACCATCTTGCAATCCTGCCGAGAGAACAGCTCCTGAGCTGAGACAACACCTGGCCAGAGTGGAGTCTACGAACAAAGTGTGAGGGGAAATTACGGGACCTTGGGATCTGCTGGGGTAATTAGAACATCCCCCCTGTAATTAGCCTTCCCCCACCACACTCCCTGCCCACAGAGCACAGCCGAGCTTCCCTCACCACAGGCTCCAGGACAAGCCCCCTCTCCCCCAACCCACGAACTCAGCGGGGGGCCAGCCCCCAAGAGAAGGTCTATCCCCAGCACAGGTCCAGCTTCCCTCTGGTGACAGAAAAAGACCTCAGTGACCCCACAGCCAGTCAGGGTCCAGGAAGAGACAGCTCCGCTAGAGCGGGGTAGGAGGGTCAGGTGGAGAGCCCGGGCTGTGACAGGGCCAGCCTTACCCAACAGGGTGGGATAAGGCACTGAAAGGCCGCTCGGGCCCTGGTGTCTAAGATAAGAGTCTCAAGGTGACTATGAGCCAACTGGGCTAAGAACCCAAGAGGCCTCTGGAGGCCTGGGACCCAGCCCTGGGAGATGGCATCCACCAAGAGCCAGCAGCCCACAAGCCCACGCCTCCCCACAGCTCTTGTCCTCTCTCTGCCCTCAACTCAGCATCCCCACTTCCAGGAACAACGCCTTAGGAAAGAGTGCCCACAGATCCATAGGTAAGGATGTGCAAAGCAGCAACATTTAGGGACACGACCTAAAAGTCCACAGCTGGGGCCTGCTGAAACAAATGAGGGCCGCCTCAATGAGGCAGAATTTAGAAGGTGGCGGGGCAGCAGGAGGAGCTCAGAGGGCAGGTCTGGGTGACATTCTCCAAACTGTTCCCAGGGCCACCCCAGGGAGCTGGGCAGGATGGGGAGGACAGAGAGAGGGCAGCTTGCTGTTAACACACTTTTACTAGTGATCCCTTCAGTGAAGCCCACTTACTTCATTTGTAATCTTTTTTCATTTAAAAAGGTACATGGGGCACCTGGGTGCCTCAGTTGGTTGAGCAGTCGTGTCTGACTGTTGGTTTCAGCTCAGGTCATGATCTCGGGGTCCTGAGATGGAGCCCTGTCAGGATCCGGCGGACCAGTGGGGCTCTGTGCTCACGGCAGACTCAGCTTGTCCCTCTCCCTCCCCCCACTCATGTGTGCTCTCCCTCTCTCTCTCTGTCTCAAATAAATATTTTTTTAAAAGGAAAAGAAATACAGGGCGCCTGGGTGGCTCAGTGGGTTAAGCTGCTGCCTTCGGCTCGGGTCATGATCTCAGGGTCCTGGGATCGAGTCCTGCGTCGGGCTCTCTGCTCAGCAGGGAGCCTGCTTCCTCCTCTCTCTCCGCCTGCCTCTCTGTCTACTTGTGATCTCTCTGTCAAATAAATAAATAAAATCTTAAAAAAAAAAAAAAAGAAAAGAAATACAAACACCGAAATGTCAACCACACATGTGCTTGACGATCTTATTTCCTGCCTCGGCCTGTTGGGGGCCAGGACCACACGTGACTCTCTGGAGCTATTCTGGGAAGGGCCCTGCTACAGCGGGCTCCCCGCCTGTGCCTACCTCAGAGACTTTGTACTCGAAGGTCAGCTTCTTCCCCTTCACACCTTCATTGAGCGTGAGGATGAATCCAATGTAGTCAGCATACGCCTACCGAACAGAGTAGGGAGTGGGGGTGAGGAGAGGAGTGTCAACCCCTGACCCCCCACACCCCAGCCAGCCCCCAGCTCCACCCAGTTCCCAAAGGGCTCCAAGCTGTCCCTGGACCCTGGCCTGCCAGCAGGAGAAGTAGAGCAATAACGCCAAATACCCAACCCATGCCCTCCAGTCTAAAGAGCTGGCAAGCCAATGACCACTGTGACACCAGGACCCTCAGTCCGTTTGCTGTGTGCGCACTATTCCTGCCAGTGGCTTCTTCACACAACCTCACAAGGTAAACACTGTCGCTATACCCATTTTATAGATGAGGAAGCCAAGGCTTCAGGAGAGATGACTTGCCCAAGGTCTCCTAAGACCAACATCTCATTAGATGTCGAGCTAGGACCTCACAAGTCCTCCAAGTTACACTATACCACCAGGAGTTCAAGGAATACCAGCGAAGGTTCCTCCCCTGCTAGTCTTCCAGATGTTTCCCCCACCAGACAGGCCCGGCTATCAGCCTGCAGTGCAGACCCCCTGCTCCCAGGAGAAGAAACTGTCTTCTGCCCGTGGCCAGGTCTCCCAGCACACCCAAACCCAGCTTCCAACTGGGCACTCTCCTCCCTGTTGAGTTTTAGGTTACGAGCACAGGGATAAGAAAGCACTGAGTTGCAGGCCCTGGGAGCAAATGACTTCTGTTTGGTCTTGTTTCTTCCTCATCTCTGTTGTCTCTCGTTCTCTTCCTCCTTATCCAAGATGCCAGCAACAGCCACAACAAGCCCCAAGAATTGACCATTCTGTATCTAGAAGGGACCATTCTTGTACCAAGACCTTCCTACAGCCCATGGAACAGCCCCAAGTGGAAATGAGGGGTCACAGAGCAGGTCCGAGCCCTCATCCTGCCTGCAGCCAGCGTTCAGTCATTTCTACCAACTTCACCAGGATGCAAAGACAGGAAGCCGCAAGGGGCAGGGTCATCCTCCATGGTCCCTGCTCCCACATGGGCCCAAGTCTCTTGGTGACTAAAGCTCAGGTCATTCTTATAAAGAAGACTGTGTGCAAAGTCTCCACCAACGCCACCATCCTCATCCCTGTGACAGTGACAACCATGCCTGCAGCTCAGGATGGCTCATGAATGCCTAGCACCGGGCCAGGTACTTTTTGGACTTTGAGTCATTTAAGCTTCCCAACAACCCATTTTACGGTAGAGAGAAATAGGCTTGGCCAGCGTAGGCCCATTGCCTAAGTCACAAGAAGAGAAAATGGCAACCCTGGGCTTCAAGCTTTGACCTCTCTGACCCGAAGTCCATGCTCTCGGTTGCCGCACTCTGCAGCCTAGCAAAACTGTGTGGACCATGGCACAGAGTCAGTTGTCGGGCCATGAACTTGAGTGGTGAGCAAGTGGAAGTCTTCTATCCAAAATAGTTCAATATACACTCCATCAGAAAAAGTAACCAACACTTCCCAGAAAGCGTTGGTGCCTACAGCAGGATCAACAAACGGTGCCTACAAAGGGCCAGATAGTAACTATTTTAGGCTCTGCAGGCCATCAAGCCTGGTCCACAAATTCTCAACTCCACCCAGCTCTGCCAGTTAGTGCGAAAGCAGCCGCACACAATATATAAATGAGCCCTGCTATGTTCCCATAAAACTTTATTTATAAAAACAGGCAGAAGTCCAGATTAGATGAGCAGGCAGCAATGTCCTGACCTATGGCCTAAAACGGCTCAACCCATGGCTGTCTAGAGACAGAAGACCTGGGCATGAATCTTGAATCTCATCCCACCCACTCGCCAACTGGGCCGTTTTGCTAAATGTCTTTATCTCCTGGCCTCACTTTTCTTACCCTCGAAATGGAGATGATTCCTGAGCCCACTTCCCAGAGTTTTTGTGAGGATTTAAATGAGCTAAAAATACCTGGCACATCGTAAACACCCGCTCCTCCTAGGAAAACACCCAGGCGGAAAGCAAGGAACTAAAGCCACGTTTGGATTCAGCCAATTTGCAGGTTCAGGGTGAATTTACAAATTTACATCTCCTGTGAACAGGACAGCCCCTATAACAAAGAATCATCCACCCCAAAATGTCAAGAGTGCTGAGGTTCAGAAACCTTACGGCAGGCAAACCAAGATGATGAAAGGACTCAGACCGTACCCTTTGAGCGGCTGAAGGGACTAAGGTGTTTGTCCTGGGGAGGACGCAGGGAGAGAACAGAACTCGGAAAAGACGTGAGAACCGCCTGCAAGTATTTAGAAAGCAGGCTTACGAAAGAGGAGCCAGAAAGGCTTGCATGGCCCAAGACGGAGCCACGGCAACTGCAGGTCGTGGGCTCAGTGTCAGCACAGCAGACTCCCTGAAGAGAGCCTGCCCTTCCGTACAAGTGACCCCTCACCCCACCCCAGCTGAGCAGAGCAGGTGTGGCTGGAGCTGGGACCAAGGCTTTCCCTGGGGTTTTGAAATTGGCTTTCTTTTTCGTAGTCCCAATCTTTCCACAGCCTATGCCAGAAGCCCGGGAGGTAGAAGCTCTTATTTTCTGCCCGCCATTGGACGGAGCAGCCCGGGAAGCTGGTCTGCACTTCCCCTTGTTCTAGGCCCCAGTTCCCAGGTATTTTTAGGCCCAGCCACCTCCCTGGCCTAGGTTTCCATGAGACAGACAACCTCTTCTCTCTTAGACACATGGGCTCCAAGACCAGCTGTAACTCACCCCCGCCCTGCCCCCCCGCCCCGAAAGAGGGACAGCCGGCTCCCCTGTCAGCTCTCTCCGCAGCTCCTAACAGCTCTGGTTCCAAGAGCAGGAAAGGTCAGGAGCTCACTCACTGTCTCTGAAAAAGCCCCAGTTCTTCACCCCCCTGTGGCCCTCCGGTGCAGATACCACGGGTACCTGAGAACGCTTCCATTTGCCCATGTCTGGAACTGTGTGGATCTCCTTTTTCGGAATGATGAAGCTCTGAGTGGCCGGAGGGATATCCTCCGAAGAATCTTGACAAAGAAAGTGAAGAGGCAAACAGATAAATAGAATCTTCCCCCCAACCCAACCTTCTGCCCCTCTCTGTCTCTCTTGCCACCCCCACCATGTCTCTCTCTCTCTCTCTCTCTCTCACACACACACACACACACACACACACACACGTTTAAACCAAGACTTCAACCCCCCAGTCCCTGGGGTGAACCAGATGCGTACCCCCAGGACAGTCAACCCAAACCCACTGCCCTCCTGCCTTTCCACCCCCAGCCTGGAGCCCCGCGGGACTGGCGAGCCCCTCAACAACTGACACGGTCAGCTGCTCCTCGTGTCTTCAGTGTCCTCACCTCCTGCTCCCTCACCGGAGAATGGTTAGAAAAATAAAACCAAGTTGACCTTTTAGACAGAAGCAGGCAATTCAAAGAAGAGGGGGGTGTGGAAAATACAGAAGGCCACCGATAAACACTGGGAAAAAATTGCCAACCTCTGAATAAGCAAAGAAATGTAAATGAGACGAGATGGCTTTTCCAGATCCGAGTGGCAGATGAAAACCATCTGGCAGGGACTGGGGAGGGGGAAGCCCGAGCTCTCCTGCACCACTGGTGGGAGTCTGGGTAGAATCTGCCGAGGACGCAACTCAGCACTGACTTCTGAAATAAAAAGCCACACAGACCCACCAAGCCAACAGTTCTACTTGTAGACAGCAGGTGCCCAAAGAAATACACTGAGATAGATACAAAGGCCCTTACTGCACGGAAGAGAGGTAGAAACTGCGTACGTAGTGATTGACAAGGCAATGGGTAGATAATAATATGCCCATTGAACGGAAATCTTCATAGCTTTTTAAGAAAATGAAACCTAAATTATTACCATAGGAAAACAGCCTAGATATTAATAAGTGAAGAAAGAAAATGAAGCTAAGTTATATATAATATAATCTCATTATTGCAGAAAGAGCTATACATACTTGGTATAAATAACACGTGTATCAGCATGTGCATTGGAAAAATGTGAAATCCCAAAGTTAGTTAATAGTCATCTCTAGGAGGTAAGATCTGTAAGAGACTTCCATTCCTAAGCTACTTATTGCTATTAAAAACTAGCATACAGTATGGGGCACCCAGGTGGCTCAGCCAGTTGGGTATCCAACTCCTGATTTCAGCTCAGGTAATGATCTCATGATCTCAGGGTCATGAGATAGAGCCCCACATCGGTCTCCAGGCTGGACATGGAGACTGCCTAAGATTCCCTCTCTCGGGGTGCCTGGGTGGCTCAGTGGGTTAAGCCTCCGCCTTCTACTCAGGTCATCATCTCAGGGTCCTGGAATCGAGCCCAGCATCAGGCATCGGACTCTCTGCTCAGCGGGAAGCCTGCTTCCCCCACCCCCGCCTGCCTCTCTGCCTACTTATGATCTGTCAAATAAATAAGCTCTTAAAAAAAAATATATATATATATATATACTCTCTCTTTCTCCCCCACCAACCCCCCCCCACATCCATGAGCCTGCATGCGCCCTCTCTCGCTCTCATTTAAAAAAAAGCATACAGTAATTTTGTAATCAGGAAAAAAAACCCTATTTCAAATGGAGTTTCTATATTTGCAGAAGTTGGGGGAAAGGAAATCACAGGGCAGTTCCACGTGCTGACCTAAAGGTAAACTTCCCACTAAAGTGGACTGCTTAGTATGAGTGGCCTCCTTGGCCAAAAATATCCAGCCCACACTGCAGGACTCCCTTTACTTTGTGACACTAGGAAATACATGCCCTCAGTCTCTTCTCCATAATTCCAAAATCCAAAAAGTTCTAAAAACCCAAAGTTTTTAAAGTAAGTTTGGCATAAATTCATTTGGTACACGGAGCACCTGGGTGGCTCAGTTGCTTGGGTGACTGCCTTTGGCTCAGATGAGTCCCTCATCCCGCTCCCTACTCAGCAGGGAGTCTGCTTCTCCCGCTGACCCTCCACCTTCTCATGCTCTCTCTCTCATTCTCTCTCTCTAATAATAAATAAAAATCTTTTTTAAAAAATTCATTTCGGGGACGCCTGGGTGGCTCAGTTGGTTAAGCGGCTGCCTTCGGCTCAGGTCATGATCCCAGCGTCCTGGGATCGAGTCCCACATCGGGCTCCTTGCTCGGCAGGGAGCCTGCTTCTCCCTCTGACTCTGCCTGCCACTCTGTCTGCCTGTGCTTGCTCTCTCCCTCTCTCTCTGACAAATAAATAAATAAAATCTTTAAAAAAAAAAAAATTCATTCCGTACAAAAGTTATACCTAAACCAGCATGAGGACATTTCTATGCTTTGCAGATCCCTCTTAGGGAATTTAGATTTTGCTACAGACGTATTTTCGTTTGATTATGGGGTGCTGCTTTCTGAAATGTGGGAATACTCCGAATTCCAAAATATACCTGGTCCCAAGGGTCCTGGACAGGGGCTGTGCCTGATTCTACTGTTGAAGATCTGTTGTATTAGTTAACATCTTCCTTGAAAAGCCCAAAATCTCCAGAAGGAGTCATTCACAACACACGATAAATTTGTCCCCCTGCTGTCCTCCTAAAACCTAGCTGACATTGCCTGAATGGAGAAAGGAACCAGGGGCCCAAGATGGTTCTGGACCATGTGACATTTGGGAGAATGGAGCATGCCTGGAGAGGCCCTGAGGAAAGGGAAAGCTCTAGGATACCTGGAGACCTGGGCGGATACCTGGTATCTGTGCTGAGACCAAGGCAAACTCTGCCTAATTTAAAATTCAAACCACAAAGCCCGAAACACAAATCAGAAACTCTCCTCCTCCTCCCACCTGTTCTATAAGCCCTGTTCCCAGAACCCAAATTGAGGCCCCTACTATTAGTAAATTACTACTTTAAGATGCTATTAAATAGGGGTGCCTGGGTGGCTCAGCCAGTGAAGCATCTGCCTTGGACTCAGGTCATGATCTCAGGGTCCTGGGATCCAGCCCCACTTCCAGCTCCCTGCTCAGCTGAGGTCTGCTTTGCCCTCTCCCTCTGCCTCCTCCCTCTTGCTCACGCTCACGCTCTGTCTCTCTCTCTTCCAAACAAATAAATAGAATCTTAAAAAAAAAAAAAAAAGATGCTATTAAATTAAAAGCTTTATAAGTCAGGGTAGTAACCTAACATCATTGTTTTTATGGGAAAATGTGTTCCACATTCCAAATAATCAACTTGCAAATGATCATTAGGAACAGAGAGCGCTTCTGTAAGTTGCCTGCCAGGGGACAGACTTTCTGAATTTATTTCACAGGTGGGAAACCCTCCAGTCAGGCCTGCTGCTGGGGGGAGTGGGGGGATGAAATGGCTACTTTGTAGGAAACACTGCAACAACCACTGATGAAACATACACACATGTTGTTACCAGAATACAAAATCTCAAATCAAAGAAACAAGTCTTCAAACTGGGAGCTATGATAACTGAGTTCCTCCGGCCTCAGACTCTATCTCTGACAAAGGTGCCAGTGGATACCCTATAAACTCACATTATAAGATGGAAATATCTAGAGTTTTAGAGATGTTCCCTGACCTCCCCCCCCAACAAAAGCATAATGTAATATCATCCGTCATTTGAGAACCAATCTACATGTTCAACCTGTACCACCTTTTAAAAGGACAACAGCAATCAACATTTCCTGACTATCCCTGTCCCCCAATGCCCCATGTTTTGCCCTCATCGTCTATGGAACATACACTACAACTCTGTGGAGAAGGTATTTAACAGCCCCATTTTCAGAGATAAGCAAGGCTCAGAGAATGGGATCTGCCAGGCAGAGCCAGGTCTGTACAACTCTACAATCCAAGGTTTTCGTCACTACACTGTCTGAGTGCAGTAGTTCTTTCTACTTGATCCAAAATATCCTGTTTCAAACTTCAAAGAAGGACCACCTCCCGGCACCTGGCTCTCTCCAGCCTTAGATATCCTCCCTGAGCCTTCATCTTTTTCAGCGCATGGGCTCTCTCCCCAGCCACCCAACTCTGGAAACACACTCATCTCACTGAGAATTCTGGTTGGCTTCTATCTCTCACAGGCAATACCAGAACATCTGAGGGCACAGGCACAGAAGTTTTGTACTAAATGAAGTAAATGTCTGGTTTCAGATGCCATAAGAGACCGTACCCAGCTCTTTGTTCATCTATTTGATGGGGGAAGAGGGAAATGCTTTTTTTGATCTTCATACTGTCTCCTTCCTGAGACCTCTCCAGATCCCCAAATGCAAGACAGTTAGAAGGAATATCCAATGCGTTCAAAACATTAGCTGTGTTTGGCCAAACTACTGGCCCTGTCAGAATTTTAAAATTATCTGCGGTAAGTCCTTCCTAGCTCGGGTGCGGGGAGGTGCGCGTCAGCAAACAGCCTTCCCCTCCTCCAGGAAATGGGTCTCTCTGCAAGATCCTTTCCCTAATACTTCCATCCCAGTTATTTGAGATGAACTAAAGCCAGGCCACAGTGTAAATAAAAGTTACAGATCGTGATGCCGGGGAGAGACTCATCTTGCACAACCAGCTTTTTTAAATTAGTGGTTTACACAACCAAGGGCAGTTTCTCTCAATAAATGTTCAGCCACTGAAACAAACTGCACAGCCCCGCCTCCAGGAGGGAGAGAGGGGAGGTGGATGAGTGGGCAGGGTGCGGAAGAGTCTGGAAACCGGGTGGAGGCAGGCCCAGGCCCACAGAGCAGCACCCCTCACCCCGGGACCAGGGGCTAATAAAGAAGGCAGCCACAGGAATCACTGTCGCCCCCATCCCTGGCAGCTTCCCCAGCAGCTCAAGAGCTGACTTCAGCACGCACAGCCCAGATGCGGAAAAGGCCTACCCTTCTGGCCACGGCGCTGCCCACCGGTGGTCCCTCGGGCAGCCCGGGCTCCCCAGGTTCAGGTGTTGCGCCCCACCCGCCACCCCTTCGCAGCCCCGGGTCCGCTCCCCAGATCCCCCCAACACGTCCTCCTCCCGGCCCAGAAGCTCCTGCCACTGGAGTTCCTCCACCTCCCGACCCGCCCCCTCCCCCGCCGCCGAGCCCCCCACACCACACCCCTTCCCCGCCCCCGCGCCGGGCACCGCCCCCGCGCCCCTACCCGACCCCTAGAGGGCCCGGCCCGTCCTACCTGACGGCGACTGCCGCTCGCCCTCAGCCATCTTCCTCCCGCCAGGAGCCGGCCCGGATGCCTGCAGTCCCCTCTCACCTTTCACCCCCGCACCCCTTCCCTTTCCCCGGCTTCACCAGGCGCTCAGAGCTTTCTGAAAAGAAAGGAGCACCAGCCGGCTATAACCGAAAACCGAGAATTAAAGTCACCCCCGTGAAGACGACCGCCATGCTGGTGCGGGGCACGCAAGGAGCATGCCCAGCAACGGCCGGCTCGCGGCTGCGGCGCTCACGGGGAGCCGGCCGCCATGTTGGTGCGGGGCAGCTGGGAGCATGCGCGCCAACGGCAGGCTCGCCTCCCTACCGGCTAGCGGGCGCCGGGCCGCGGGAGCGCGGCAGCCATGCTTGTGCGGGGCGCGTCCCACCTGTCATCTTTGACCCTGTCCCGAGGCACATTAGAGGCCGTTCCCTTATTGACATGGTCGTGTTTTCCTCCCGCTCTGAGAGCAGCGCTCAAGGACACCAAGCGGACTGAGAGGGGTGCACGCTACTGTCTCTAACAGCTTAGAGAGCATTTGGAGGTGGGAGACGGCGAGCTGGACAGGGGCCTCTTTTGCCCCTCTTCCTGGGTTCCACTGCCTCGCGGGGTCTCGCGACCACTAGGCGCGCCCTCGGCCCCGCCCCACGCTGTGGTCCCGCCCCGCGCTCGCGGCTAGCGGCCCCGGCCCGCAACCGGCTGGTGGCCCCGCCCCGAGAATCCTCCTCCGGGGGACCCCAGCCCGCCGCCCGCCGGGCCCGGTGGGTGGGCGCCGGGCCGCCTCTACCGGCCGGTGGCCGTAACGCGGCGACCTTGGCCCGGAGGCACTAACGGGGACCCACCAACGGTGGCGGCGGAGGCAGCGGCGCGGACTTTGCTCAGTGCGGAGGACCGAGCGGACTGTGTGTCCGCGGGCGAGCCGCGGCGATGTTGGCTTTCGCGGCCAGGACCGTGGTGAGTGCGGGGAGGAACCCGGATGGACGGGCCCTGGACGGGGCGGGCGGGCGGAGAGTTGGGCCAGCCAGACACGCAGCTGCGCGGGAATGGAGAAGCGGGCCTTGGAAGCGACGCGGCCCGTGGCTACTGTCCTGCCCGGCCAACAGCTGCTGGGGTGGGATCGGCAGGTGGACTAACCTTGCTTGGCAGAGGAGGAGACTGAGGCTCAAGGTCAGAGATCCGATTGAACCCACATCGTGTGGCTCTAATTTCCAACCACCCAGGAAAGATAGCGAGGACCCTGGCTTCAGGCAGCACCTCCACCCTTTGACTCAGAGCCAAGGAGCCGAGAGACCGGCAGTCTCTCCCGGGTTATTTCCTGACTCACACACCTGTTGCATGCTCAGCCTGAGCCATTTACGCCCAGACCTTGCCACTTCTCCAGCCACATCCAGTTGGTCAGTCTCCTTGGGCTTATCAAATGGCCCTTGGAGAATTTTGTGTGGCGGGAGAAATGCACGTGGAGGCCTTAAGCTGGGCTGCTCTGAAGGTCCTCTGAACTGGCAAGAGGCAGCAGGTGGCAGCCCCATACCCTTTGTCTCCAACAGTCCCTCCCCCCCAGCTTGTCCATGTCTACCCCAGAATCCTCCCCACAGGGCAGCAAGAAGTGCTGCCGCTCTGATATGACTTCCTTTCCTCTCTACTCCAAGCATATCTCTGCTTGTATCTCCTTCTGACTATGCCAAGAAGGATGTTCAAACAGACACTACCTAGCCCGGAGGGCGCAATGTACCCATCCGCTGTCCAAAAGGCTCTTCCAGATCTCCCAGAACCCTAAGGCTCCATGTCACCCTTGCCATTGACACCCGAGTGGTGCCCCCGTCTCACAGACAGCTTCTAGGTCATCCTCCAGGACCCACTGGGTGGCCTGATCAGTTTACTGCTTGGGAAACTGAGGCAAGGAGAGACTTGGCCAGAATTCCCCAGATCTGGAAACTCGAATCAAGCAGAATCCCAAAACCAGCCTCCTCCTTGAGTTTATTTTTTTGTGGCCGACGTCCTTCACTCTTTGCCCCCAGCTGAGTGAACCACAGCTCAAGAGAAACAGGCTTTGGTGGAAGGGAGGCCCAGAAGGGCTCCAAGAGTCCTGGAGGAAGACGGGATGAGCTCTTAGCAGCCACTTTCCACGTAATGGCCCTTTCCCAGCATCTGCCCTCATGTACCAACCCCAATTTACAGGACTGATTTCAGAGTTGTGGTATAACCTCAGTAGCCAGGCGGCTTCTGCCTCCAGCCAAGTTTTCCATCATTAAACAGACCTGTGCAGATTCCAGCAGGTGGATTTTTTAATTCCTCCTGGCACCAGGCCCAGCCGGAGAAGAGAGAACACATTCCAGGTTTCCTCCTACTCGGATGCCTACTGCCGGCCCCTTCACCTGCTCCCTAATCCTCCACTTCTGGCCGCTGGGGAAGGTGCCTGCCACAGCCACCACCCAAGATGCCACCCTAGCCACTGAAGCCTTTGGCACTGCCCCCTCTGCCTCCCCCCTGAATCTTGGCTCTTGTCTTCTCTTTCCAGCCCGGGCAAGTGGCTGTCTCTTGCTAGGTTCTGCTCGCCCACTGGGTAGCACAGTTAGGCTTAGAGGCCCAGCCCAAGTCAGACAGACAGGGCTCAGAACCTCAGTCCTGCCATGGAGGACGGGCAGCAGAAAGAGAAGGTATGGAACGATCCTCTGCCACTTGCCTACCCACTGCTGTCCACAGCCTCGGATCTCCTCTCTCTCATTCTGTCTCCCAAACTCCCAAACTTTCTCTCTCTGCCACCTCTCACCCACCTATCAGGCCCTTCAGCTCTTGCTTGCCCCAGCGCTGCTCCTGTGCTGCCTCTGTCCCCAACCCATAGACAGATAAATACCAAGGCCTGGCCCTCACCCAGAGGTGCTGTCATCTGCCGGCTCTTTCTGACTTTTTCTTTTTGCCTCTTATTTCCCAGTGTGGCAAGGGTGGGAGAAAAGGAGGTGGGGGCCCCTGGGCGGGAGCAGTCGCCCCACGGCTTGCTGGCCGGCCATTGTGTCAGGGTGAAGAAGGCGGGGCCTTGTTGCATCCAGACAGGTGAGAGGTCACGCTCAGCTCCGCCACCCCCAACAAGTGCCGTTCATCCTGACTTGGTTCCTAGGAGCCTCACAGGGATCAATGGCCACACCTCCCGCCCCTCTCCCTGCCTGCATCTCCAGGCCCGGGAGAGGTGGAGACACCTACAGTTTGAGGGCTGGGTAGCCAAGCAGGCACCGCCCAAGAGGCTGGCTCTGACCCTGGGGATCGGCACATAAGTGCCCGGGACCCTAGCTTTGGGGCTGCCAGGGCCTCCCAGAGCCGGTGAGAGGGTGAGCAAGATGTTCTGCGGCCTGCAGGTGAAGCCCCTGGGCTTCCTCAAGCCCTCGTCGCTGGTGAAGGTCTCCGGCCGCTTCAAGGCCCACCAGGATTCGCTGCCCCGGCTGCCCGTGCCCGCGCTCCACCAGTCCCTGGACCGTTACCTGAAGGCACTGCAGCCCATCGTGAGCGAGGAGGAGTGGGCCCAAACCAAGCAGCTGGTGGAAGAGTTTCAGGCGGCAGGGGGTGTGGGGGAGCGCCTGCAGAAGGGGCTGGAGCGCCGGGCCAGGAAGACAGAGAACTGGGTGAGTTCTGAGAACGGGGCCCTCTTGGAGGCTCAGGGCGGGAGAGGATCCCTTGCTGTGGCCTGCTGGTGGCATCCCGCAGAATTTCTGGCACATTCTTCCGTGCCACGGGCTTTCTTGAGTGCTTCCTCTGTGCCTCACACTAGGCCAGGCCCTGAGTGAGCGAGGGCACGGGCTGTGATCCCTTGGGGCTCACATTCAAGGAGGGTGGGATGCGAGGTGATGAAACAGCACACAGGTGAGTGGATGAGTTTCTTTCCGGTGGTGAAATTGGCCGGGAGAGAAAAGGGAGGGGGGAGAAGGGCAGTGTCTTTTTTCTGCATGGGGAGAGAGGAGGTGGTGTTGGATCTGAGACAGAGACAACCGGGGCGAAGGTGGCAAGAGCCTAGCAAGAGCCCAGCATGTTCAGCAACAGAGGTTGGAATGTAGCGCGATGGCCTGGAGCTGGGGTTGGGGGGGTGAGCATCAGAGGAAGGAAGCTGGACTTGAGCTCAGTCGGAGGGGCTGCACGGTGGCTCCAAGCAGGGCACTGGTGCTGCTCGGTGACAGACCAGACCCGACCCCCCCCCGTTCCTTGTCCCCATCTGTCACACAGGTGTGCGCAGCTCGTGAAAATGGGTCCACACGGATGCTCCATGCGCTTTTTCTATGCCCTGAATCTTGGCTCTTGGCAGTATTGTCTGCCACCTCTTGACACAGTGGGGAAGGACCACCCTGTCTGCTGGGAAGGAAGCGGGCTTGGGGGTGGGAGCCATGGGATGAGACGGGCGCCAGCACCCCAAGGGGGACACCGGCAGGGAGAGCTCTGGTGGGTGATTCAGTTCTGTCTGCCCGGTGTATGTTCTGGAAGCGCCACCAGGGGCCCTTGCTGATGGGGGCTGTGGGGGCAGCTGTCCTGACCTAAAGCAACCGCGTAGGGAGAGGGAAGAGGGAGACCGGCCAGGACAGGAAAGGCCGAGGGGACAGCAGGTTTGTGGGAGAGAAACAGAGCTGGGTTTTGGCCAGATCAGGTGGGAGATGCTCTGAGTGCAGCAGGTGGAGGGTACGGTCTGCACACAGCAGGTGGGAGTCATCAGCTGGCGGGTGGCACGTCCTGAGCTTTGGCAGGCGCTTAGGGAGTCTGCGGTCTGGCAGTTTCCCAACATTTTTAGCCCGTTACTCCTTCCCATAGAAGCTTCTAGCTGAAGGGGTAAGAGTATCCCTTTCTGCACTCACAGGGCCCTCGTGCCCAGCAGATTCTCAGCGGGGGAATGCCCACATCTGTAGGATCTGCCCTTATTTCCCAGCTCTGGTCAGAAGCCCTGAGATCCCTGGTGGAGTGGGGGCCTCTGGCTGGAGGGCGACCCGGCTGTCCGCAAGGGGAGGGAATTCCTGTCTGCCCCTCCCTGATCTATAGATGAGGAGGCTGAGGCCCAGAGAGGTAGATGGGAAGCCCAGAGCCCCACAGCCGCTCTCAGGGAGGCCCCGAGCTCCACAGAGGGGTCTGGCTGACCAGGAGCGCTGTCCTCAGGCCGCAAGTCAGCAGAGCGCCGTTGCCCACTGGCACGTGGAGTGTGGTCTTTCCTCACCCCCTTGGCAGGGGTCCGCAGCTGATGGCCTGGTGCTACAGGCCAGCAGTTCCCCAAGCAGAACCCGAGTGGTGAAGAGGCAGGTCCCACTGCTGTTTGAGAGGGGAGAGGAAACACAGTGGAGGTGGGAGGGCCCCTGGGGTGGGGAGACGGGCCAGAGAGGGGTTTCAGGCATTTGCTTGCAGGGGCGGAGTGAGCGTGTATGACAGTCAGCACGTAAGTCTCAAGGATGATGGGCAGTGGCAGTCTGCACAGCCTGGGGACAGGAGCCTTCAACACCCTGTCTGTGGTGGGTCCCCAGAGGGACTGCTCACCTGATGGAAGCCACGCCCCTTGAGCAGAGGACAGACCACCAGGTGGAGACACAGGGTGTAGCACCCACGTCTGGGCACTAGGGCAGTGTGATTCACCCTCGCAGGGAGCTTTCCGCAGATGGCCCTGACCTTGAGACCCAAGAGAGTGTCTGCACCCTGGTCTGACACCAACAGAACCCAGGCCAGGGAGGACCAGGGTCCCAAGGGCTACACTGCACTGTGCCCTTCTGCTCCTGGCTTCCTGGATAGTGTCTACCCGGGACGGTCAAAAACACGATTGTCAGACCTTATAACGTTTTTTCCTTTTTCCCTTTTTTGTCCACCTGGCATATATATTTTTTTTTTCCTTCTGAAAGTAGTAAAATCATTGACCAAAAGTGTGTAAGAGGGATGCCTGGGTGGCTCAGTCGGCAAAGTTTCTGCCTTCAGCTCAGGTCATGATCCCGGGGTCCTGGAATCGAGCCCTGTGTCGGGCTCCCTGCTCCACGGGGAGCCTGCTTCTCCCTCTCCCTCTGCCTGCTGCTCCCCCTGCTTGTGCTCTTTCTGTTAAATAAATAAATAAAATCTAAAAAAAAAGGGGGGTGTGTGTAAGAGAAAGGAAAATGATTCCCACTTCTGCCTCCTCCCCTCACCCCCCTGCCACCCGCAAGTATTCTGCCCCGTCTTTCTCTCTGGAATCTTTGGCTTGGCAGTATTGTCTGATTTCTCTTGCTAAAGCGGATTGCCTCAGGTGAAGGGGAAATGATGGGGTGCTGCTGGTGGGCTGAAGGGGGCGGGGAGGGGGCTCTGGATCTGAGCATTCACTGTGAGGATCTGCACTCTATAGAGGGGGTAGGAGGGACCCGGCCAGGTCCCCGCCCACGCCTCACAGGCTCTGGTCCTTTTCCCAGCTGTCCGAATGGTGGCTCAAAACAGCCTACCTCCAGTACCGCCAGCCCCTGGTCATCTACTCCAGCCCCGGTATGGCCCTGCCCAAACAGGACTTTGTGGACCTGCAGGGACAGCTCCGGTGAGTGGCTACGGCTGGGACAGGGCTCCGGGCATTTCCAGGGCCCTGATGTCCAACCCCCCGGAGAGTGCAGGGCCCCAGTCCTAGTCATTGTCTTCCATCGCACACATAGCCTTATGAAGTCCGGAGTATCGTCCCTCTTTTACAGATGAAAGGACTTGCCCAAGAGCACCTTTCAGGATTGGCTGATCTGGGCCAGAAAGCAGGGTCTTCCGGGTTCTGAAGCGTCATAACGGGTCACTGCACTGTGAACCATGTCCCCTCCCTCCCTCTAAACCTGAGGCTGTCCCTCACCCTGGTTCTGACACCTCACCCCCGCCCTCTGTCCAGCTGGCCACAGGGGTGACCTTTATACACAGTTCCCTTTTCCACATTCAGCCATGTCACTTGCCCTGGCCCCTGTGCCCAGACTACCAGGGATAAAAATACCAGTGACAGGGATCTCCTGCCCAAGGACCAGCCACTCGGGGCTACCGCCGGCTTCTCTTAAAGGGGCCAGGGCACCCCAAGAGTTCTGACTCAGACTCCAGTCCCCGGTCCCCATGTTGGCAGCCAGGGGCAGCCCAGGGGTCAGGCGTGATTGGCGTGGCCCAGACCATCCAAGGAGGAAGATCACCCCCAGGAGAGGTGGCCTGGGAGACCCAGAGGCCCTCAAACAGGAAGTTACCTATCAGAGGAGATACCCTGAGCCACTGCCCTCCCATTCATACTCCCTGTCCCGCAAGGTCCCAGGTCCCTCTCTAACTGATGCTTCAGGGAAGGGTGACCTTCCAGGCTCCAGGCTGTGGTTCAGGCCCTTTGTGGGTAGAATCCGCCAAAACTGACCAGTAAACCGGCAATAATTCATTCATTACACCTACATCCTGCCAGGGCTTGGTCGAAGCATCTCCCTGGGCCCTCTAGGAGCCCTCCTTCTAGAAATAAGAGAAGGTTGGCTCAGAAAGGCAAGCAGGGACTCAAGCACTGGTTTTGCACTTGAACTTCTTCAGGCTTACAGCAAGCAGTGAATCAAGAGTGAAGCAATCTGTCTCCTCCCTTGACCAGGCCCCTCCCTTCACCCCACGGGTGTCCCTGATCAGGGACCTCCCGCAAGGAGTCCACACAGCTTCTGATCTCTCATTGGTCCCCCCAGGTTCGCTGCCAAATTCATCGAGGGCGTGTTGGATTTCAAGGCCATGGTTGACAAGTGAGCAGCCCGCCCCTGCCCCGCCCTCCTTATTGCCACAGCCACCCCAGCCTGGGCCGGGGCAAGTCCAATGACCAGACCCGTGCTGGGCTGGCCCAGAGCTTCTGGCTTTCACTTCCTGTTGGCCCAGACTCTGTAGGGGTTGGGGAGACAAAAGTGTGGGGATTGGGATGCTAGGTCCTCTGCTCCAGCTACAGAGACCAATGCCTGGTGACACGGTCCCGACAGACCCCTGGAATTGGTGTCCCAGCCAGCCAGAGAGGACCCCAGAGGCAGACTCACCCTTTCATCTGTTCTGTGGCAAACCAGAGCCTAGAGAGGGAAAGGGGTTTACAGGGTGACCCAGCAGGGCCCACCCAGGGTGGAGTACTGGCCTCCTGACAGCAGGCCAGTCCCTGACACATCCCCGGCTCCTACCGAGTAGAGGTCAGGGCGCCACTTGGGTGAGACCCCTTCTCGGCCGTGCCTAGCAGCAGCTCCCTGTCGGTGTTGTCCTCATCTCTGCTTACTTGCTTGGTGGCCCCCTTACTGTCCCTCTGCCCCCACCCGCCTGCAGCGAGACCCTGCCCGTGGAGTACCTGGGGGGTAAGCCGCTGTGCATGAACCAGTACTATCAGATCCTGTCCTCCTGCCGCGTGCCGGGCCCCAAGCAGGACACGGTCATCAGCTTCAGCAAGACCAAGAAGCCACCCATGCACATCACTGTCGTCCACAACTACCAAGTGGGTGGGCTCCCAGACTGCTGCAGGGGAGGAGGGGGGCAGGGCCGAAAATCAGCTTCCCCGCCGCCCATGCCCACAGGCCCCCAGGAACCTGGGGGTCTCCACCGCCTCCCCACCCCCACAAGCCCAGCCTGAGGGCAGCCAGGAGGGGCCCGTGGTCCCGCCCAGCCTGGGGGAGAGCCAGGCAAGGTCCTCCTCCCCTCTCATACCCGTGACCTGACTTCACCCCTCTGTGGGGCCTGGGCTGCCACTAGCTGTGACTTCTGGGCGGCCAAGGTCAGGAGGAGTCCAAGGGTGGGAGGTGACTGAGGCCAGTCTGAAACCTACCCCCACCCCCCGCCCCACCCACCTCCCTTCTCTCCACTTGCCTGTGCCTGGATAGTTTTTTGAGCTGGACGTGTACCACAGCGATGGGACACCCCTGACGTCAGATCAGATCTTCGTGCAACTGGAGAAGATCTGGAACTCGTCCCTGCAAACCAACAAAGAGCCCGTGGGCATCCTTACCTCCAACCACCGCAACTCCTGGGCCAAGGCATACAGCACCCTCATCAAAGGTGCCCCCGGGTGGGGGTGGAAGAAGGAGGAGAGGCCCCCCCCCCCCACCATTCTCACTGAATGCGCTCAAGTCAGAGCGGCTGTTGTTGGCCCATTTCACAGACCAGGAGGCTTGGATGGGCTTAGTTTCCCTCTATTAAGTTGCAAAGTTATGGTAACAGTCCAGGTCCTCTGACTGCGGACCCCACCTCCACCTCCATGTTCTTTCCAATCCTGTGTGGGTCAGGGGCATCATCCCCTGAGCCAGACCCCTGTGCTGGCCCCCTGAGCCACACTGGCCCTCCACATGATCTGGGGCTTCTGTGCCTTCATTTTTTTTTTTTTTTCTTTTTGGAGATTTTATTTAGTTTTGCACAAGAGTGGGAGGAGGAGCGGGGGGAAGGAGAGGGACAAGCAGACTCCCCGCTGAGCCCTGGGGCTCCATCTCAGACCTCATGACCCTGAGATCCTGGCCTGAGCCAAAATCAAGAGTTGGGGGCTTAACTGACTAAGCCACCCAGGTGCCCCCTCCTCCTCTTTTTTTTTTTTTTAAGTTTATTTTTATTTTGTTGGTAATCTCTACACCCAGCATGGGGCTCAAACTCACAACCCTGAGATCAGGAGTCAAGCCAGCCGGGTACCCCTGTGTATCCTCGTTTCTAACATGGGTCCGGTATCGGTCCCTGCCTCATGGGGTACCAGGGGGCTGCAGGGCCCTGTCGAGTGTGAAGCTCTCACACCCACACGTGGCACTAGGCAAATGCTCTAGAAGCCTCCAAGGCCTCCCTGGGGCCTAACGTTCGGCCCCATCCCGCCCCCCTCCCACCTCCCTCCACAGACAAGGTGAACCGGGAATCCGTTCGCTCCATCCAGAAGAGCATTTTCACGTTGTGCCTGGATGCCCCCATGCCTCGGGTCTCCGACGACGTGTACCGCAGCCACGTGGCTGGCCAGATGCTGCACGGGGGCGGAGGCAAGCTCAACAGTGGCAACCGCTGGTTCGACAAGACACTGCAGGTGAGGGCCCGGCAGGCCTGGGACTCCCTGCCCAGGACGCCCACCCAGGCTTGACCCACTGCAGCCCCAGGACTTCCGGCCCCTCGCCTGGGCGTCCCTCGCCTCCCAGCTCGTAAAGCAGGCGGGAAGCCAGCAGGGGGATGTGGCTGTAATTACTGGAAGGTCAGCCTGTCATTACTGGGCCTGGCCCAGAAACCGCTGTCACCCCTTCAGCACATCAGAGGGAGCCTGGGCTGTGGGGCCTGGCAGAGCGGCGTGGTCTTGGCCGTGACTTTCTTTCTCTGCACCTTTAAGACGACTCCCAGGGAGGGCACTGCAGGGACTCAGTGAGGTGTATGAGTATGGGACGTGCTTGCTTGCTGTGGCCTGGAATGGGCCTGAGGCCCCTGCTGAGCGTCAGCTGTTACTAATGACAGTAATAAGTCAGCCTAAGCCCTGAGATGGCTTCAGAGAGGCGCTTCCCACGGCCCCAGCCAGCAGAGAGTGGCCCCAGGGCCCCGGGCTTGACAGGTCCCCGCTCCCCTCCATAGTTCATTGTGGCCGAAGACGGCTCCTGTGGACTTGTTTATGAGCATGCGGCGGCAGAGGGGCCCCCCATCATCGCCCTTGTGGACCACGTCATTGAATTCACGTGAGCATGCTTGTCCCACCCTCCACCCAGTTCCCCAGCTTCTGGTGACAGGTGACACACATGGGGGAATGCCATTCTCCCTTGTGCCTGGGAATCTGTTTCTTCAAAGGAAGCCAGAGGAGGGCAGGCCTGGGCTTGGAGCCTGTCACACCTGGGTTTGCGCTGTGGCTCTGCCACTTCCCAGCTACGGGACCTCGGACAAGTCCCTTGCCCTCTGCAGGCCCCTGGAGACTGGAGTGAAGTCAATTTCCTAAGGAGCAAACCCAGGGTCTCCCTAGGCTGGCTCCCTCCAGCCTTGGGGACCCATGCCCCCCACCCCAGGCCCAGGTACGGACCCAGGCTCCCGAGGCCCCCATGTCCCATGCAGGAAGAAACCCGAGCTCGTGCGGTCCCCCATGGTGCCCCTGCCCATGCCCAAGAAGCTGCGGTTCAACATCACGCCCGAGATCAAGAGTGACATTGAGAAGGCCAAGCAGAACCTCAGCATGTAAGCACCGGGCATGGGGATCTTATATTAGGTTAAAGGCCCGGCGCCCCGGGGCCTGCCAGGCTCCTGTTCGCGGCTGTCATCCTACAGGGCTGTGACGGAGTGCTCCTGGGCCATCACTGCCCTTCGCCCACCTCCCTCCCACCCCCACCCCCCACCCCCGCAGCATGATCCAGGACCTGGACGTCGTGGTCATGGTGTTCCACCACTTTGGGAAAGACTTCCCCAAGTCAGAGAAGCTGAGCCCGGATGCCTTTGTCCAGATGGCACTACAGCTGGCCTACTACAGGTGTGCCCTGCCCGCACCCCGCCGTGGAGGAGGCTCGAGGCCTGGCTGGTGCGGGGGTGGGGGGGGTGGAGGCGGGGCAGCCTGCCCGCGGGGGTGCTCAGCGCCTTCTCCCACCCAGGATCTACAAACAAGTGTGCGCCACGTACGAGAGCGCCTCCCTGCGGATGTTCCACCTGGGGCGCACAGACACCATCCGCTCCGCCTCCGTGGACTCGCTGGCCTTCGTCAAAGCCATGGATGACCCCAGTGTGTCGGTGAGAGGTCTGGGGTAAGGGTGGGCAAGCTGGCCTCCTCTCCTGTACGTTCTGTCATTCCACATCGATCGAGCACCTACTGCCTTCCGACCCTCTGGTGGGCCCTGGAAATCTACCAGGGGTTGGAGTCACGAATTTGGCCCTGAGCTTCCCTGCGGTCAGACACCAAGAGGAACTGCTCTGCAGCCAGCATCTGCCCTGGGGCTCAGGCCTCGGGGGAGGACGTAGGAGAAAGGCAGTAGTTCCAGTTCCTACTCTCAGGGGGCACGGACACCAGTGCTGGCTGGGAAGCGTGCTGCTGGGGTGTGGACGGCCCGCGACAGGCAAGGAACTTGTACTTCAACTCCCTCCCCGCTAGGACCAGCAGAAGGTGGAGCTGCTGCGGAAGGCCGTGCAGGCACACCGAGCCTATACCGACCAGGTGACCGTGACCGCATGACCTCTTTTCCCGGATCTCCAGGGCTGCTCACCCTTACCATGAACCCCTCCTCCCCAAACCTTGAGACCCTTGGGGCACCTGGAGCCAGGTTGAATATCCCCCTTTTAAAGTTGGAGAAACCGAGGCTGAGGCCCGTGACTTTGTTGGTCCTGGGTTAACCTCCGGATCTTGGCGTCATGCTCTCTCCTCCATGGCCCCGGAGCCCAGGACACGGAGGGTTTGCAGGGTCTGGCCAACAGCACCCGTCCTGCCCTCTGACAGCTTGAGTGGCAGTCAAGGGGGTGGAAGCCTGGGTTCCCATCCACCTCTGAGCACCTTGTGTGCCAGGCTCTGCCCACGTGCCACACAGAGGTTCATTTCGGTCTCAGTGACACCCTGTAAAGGGAAATTCAGCGACCACCCCCATTTTATAGATGAACACACTGAGCCTCCAGGATGGAGGGGAACTGCCAAGGTCCCATAGCCAGAATGGGGCCAGGACACCCAGCTATAGGCCTGTGTTCTTAAATCCTGCCCTGCCCCTCTCTGGGCACATCCCTGGGTCTCAGTTTCCCCATCTGTAAAGTGAGGGCTGTCCTGCCTGGACCCTCTGTTCTCATGAGTCCAAGGGACCACTGCCTGGAAGAGGCGCTGCTGCTGTAGGCTTTTGAGGAAGGTCACGGGCACCCTCTGGGCCTGCAGCCGCTGTGTCTGACAGCTCCCCCTCTCACAGGCCATCCGGGGGGAGGCCTTCGACCGGCACCTGCTGGGCCTGAAGCTACAGGCCATTGAGGACCTGGTGAGCATGCCCGACATCTTCATGGACACCTCCTATGCCATCGCCATGCACTTCAACCTCTCCACCAGCCAGGTGGGCCACTGCCCCAGAACCATCTGGATGTTCCTGCCCTCCAGGCCCCTGCCACTGCCCTAGGTGCCCTGGGATGGGACAGGACAGACCCTCGCTGGAGCTGGACAAAGGCTATCCTGAATAGAGCCAAGGTCCAGAGCATGGTCAGACCTTTGTAGTGGCGTGACCCTTAGAGGGCACCCCATGTCCACTGCCAAAGCAACTGAGTTCCAGTGGAAGAGCTGGGGTCAGGGGGCTGTGCTGCAGCTCAGGGAGGCTGAGAAGGAGTCCGAGTTTCCCGCCCCCCATGGGAGAATCGACTTCATCCATTCACTGTTTGGACACAAAGGAACGTCTGAGTCCTGCCATCCAGTCCCGGGCACTGGGACACAACAGGGACACATCCCCATCCCTGTCCCTGAGGGCTCACATAGTAGGCTGGAAGCACAGGGACGGAGACATTGATGCCCCTCCCACTCTCCCACCTCCACCCCCCCACTCTCCTCCCGCCAGGGAGTGCTGGGGTTCAGGGGAGGGTCAAGAAAGGAGCCCTTAAAGCTCCCTTGGGAATGGCAAGGAAGGCTCCATAGAGACCCGACTCCAGAACTGCACCCCAAGGAGGAGGAGAAGTAAGGCATCCGCTGGAGAAGAGGAGGGGCATCTCGGGCAGAGTACAGTGCGAGCGGAGATGCAGAAAGGCTGGCTGGTGCCCCCGCGGGGCTAGAGGCGAGCCTGTGGGGTGGGACAAAAGCCTCAGTCCTGTGCTGTCTCCAGGTCCCTGCCAAGACGGACTGTGTCATGTTCTTCGGGCCCGTGGTCCCCGATGGCTACGGCATCTGCTACAACCCCATGGAGGCGCACATCAACTTCTCCGTGTCGGCCTACAACAGCTGCGCGGAGACCAACGCCGCCCGCCTGGCGCACTACCTGGAGAAGGCGCTCCTGGACATGCGCGCTCTGCTGCAGAGCCCCCCCCGAGCCAAGCTCTGAGCCCCCGGTGCTCAGGCCTGCCGGCGCCACAGCCCAGCCGACCCCGGCAGTGGGCCGCCCACCGGGGTTCTGCTCCCTTGCCCCCCCCCCACCCCAGACCCTGCGCATCCGATCACGCAGGGCCTGCGGGCGTGAGCCGGTACCTTCCATGGCTCATCCCCAGCCTGCACGGGGGCCCGGGGCCTGGCCTGAGCTCCAAGGCTGAGTAGGACGGAAGGCCCAGGCGCCCGGCGCGTCACCCATGAGCCCACCTACAGGGAAAGGAACCAGAAGAGCCTGTCCCTCGCCAGGGGAGCAGACTGGCAAGTCCCTTTCTTGCTAGCTCAGCTCTGGCCAGCCCCCTGCCCTCTACGCTGCTGGGCCGGTGTCTGTACCCCGATCCCCAGGCTCCCGAGGATCTAGAGACAGGACTCTAGAGCCGGGGGTCTCCAGGCCTCCCTGAGGCTGAGGCCAGAGTGCAGGGTGTGCCGGTAAGGGAAACCCAAGGCCTCGACTCGGCCCACCCTGCCTGGCAGTGCCGTCTTCCCGGGGTGCTGCTGTGCTCTTTTGGGAGATGTGGCCCGGGACCCCTGACTCGCTCGCTTCCACTCAGCTTGACTCCTGAACCATGATGATGGTTGTATAACAGTAACATGCAAGGTGATTAATAAAGGAGAAATTTGTCGGTGGAGACGTGTAGAGCCTCTGGCTTCCTCCATTTTGCAGATGTGGAAACAAGCTCAGAGAGGTTAAGGTCACCCAGCCACTAAATGGCAGAGATTTCCGGAGGAGCCCTGGTAGCCAAGCACCCAGCCCCAACACCACACCCACTCAGACAACCCCGGGCAGCGGGTGGAGGAGAAAGGAGCCAGGGTGGAAACCGGCCCAGACTCAGCCCCATAAGCTGGTGCTGGAGGAGGACAGAGGCCCCCAGCCTGGGACGCACAGGAAGGTGCCAGGTGGCCCAAGGAACAGACAGGTGGAACTGACCTGTCCTAGGCACTGGGGACTGTCCAGCCTGAGCCTGCTCACAGCCACACAGACGGGTTCCTCATTCTTTGATGAAGCCAGGAGAGGGTATACCCCTTGCCCAAAGTCCCAGAGAGCAAGAGATGCGGCCCAGAGAATGTGGCCAGACCACCTAGGGCCCCATACAGGGGGATTCTCCCAAGACAGTGAGGAGGGTGTTTTAGGAAGATGCCGAGAAATGGGTTGAAGGGGGCCTGGCTGGGCTGTGGATGAGGGAGCCATGGGTGGAGGCTTCACGGTCTCCAGGGAGGGACCGGTGGGGCCCTGGACTCCGAGTGGCTTGGCAGGTGGGACTAGAGACATTTGAAAGATGTTTATCAAATACGAAGTAGTCAGCTAGGCTTGGGGCCCAGACTGAACGGGACAAGTTGGGCTGCCTGAAGGTGGGGATGGTGGGCAGGGGCGGGGAACTGCCAATGGGGAAGGCAGCGAGCCTACCTGGGACTCCGGGAACCCCCAGAGCTCACTGGATAGCCCCTTTCCTCTCTCCTCCCTGCCTGCTGGATTTTTGTCCACCTGTCCTCCAGCTCTCCTGTCCTCAACTGTGTCCAGTCTGCCTTACACATACCTATTCTTTTTCACTTTTGATTCATTTCAGTATCTGCCAGATCTCACTTTAGTTTCCTGTCCCCTACAGATATTTTAAAGATTGCCTTTTATTTCCTTAAAATAGTAGAACAATTTCGTCTGTGCCTGATCATTCCAGTAACATCCCAGTATTTACGGGTCTGCCTCCGTTGCCTGCTTTCTGCTGGTTCCCGGTTACGGCGCCACTTCCTTTTGTACCTGGCCATCTCGGTTTGTATTTTGTGCACTGTGATTTAAAAAACTTTTTTATACACGGTGGGGCCCGGTGGCTCAGTTAGTTAAGCATCTGCTTTTGGCTCAGGTCATAATTCAGGGTCCTGGGATCGAGTCCCAGGTCAGGCTCTGCGCTCAGGGGGGTGTCAGCTTGTCTCTCTCCCTCTGCCCCCACTCATGCTCTCTCTCTCTCCAATAAATAAAATCTTCAAAATTTATGTACACAAATAACTGAAGTCTTGGATGAAGTTTTCTCCAGAGATTTGTTTGCTTCTGCCTCGTACCTGAGGTGAGGTCAACGTGATTCAATGTCAAGGTTCTGTGGACCCAGCAGGGATCCAAACCCAACCTCCAAGCTCAAGGGACAACAGACAGTTCTGGTTCACCCTGACCCTGACCGAAGGTGTGTTCGTTCTGCATCTCTGCTGTGTGAATCAAGGAAGGAGAAGCCTCCCTACCATGGGCCAGCCCTTGGGGGTGACCTGTGCCCAAGGCACTCCCACGAGGCCTCCAAACACCCAGCTCAGTCTGCAGCTGTATCTCCCAAAGCAAGAAACTCACTGAGTGAAACAGGGAGAGGAGGCAGCCGAGGCGTAGGAAGGGCTCGCTTGCCCAGTCCTCAAGGGCTATCCCATGGAGAGTGAGGCTGAGCGCACAGCCAGAGCCAGCCGGACCACACAGGGGGGCAGAGCAGGACCACCGAAAGGGGAACTTGCAACTGAACAGCAGGCAGCGAGATGTCCTCAGGCACTGAGGGGGAAATATCACAGAGGCTGTTCAAACCCCAGGTCTGGGGGCTGGAATGGACTAGATGTCTTGGAGATGCTTATGATTTTTATGGTGTTAACCACATTCCTGCCCCTCAGGGTGGCATGTCCCCACGGCCACAGCCCGCCCCTGGCTCCTCTTATGAGCTCAGGCAACATAGATAGGCTCGAGCCGCCAGAGTTCAAGATTTTATTTTAAAACAATAGTAAACAATTTCATTGATTTTTCTTAAATCAAACCACCTCACACTTGGCTTGTCTCAGGCAAAAAGTAAAAAATAAAAATAAGAAAGGAAGGGGAGGAAAATGTGGGGACTGACCAACCTTCCCCAGAAATAGGCCCCTGGTCCTGGCATCTGGAATGGCTTTTGGACACTGTCTTTAACAAAGGAGAAAAGAAAGCACCGAAATATTGTGCTTCAGCAGCAGGTTAGGAACCTCCACAAAGAAAAACGGTGGTGGGTTAGGGGGGTGTGGAACACAGGTCCCGAGCAGCCTGGTTCAGTTCTAGAAACTTCCAAAGAGTCTGGAAGCATCTCTTCTCCACAACTCCATTCAAGAGTGACTTAAGAGGTTGGGTCCCCTCAGGAGTAGCTGCCCTCCACACTGGACAGTGTGCAACCACACCCCGGACACAGGCTTAAGGATGCCTGAGCAAGTACCCAGGCTCTCGGGAGGGTGTCAAGAAGGACAAGGGAGTGTTCAGAGCACACGGAGGGAAGAGGAAGAGAGGAGGGGAGGGGAGGACAGTGACATCAGGCACCCACAGCTCCGCTCCCCTCACCCGGCAACTGGTTCCTCTGCACTGTGTTTGGGAGGAGTTGACAACGAACGGCTACGGGAAGGCAGGACAGGAAAAGAGCTGTAAACAGCCTGGGTTTGCTCACCCACATGTGCAGGCTCTTTTGTCAGAAGGGGACCATCGTCTTGGGGACAGGGGACCAGAAAAAGCCCTTGTGGTGCAGGGTCAGTAACGGGTAGGGCACAACGAGAGCAGCGGCCGGAAGCGCGCGCTCACGGGGCCCTGGCCCCCAGACAAGGAAACACTGAACAAGGTTCTGGAATGGCATTGGTGGCAGGGAGGGCGTGGAGGTGCTCCCCTCCTCCGGGGCCCCCACGCCACCTTTCTGGCCCAGGGAGAGGCAGTGTGTCCCCTGGGCCCCAGGCAAAGGGCCCCCGGGCGGCTGACCTCGGCCCCTCCCTGTATGCAGGGCAACCGCAGTAGGCAGGCAGGCTCCCTCGGCCCCATCTCCAAAAGCCCGTCTGCCTTTGACAAAACCCAAAAATAAATAGTGTGTATTGTTCACGCCACCCGGATCTCCTGGCCCCGCGACCAGAGGTGCAAGCCCTCCTCCTCTACACCACCCCCCGGTGCCCACGCCGAGGGCACTCACCGCCCAACCAGGGGCTGGCAGCAGCACAGCGAGGGTCTCTGGCCACGTGGCCCCTGGGCAGCAGGCCCCCCAGGGTCCTGGGTTGAGGGGCTGCCTCGGCCCTTTGGTCCACCTTGTTCATTAAAATTAAAATAAGAAAAAAAAGGCTCCACTTGGTGACTTGGGTCTGTAGAGGTCTCTGCTTCATCCCTCTGTCTGTCGTTCTGTCCATCCTGCAAGGCATCAAGCATGCCAGATCTGGAGGCTGGACCCAGCCACACTCACAGGTCACTGCAGTTTCGTTCCCAGCTTACGCTGTCTGTTCCTACAAAGTGGGGGTGGAGGTCACAGGTCAGGATGTTTGGGGGTCAAATGAGAGGACCCCTGGCATTCGTGACCCACGCCCTCAGCTGTCCCCACCCTATCCACAGTCCCATCAAAATGGGTGACTGCCCACTCCAGTAGCACCCATGATTGACTCAAACTGGGCCAGTCGGAGCTCCCTGCCCTGGGACCTGGGATTTGGAATCCCAAAGAGGATCAGTGTCTCAGGCTGGGCCGTATCCAGATGTCTCAGTTCTGGAGCTCAGGAACCCAGCCATGACACTGGGTCAGAGGTGGGCCAGGGATGAGGCCTGAGGCTACAGGGACCTGGCTAGAATCCAACAAATGCTGGGGATTAGAGATAAGCCAGCAAAAGCAGGGTTCTATTATCACTGACCCAAGCGGATGAAAGACAGCTCTGTACCTGGAGCTACGTAGGCCAAGGTAGAACTACTGATGGACGTTCTACAGGGGATTTGAGTGTCTGGTTGGGGGAATGGTTATATCCACGATGAGCCCAGCAACTGGAGGGAAGCAGGGACAATCTCCCCCATTTTCCAGAGAGGCTGACTGAGGCTCAGAAAGGAGAATGAACTGACCTGTCTTGAGTTCCATTTAAAATTCAGAAAACTGGGGCGCCTGGGTGGCTCGGTCGGTTAAGCATGTCTGCCTTCGGCTCAGGTCATGATCCCAGGGTGCTGGGATCAAGTCCCATATCAGGCTCCCTGCTCAGCAGGGAGTCTGCTTCTCCCTCTCCGGAGCTCTGTCTGCTGCTCTGCCTACCTGTGTGCTCTCTCTCCATCAAATTAATAAGTAAAATCTTTAAAAAATAATAAAAATAAAGTAAAATAAAATAAAATACAGAAAACTTACTGCGCCCACACATCCTGCATGATGTCGCCCCGGCCTCATCCCCTGCTCTGTCCCCTCATTCCTGGGCTCTAGTCACACCTGCCTCTGTCTGTTCAGGGGACTGACCCCGCTTTGCCCTGCCTTAGAAACTTCATGGGTGCGGTTCCCTCTGCTAAGGGCATGCTCCCTGCCACCTCCACTTCATCAGGCCCACTCTTTCTCCACACTCAGGCCCGCCTCCCCAGGGCAGCCCGCACAACTACCCTGCCCCCTCCCTCCCCACTCAGGATCCTGCCATGAGCTCTCAGACCCAGGACACAGACCACACAGACAGGCGCTTCATTCCTCACGTCTCCCCTGCCTGCTGTGAGCCCCTCCCTCTGTGCTACCCCCCAGCACACGGGCTGGCCCAGAGCAGAGGCACACGGAAATTCTGGTTGATGAAAGCAGGTGGGGGCCAGCCAGGTGTGGCCAGCTGGGGCTCTTCCATCGATAATGGGATTGCCTGCCCTAACCCCTTCAAATCTCCTTTCCTCATGCATCCAGGACTTTACCCTTAAGCTCATTAGGATAATTTGGAGCATGAGGCACCAGACACATTCCCGGAACACTCCGCCAGGGCCTGCCCCAGGGTTCTTCTCACCAGCATGTCAGGAAACCTCCCAGGCTTACTCTGGAGTCTCACCTCACCTCAGCTCCCCCTCTGCACCTGAGGAGAAACCCAGCCTTCCCCATCCCAGCTGGCGCCCCGCCCAGGATCTGGGGTGAGTGGAGAGGGACAGTGGAGTCAGGAGGCTCCCAAGCCCAGCTCTGGCCCAACCTGCTATGCAACCACAGGCAGCCCCAACTCCCCGTGCCTCAGTTTACCCATCCATAGGAGAGTATCTGGACTAAACAACTCCAAGGGATAGCCACATACAGCCAGCCCAAGAATCTCAGCCGCCCAGCTGTCTGGCTCTGGGCTACAGGGGCTAAAAGGACAGCTCTGGGCCAGACAGCCGGGCTCCCTGCCCAGCTCCCATACCCACCAACCACAAGTCCCCAGTCAAGTCACTCCTCTTCTCTTCTCTGAGCCTCAGTTCCTCAGCTGTAAAATGGGGCTCAGGGGAAGGTGCGATGAGGTAGTGCAGGAAAAGTGCTGAGGCAAGTGGTTGGCTACTAGGGAGCCCTCCAAAAAGGGGGGACAGTGGCCGCTGTGGGGCTCTGCCCCACTGAGCCAGGACCCCGTGACTGTTGGCACCTAACTCACCTGGCTTCTGCCCGGGTTACCGTGTACTCAAACCAGAGTACATTGGGGATGAGGCTCGTGTCTCGGATTAGGAAGAACTCAGAGATAGGCCTAGAGAAACAGACATCCAGAAAGCCAGGACCACATCAGGGCACAAGCCTGCCACCAAGTCAAACTACCCACCCCCCCCCAGTGCCCAGGGCTGGCAATGCACCCTCCCCCACTGTTCAGAGTCTCTGCCTGGCCTGTGACCCAGGAGCCACTGAGAGACCCAGACGTGTCACCTGTGTGACATTCGGGCAGGGGTGCTGCCCCACGGTACACACAGCCCAGCAGGACTCGGGCTGCTTCCCAAGTCCCTGAGAGCCGAGGTGCAGAGGATGGCCCCTTGGATTCTGGGCCTGAAGAAACACCAGAGGGAGGAGGATGCCAGGCAAGGAGGGATTGCAGCCCATACCCTCCGAAAAGGGGGACACGAGGGCCCTCCCAGGGTGCTGGAGGCCAGGGGCAGAGGCGGGTGGGGCAGTCACGGGGCAGGAGGCAGTTACCAGGCTGCTATCCTAGGGAACAGCGGGGTGAGGACCTCCTGGGTGAAGGCGAACCACGCGACGGCCATGAGGCTCCCGGCAATGCCCCCATAGAGCACCTGGCTCCAGGTGTGGTACAGCAGGTAGACCCTGGGCCAAGGACAGAGGGAAGTTCACGAGACCCAGCTGGGCACGGGCCTGCACGATCCCCCATGCCCAAGCACTGGCTTCCCCAGAACCTGCGTGTGCACGCAGGGAGACACGCAGATAGGACAGACTTCTGTGAACACACAGCCTCCAATCTACTTCCAGAAGGAGCTGCTCCTTCCAGCAGCGGCTCCCCCAACCACAGAAGGGAAGGGATGGTGCGGCTGGGATGTGCCTCCCTTCTGTCCAGCCTTCAGCTCGGAGTCTGTCTGCACAAAGCTCCTCCAGGACACTGGGAACAGATGGCTGATGTGCGCAGGTGTCCCCAGAACCGTGGGACCGGCCAGGAGGAGAGAGAAGGACCAGGCTGGAAGGGGGAGCAGAGCCCTAGCTCTTAAAAATGAGAGGCCTGGGACCCCTTTCCCCGGCCTGCTCTACAGGCTCTGGGACTTGGGTCCATGGGGAGGTCCAACAGGGACCACAAATGCAGCAGGACCCCAGAGGGCAGGGTGGGGGTGGGGCTCTTCGCCCCTCCATACCTGCTATAGGAGACTAGAAAGGCCGCAGCGAGGAGACCCAGGGAAAGCACATGCCTCCATAGCAAGTCCAGGAACCTGGCGTTGTTTGTTTGGTGCATTCTGGGAAAACAGGCCCGTCAGATGGCCTCAGCCCACAGCCTGGACCTCAGGCCTCCCAGACAGCCCCAGTCCCATCCAAATGCTGCCCAGGCACCTTCTCCGTGGCTGCAGCTCCTCCCACCCCCGACAGAGGCCAAGCCCCAAGGATGTCCAAAGAGCTAAGAGCGAGTCCCTGGCAGAGGCCAGACTGGGCCGGTTCGGGCCCCACTCCCCACCCCCCTGCCAGGGCAGAATCTCACCTTAAATACAGGAAGAGGAAGGAATAGACGGAGAAGAACCACATAAACTGGGAATGGCTGGAGGGCATCCCGTACTTGGTGCCCACTGCCATGTGGGGGCCTGGGAGAGAGAGAACACAGCAGGATGCGGGGATGCAGGCCTTCCGGTCACATCCCGACCAGGGACCACCCCCCCGACCCCACGACCCAGACCCCACCTCCACAGGGCCGTGGCTCCTGGATGACGTGTTTGATCAGCCAGTTGACCCCCTCGTTCAGTGCCAGGCCCCCGAGGAACGAAATCTGCCGGGAAGATGTGAGGTCAGCTGGGCCTCAGTGTGCCTGCCGGCCGCCACCCAGGCCCAAAGACTGTGGCAGCTGCCTGACCCTCCCCGCCCAGCTAGTGAACAGCCCAAACCGGCTGGGAAGCTCCACCCAAGAAAGGTGGAGGCAGAGAAAGGAGAGCAAAGCACCTGGGATGAAGAGCTGTGCCCGGAGCCCACCACCCCGCACCCCTCCCCAGCATGGGGGCACCAGAGGAGCAGTGGAGGGACGGGCAGGGACGGACTTACTCACCGTGTGCAGCTCCCGCTTGAATATGATGAGGGTCACGAAACCAACGATGACGAAGACAGGGCTGAGGCTCAGGTAGGCAAGGAGGTGGCCAGAGAGATCACCTGGGGTGGGGCAGGGGGAGGCGTGGGCACAGGGAGAACAGGATGAGGACAGAGCACCACAATCACAAGAGGGGCAACACCCAGCAAGTCAAGTGGGGCCTGTGCCAGAAACGAGGCCCCAGGAGGGCCCAAAGGGCAGGACCAGGCAGCTGTGGCTGCCTCAGTCTACCAGGTGACCACACCAACTCAGCCATGGGCACGACAGACCAGTGTCCAATCACTGAGCCCTCATGTGCATAGATCGTAAGTTTAAAGCTAGTGCCTTCGCTGGCCCCATTCTGTAAAGAAAGAAACTCAGTCCCACAGGGGTTGTGTGACTTGCCCAAGGACACACAGCCAGAAGAAGGTGGGGTCTGACCTAAAATCCAACTCTCTAGCCTGGTTCAGGTAGTAAGCCCACCACCCTGCCAAAGCAGGAATTTGAACCTGGCCTGGCCTGACCTTCAAGGCCAGGTCCCAGAGGAGGAGGCAGGCTGGCAGGCAGACAGGCACCTCTGGAACACAGCGCTGCACTGAGGCTCCCCCTGCCAAGCCCTGGGCCTCCAAAGGAACCTGGAAATCTCTGGACCCTGCAGAAAGAATCTGTCAGGGACCAAGTGAGGGGAGGGGAGAGGCTGCTTTCACCAATACGGTAGCCTCTCCATTGGCAAGACATTGGCTACCTATGACCTGTTTTTACCTCTTTACAGGCCCAGAAAGGAGGCTGTACGGGAATCAGGAGCCACTTTGAGAGCTGAGGATATGGAAGCCAAGAGACAAGAGCCACGTTCCCTCTCGGTCAAGGGCAGGGCTGACACAGAGCCCAAAGACTGCCCTCACCGTTAGAGACAGGGCGGCTGAGGGGCCGCTCTCAGGTCAGAGGGCATGCATGCCTCATGGTTCAGTTCGTGAGCCAGTGAGAAGGGCACCCATGTCCTACAGCGGTGGGAGCTTTGATGCAGCAAGGCCCATGAGACCAGCTCAGCCCCTAGCACTCAGGACACTTCCATGTTGGGAGAACTCAGCATGGGAAACGGCCCACACCACCAGCCTGGCCTCACACAGGCGGCAGGAAAGTACCCACGCAGGGCTGAGCCCAGATTCCAGGCTGAAGAGCCGGTCACACACCTGGCCTCACTCACGTCTACCCACAGTAGGACTGGCTGGCAGAACTGGCGTGAGGGAAGGGCCCAGCAACCTAGGCGCGAGGGCCACTGCTGCCCCGGGCCCACTGGGTGACACTGGGTGAGGCCCTCCATCTCATCCACATGATGGCCTGGTCCCTTCCAGTTCTGAGACTCTGGGTTTCTCGGCTGCCCAAATGATGCCCCAAGCACCGGGTTGTAAGGACAGGGAGTATTTGGTGCCCCAAAACCTTTGACCATCTCCACAGCCTGTCCCACAGCCAACGCTACCCTTGGGTCTTCCTGCAGATGCTGCAGACACTCTGGCCTCATCACTCTCTGATCTTAGCCCCTGTGTGGTTCCCTCTGCCCCTGGGATGAATCCCACTTCAACCCAGCTCATCAGGCCCTGCACAGACCTGCCCCCGCTTCCCTCCCACCTCTGTTCCAGTCCCCAGGAACATAATTCAGAGCATTCCCTGAATGCCCCCTGCCCTGTCCCACTTCTGGACCTTGGCACACCCAGGCTCCCCCAACTGAAATGCTGTCTGTGTTAATGCAACATTAATAAATGAAGTAGCCACCACAGTGGGGGAAAAAAAAAAAAAAAGACACGTTCCTGCCATCGCAGAGCTCTCAGTCTGTGGGGGAATCTGTAACCAGGGCATGGCTCATGATACACTCGCTAGTGTAGCTATGGGGCCAATATCTGTCCCTCTCTCTACACGTTAGGCTCCAGGAGAGCTGGACGGCGTCTCTACACCCTGCCCAATCTCCCAAGCCCACTACAGCCCCTGGCACTTACCCAGCCTCAAAAACAATGCTACGTGAGTAGAGAAGGAGTGAAGGAAGCAAGGATCAGTGTGGTGAGGGCACAAAAGGGGCTACAGAAGAGTGAGCAACGGACGAGACCTCAAACGAGGCCCCCAGGTTCACCCAGCTCCCTCCTCCAGGCACTGACAGTCCCTGTTTAAAAGGTCCCTTGTCACAGCCTGTGTCATGCTGCTCCCGAACACCAGGTTCCTTCCTCTGGTTTGTGAGCACTCGGAGAAGCTACTCTGAGGCCACGGAGAGGAAATATGAAAGCACTGAGGCCTTCAAGCCCCTTCCCCTCTCCAGGCCTTGGTTTCCCTCCTGTCAGGAGCCTCCTGTAAAGCGGGGTTTTTTTTTCACAGTCCACAGGGCAGAGAAGGTATGGGCCTGTTCACCATTCTAAACCAGACCTAGCCCAGGGCCTAGCACTCGGGAGGTGCTCGGTGAATACTGGCTGAATGAATGAGGTATAAATGGTGGGTAGGCAGGCAGGCAGGGCACAGGCCTGGCACGGCCACCCCACCCCCAATATAACCGAGAACACCTAGGGTCAAAGTTCTGGGCATCCAGCCCTGAAGCCCTCATTGGGGCTGGGTACTCCTATCTCTGCGCCCGAGAGCAGCATGCACAGGCCTTTCTTGGGGCCACCAGGGCTCAATGAGAAGCCCCCAGCCTCACCCAACACCCAGTCATCCTACTCAGGGAGGGTGGGGTGGGCTTGGGTCCTGGAAAGGTGAGATGATCTTCACAGCAGTTATATACTGAAAGTTTACTGTGCGCCAGGCATCGCACTCAGCATTTCTCACATCACCACTAGAAGGAAGGCACTGTGATCAATCCCACTTTAGAGACGAACTAACCGAGGCACAGAGAGGTGAAGTCATTAGCTCCAGGCCTCAGCCTGACCTGGAGCCCAGATACTTCTGACCCTAAGGCCCAAGATCTGCACCACTCTATTAGCCTCCGCAAGGGTCGCTAAAGGACCTCTCGTCTGGAAAAACCTGCACTTCTAGAGACGTATCTGATTGGGAAACTCCAGAAGTCAGATCCCAGGGGCTTCCAGTCCCCTAACCCGGCCCCCTCTGTTGTGGGGCAGTGCCCTACTCATGGCATGGCACAAGTACTCAAACAACGAATAGCTTCCCGGCCTCGGTTTGCACACTCCCAGCAGTGGGGAGCTCTCTGCAGCCCCAAAGCGCTGTCTGAAGGAAAGAGGCACTCCCTGCACGCCGAGGAGGGAGTCTGGCCTCTCGGCCTCCAGGGAGGGCAGGAAAGAAGGCCCCAGGTCCAGGCGGGTCATCCATTCCCGCTTCACGCAGACCCCAGCCCCATTACAGCCCACCCGCGTCCCGGGACCCGGGGGGCGGCCCGGCCGCGCAGCCGCAGAGTGCGCGAACGAGCCGCTCACAATTTCGCCCAGCTCATCGCCGCACCACTGCGCCTGCGCGGCGCGCGCGCCGGCCGAGCCCCTCCAAGGCTCACTATTTGACAGTTCCCACCCGGGTCGCCCGGCGCCCCCTCCGCAGGCTCGCGCGGGCCGGAGCGCCTGGGGCTGACGGGCCAACTCCAGAAAGGAGTCCTCCGAGGCGGGGCCGCCTTTTACCTGTAGGATATTCGACGTGGGTGAGGGTCACTGGCCGCCATGAAGCGGGGAGCGAGCACTGTCCGTCCGCTGCCATCTTACCCGGAGACCGGGCTTCGCTGAGCAGCCAATGGGGAACCAGGGGGGCGGTGGTCCTGACCTATCACGCCGGGGAGGCGCCGCGTGCCCAATCGGAGGCCGATACAGGTAGCGGCGCAGCCATTTAGCGTGCCGGCCCTGAGGCTGACCCGAGCGACGAATCAGAGAGCGGGGCCCCGGAGCATGCGAGCCGACCGAGCCGACGTCCAATCCAGGGCGAGCACAGGTAGGAGCCTGGCCAATCAGAAAAGAGAAGGGTTTCAGCGCACAACCGAGAGCAGAACAGCCAATCACAAGGTGAAGCGGGCTCACAGTGTGAGCAGGGCGGGCCAATCAGGCGCTAGCGTAGGGGGCGTGTTGAAGTTTGGTGGGAGCTTTGGTTTGGCTGGGATTTACGCGGAGTGGAGGCTTCCTCCGTACCCCAAGCCCGGCCAGGGTTGGCGGGAGCTGGGCTGCCGTCAGAACGCACGCTCGAAGCGGGGAGGCAGCCTCAGCTCGTTGGGATCTGAGCCGACCCACTTTTAGTTAGGAGTAAACTGAGGCCGAAGACCCGTGTACTGACCGGCGACAGGCCAGGTCCCACAAAGCCGACAGCCCCGTGGTAGAAGGATGTGGGGCGGCGGACGGAGCTGCCCGGGCGGGGCGCTCAGTCGGTGCCCTAAATGCTTTACAGAATGGAGGCTTAACTCAAGTTGAGAAAGACTCCTTCCTTCTTTCATTGAATTAACAAAGATGTTTTGATTCAGCCACGTTTGGGGAGCATTTTAAACAAGAAGCCGGTGTTCCACCTACGCCTCGGTTTCCCCGAAACATTCCTCTCGGTGGCCACAGGGCCACACCTTCCCACGCACCTCCCCGTCTCCTGCCCCCTGTCTCTCCGGCTGTATTGAATTACTCAGCCCAGCCAGGATGCCCGGCCCCTCTTGTCTCCCAGACTTGGCACAGGCTGTTCTGCCTGGAAAGCATCTCCCCTGCTGCCCCACTTCGCTTGGCTCAGGTGTCTCTTCTCACTTAGAGGTTTCCACGGCCAGGTGAGAGGCCTCCACTGGGTTCCCGATTGTGTCTCCTTTTCTACCTCAGCGCTGACCACCCTGGACCATTACTGGTTCCTTGTCAGTCTCCCAACAAGCAGTGGTTCTCTGACTTCTTGCCGCACCAAGGTCAGCTGTAGAAATGCAGATTCCTGGGTCCTACCGGGGCCTGGGTTGGTTCAGTAAATCTGAGTCAGAGCCATGGAGTTTGTATTTCTATGTGTTCTGGGGGTTCTGATAAAACTAGGTCCAGCCACATGGAGAAGCTTGGGCAACATGAAGACAGGGCCTGGGGGCCCCTGCGACGCTCAGTCGGTTAACCACCTGCCCTCTGCTCAGGTCATGATCCTAGAGTTCCAGGATGGAGCCCACATGGGACTCCCTGCTCATTGGGGAATTGGCTTCTCCCTCTGCCCCTCACCCCGCTCTCGTGTGCGTGCACTCTGTCTTTCAAATAAATAAATAAAATCTTAAAAAGAAGAAAAAAAAACAAAAACAGGCCTGTTACGGGTTTGAGCCTGGCCCAGACTCGTGCTAGAACAAGTGCTCAGTAAGTATACTGCCTAAGTCCCTGTGCGAAGTGAGAATAAAGCAGAGGGTTTCACTGCCCAAAGTGGCTCCCTCACTGCAACTATGGGGTTGGGCTGAGGAGTCGGGTGGAGGGGGATGGTGGGGACTCAACCCACCCACGAGCCAGGAGGGCCCCCGGGCCCTCTCAGTTGTTCTCAGCGCCCACCCAGCCCAGCCTGGGCTTGTGTGGGTCAGCTGGCTCCCTCTCCCTGTCACCCGCGCTCAGCTCCCTCAGGCACTGCCATTATTAGCCTGTGAGAAGCAGGAGGTGTGAGGAGGGGGCTGTGAGTTTCCCAGAATAATTCCCTGGCACAGGGCATCCATCCTGAGCCTGGCTACTTTGCCCCTCCCTGGCTGGCAGCCGTTTCACTGATGAGCAAATAGGCCTAGAGATGCAGAGCCCCTGAAACCCAAGCCTGTCTGACGCCAGAGCCCTCTCACCTCAGGGAGAGCGTTGTGGAGGAAGTGACAAGGACAGGGACTATAAAATGAGAGGGCGGGGGTGCCTGGGTGGCTCAGTGGGTTAAAGCCTCTGCCTTCAGCTCAGGTCATGATCCCAGGGTCCTGGTATCGAGCCCCGCGTGGAGCTCTCTGCTCAGCAGGGAGCCTGCCTCTCTGTCTACTTGTGATCTCTGTCTGTCAAGTGAATAAATAAAATATTTTATTTTTTAAATTATTTTTTTAATAATTTATTTTTTTAAATAATTTTATTTTTAAAATTGTTTATTTATTTATCTGACAGGCAGAGATCACAAGCAGGCAGAGAGGCAGGCAGAGAGAGAGAGAGGGAAGCAGGCTCCCCGCTGAGCAGAGAGCCCGATGCGGGACTCGATCCCAGGACCCCGAGATCATGACCGGAGCCAAAGGCAGCGGCTTAACCCACTGAGCCACCCAGGCGCCCAAATAAAATATTTAAAAATAAATAAATAAATAAAATATTTTAAATAAAAAATAAAATAAAATGAGAGGGTGTTCTCCCTAGTGGGATTTTCCTGGCAGAGGGTACAGCATAAGCAAGTGTCCTGACCCTGGAGTGTGGCGGGGGGGGGGGGGGGGGGAGAGGGGGGGGGGGGGGGGAGGGGGGGGGGGAGGGGGGCGGGCAGGGGCCTGGCCATCCCAAACTTTGAGGGTCACCACCGGTGGTGAGGACAAAGTGGAGCTCTGAAGGGTGGGTTGGATACTTGGTTGGGCTTTGCTTCTCAAAAAAAAATAATAATATTAAAATAAAATATAACATTCATATAGGAAATTCCAAAAATCGGGTGTGTACAAGTTGAAGACATTTCACAAACTAAGCCCATCTATGTGAGCAGCCCCCAGACCAACAAGCAGGACCCGAGGAGCCCCGGACACCCTGTCTTGTCACCCTGTGGTGACCACCATCCCAATTTCTAACACCCTGCATTAGGTGGATCTGAATTTTATACTTTCTTTTTTTTTTTTTTAAAGACTGTATTTATTTATTTATTTGACAGAGAGAGAGAGAGAGAGAGAGCACAAGCAGGCAGAGGGGCAGGCAGAGGCAGAGAGAGAAGCAGGCTCCCCACCGAGCAAGGAGCCCGATGCGGGGCTCAATCCCAGGACCCCGAGATCATGACCCGAGCCGAAGGCAGCGGCTTAACCCACTGAGCCACCCAGGTGCCCCTGAATTTTGTACTTTCTATAAGCAGAATCCTACAGTAGGTACTTTTTGCCTGGGGCTTCTTTCAAGAGCATTGTGTTTGTGATCCGCGCTGTGGCCTGTAGTTCTAATGTGTTCACTCCCGCTGTGCAGCATTCCCTGGTGTGAACACAGCACACACCGCAGTTTATTTTTCATTCGACTCTCAGTGGACATTTGGGGTGTTTCTGGGTTTGGGGAGTTATGAACAGTGCTGCTTAGAACACTGTGCATACCTTTGGGGTACCAGTTAGGACATTTCTCATGGAGATGTGCCTGGGAGCCAAAGCAGGGTCCCTGAGATGGCAGAGATGACAGGTCCGACCTGTCAAGCAAGAGGACAAGAGGCTGGGCCGTGCAGACGTGCCTGCTGCGAGGAGCCCCCCGGGAGGCTGCAGGAACGACCTGCCTCCTCCCTGAGCTGAGAGGTGGACCAGCAGGGCCCCTGGTATCGCTCTAAGCAAACTGGGAGGTGCCCCACTCTTAGTCACTTGCACAATTGTCACGACAGCAAGGCAGCGCTGAATGCTCCCAGTTTATAGCTGAGGACAAGTGAGACTCATGACTGCCCCCCCCATTTGCCAGGGCATCACACCCCACCTGCACTTGTTTGTGCTCAAAGTTCTTTAGGAAACTCCCCATCTCTGAGCCTGTCTCCCCAAAATGTGTCTGCTGCCGCTCACTGAATGAGAGGCTCATTCGTTCACTTTAGACCCAGAGTTCCCAGCCAGTGCCAGACCAGGAATGGGCATCAGGGATGAAGAGTGAACGTGACCAGTGGTCCGCCACCCTCAGGGAACTCATTCCAGGGTAGGTTGAGGGAAGCCTGGAGCCCAAAGATGCCGGTTACAAAGCCAAATCATCTCAGGGCGCCTGGCTCTTGATCTCAGGGTGGTGAGTTCGAGTCCCATGTGTGGTGTACAGTTTACTCAAAATTGAAAAAAAAAAAAAAAAAAAAGACCCAGGGCCTCAAACTAGAAGTGACATTTTGGTCGAGAAGACCCATTCTAGAAGTGACATTTTGGCTTTAAAACCTCTGGGAGGAGCCATTTATTATCTGTCTCCAAGAGCAGAAGATTCTAGAAGCCAGGGTTTGGAGTTACAAGCACCAGGGTGCCAAGTCCTCGAGACAAATCATCTGGCTCATCTCTTGTGCTGGTGGCATTTTCTGATTTCCGTGGTTTAAGTACTCTTTCCTGTGGCCACTTTCAAGCTACCACTGGGACGTTCCTGATTGGAGAGTGGACGTGCCTGCCACACAGGCAGCTCTCACATCCGCCACTGCCGTGCAGCTGGAGGAGAGCTTGGCACACAGCAGGTGCACAGTAAATACTCAGAGAACAAGTGAATGTCCTGTCCCATTTGTGTGTACATCCGGGAGCCACTTCTGTTGTAATTCAAACTACTGTTTTTTGAGCGCTTGGCGTGAACCACATTGTGAATCCAAAAACACTCCTCCACACCCCTCCTCATGCTGTGCAAGCATCAGTCTCCTGTAAAAGAAGCCCAGAGGCTGATCATGACCTGATGTAAATACAAACAACTCCAAGGTGAAGGACAGAGGGCGTGGCTTCAGGAGACCTGGGCATCCAGCCCAGGGACGGCCACGGACTCACTGTCTGCACTGGGGTGGTCACCCCTCCCCTTGTGATCTCCCCTTGGATCAACAAGGGGTTTGGAACCTGTTCTCCACCACTGTGTAACGAGCCAGCCCAAAACGTAGTACCGCAAAACCATCACCACTGTATTGCTCAAGATCAGCGAATTTGGCTGGGCTCAGCTGGGCAGTTCTGCTGGGGTCACTACTGGGCCTGTGTGGTCCAAGCAGCCTCCTCCAAGTCTGGGAGTTAGCTGGGGCTGCTGGCCAGGGTGCCCACGCTCTCCTCCACGTGGCCTCCCAAGCAGAGGAGCCCCGGTCTCTTTCATGGCTGCAGCTACTTTCCAAGAGGGCGAGCCCCAGAGCTCCAGCTCTCAAACCTCTGCCTGCATCACGTTGCTCTTGTCCCACTGGCCAAAGCAGATCATGCAGCCGAGCCCAGAGCTGATGTAGGCAAGGCCCATACAAGGACATGGATTCCAAAAGCCATGGTTTGTGGGGACCATGATTCTTAAGAGTCTGCTGTCCGCCACAGAAACGGACCAGCGTTCCCCTCGGCCTTCCCAGCTCTGGTCTCTGGGATCCTGAGCTTCCTGGGACATCTTACGCTGGGAAGGGAGTGCTCAAAGACTGATTGGGGCAGCGGGTGTCAAAAAGACCCGGGAGCCAGCTCAAAGGTGCTCCTGGTGGTCAATTTTGTGGCCATTTGAGCATCTCCAGAATGACTGCAAGTGACTGTTAAGTTACCAAATAAGTCAAAACTCATGAATCCATACTGGTGTGCAAAAAAGAAGGGGGAAAACTCACTGCGGAATGCTGCTGAGTAACCGAAAAATAGAATACTAAGACGTGCGGTAAAATGGATGGATCTCAAAAATGTGATTCTATATAAAGAAGCCAGGCACAAAAGACCACACACTTGATTCCATTTACAGAAATACCCAGGAAAGGCAAGTGGAGAGAGAACATAAATGGGTGGGGTCCCGGAGGCCGGGGAATTTACTGCAAAGGGTACAAAGGGTCTTTTGGGGGTAACTGGACTATTCTAAAATTATATTCTGATTACAGTTGCCCACCTCCGCAAATTTACTTTAAAAAATAATTTGGGACATCTAGGTGGCTCAGTTGGTTGAGCATCCGACTCTTGATCTCAGCTCAGGTCTCGATCTCAGGTCATGAGTTCGAGCCCCACTTGGACTCCATGTGGGGGTGGAGCCTACTTAAAAAAAATTTTTTTAATGTATATAAAAATTTTTTAAAGACTTTATTTATTTATTTGACAGAGATCACAAATAGGCTGAGAGTGGGGGCGGGGGAAGCAGGCTCCCTGCCGAGCAGAGAGCCTGATGCAGGGCTCTATCCCAGAACCCTGGGATCATGTTCTGAGCCGAAGGCAGAGGCCTCAATCCACTGAGCCACCCAGGTGCCCCTAACATATATAAATTTTTAAAAAAGGTTTTATTTATTTCACAGAGTGAAACACAGTGAGAGAAAGAACACCAGCAGGGAGAGTGGGAGAGGGAGAAGCAGGCTTCCTGCAGAGCAGGGAGCCTGATACTGGGCTGGATCCCAGGATCCCGGGATCATGACCTGAGCCAAAGGTAGACACCCAACGACTGAGCCACCCAGGTGCCCCTAAATATATACAAAAATTAAAAAAATAAAAAATAATTAAAGCAAGTGCACTTTATAGCATATAAATTGTACCTTAATAAAACCGTTGAATGCAAACTTATTTGCCAGCATTGGAGGTAAGGATCAGGTCCTCACTCGAGTCAGCAACGGGAACAGTAAAAGAAAGCATCTGTCCTCTTCTACAGGTGGAACTGAAGGCCACCTCCAGTCCATCAGGAAAAGCTCTTTTTCAGAACCCTAGCAGATAACAGTTACCAATACTATTTTCCTAGGCATGATTATGGCGTATGGTTATGCCAGAAAGCTACCTTATTTAAGATTTGCCCGTTCAAGTGTTTAGGGGTGAAGTCCATGTCCCACACTCTGAAATGTTTTATTTTTATTTTTTTAAGTTTTTATTTATTTGACAGAGAGATCACAAGTAGGCAGAGAGGCAGGTAGAGAGGGGGAAGCAGGCTCCCCATTGAGCAGAGAGCCCAATGCAGGGCTTGATCCCAGGACCCTGAGATCATGACCTGAGCCGAAGGCAGTAGCTTAACCCACTGAGCCACCCAGGCGCCCTGAAATGTTTTAGAGAAGTATTTACACGATGTAAATATGACAAAACGTAAATGAATGATTCAAGGTGTTGGTTTGATGGGCGTCCTTTCTAGGATTTTCCTTTTAACTTTGCTGTACATTTAAAATTTTCAAAGTGAAGGTTTTTTTTGAGTGCCTTTCCTATAAACCTCCCGATGTCTGACTGTGAAAACACCCAATCTAGCCAGCTTGGATGTGGTCCATTCCTACCCATTCCAGCCTTTGGCCTCCGCTCTACAGTGACTGAACCTGAGCCTGCCCCCTCGCCCCCACAGCTGGGCCAACACCTGTATCTTCTAGATACGGACTCTGGTGCCCAGAGAGAAGAGACATTACTCAGATGCTGCCTGAACTGGATCCACACCCAGGCTGCCTCCATCTGTGCCCTTGTGCTGACACTCCACCACTTGGCCCCCCAAACCTGGGGGTCCTCCCTGCCTTGGGACCCACTGACCCTGTCAGGCTGCCACGTGGCCCCAAGGGGGCTCACAGCCCCCACCAAGCTTCCCTCCATCTTTGCCCTCTTGGAAACTCCACCCACTGCACCCCAAAGAGCGAGTCCCCAGTGGTGGCCCAGGAAGCATATGGCCACATATGTACCCATCAGCATGGCCACATGCAAAGGCATTGTTTTTAAACTTTTTTTTTTTTTTTTAAGATCCCCCATTTTGAGAGAGAGAGAGAGAAAAGCAGACTCCCCACTGAGCAGAGAGCCAGACGCGGGACTTGATCCCAGGCCGAACTCACTGAGCCACCCAGGCACCCCGGAAGGTCTCTGTTTAAGTCATTTATTTGGAAGTCGATGCACACACTCTACCATACGAAAGTTGGAAGCTGCAACAAATCCAGGGCCCGAGGCAGTGCATGGACGCGTAAACAAAGACAAAACGAAGATGCCAAAGGTGCCGCTCTGAGTGATTCGGGAGCAAATCGGAGAGGCCGGGGCCCCGGCCCAAGACGACACTCATAGCGCAGGGTAAGTGCAAATGAATGGAATGCGGGGCTGGAGGGGAGGAGGGCCCCCCCCGGGCCCCCCCACCCAGGAGGCTGCTCCTTCCTGGGCACCAACCTTGGAGAGTGGGAGCCCTGGCTCTACACAGGGTCCCCCAGCCTGGGAAGCAGGAGGGAGTGTGCAGAGGAGTGGGCTCAGAGCTGATGGGCTGGGCCCACACCACCCCTCTGTTTCTCCTCTCTCTCCCTGCCAGGACCCCTCTGCCATTCAGGGGCTAGGAGCCCTGGTCTGGGGAACCAGCCTCCGGAGTACAGAGACCAAGGAGGCCTCTGTGTCTCCGGGAGGCTTCTCAGCCTGAAAGGGGCAGACCTCAAAATAAAGTGTTAAGGCAATAAATAAAACATCCCACCTCCGGTGAAAACACTGTGAGATAAGTCTGCAGGGCTGACAGCACCCCGCAGATGTGGGGACAATGTGGGGACAACGTGGGGATGGCTGTAGGACCAGCCACTGCCCAGCTAGAGCATTTATGTGTCGAGCCGAAGGCAAAGCGCCTGGCTTAATGAGGGCCAGGGATTCGGTCCAGCCCTGTGTGTCCTCTGACCTCCCTGACATGGTCCCTGGGCCCCCGCCACCAATGGCAGCACAGGCGACAGGCCTGAGATAAGCCCTGGTCGGAGTCTCCAGCCCGCCCTAGCACCACCTGCCCCTCCCCTGTCCCTCTTTGGTGGTGGCAAAGGGGAAAGAGAAATAACTCTTTGGCAGGACAAGGGCATATCAGAGGACAGCATTCTGGTTTCATGCTTAGGTTTGCCAAGGGCCCAGTCCCTGCCCAGACTTGAGCACAAGGAAAGTTGAGCTGCCCTGTCCCACCCTCGGATAGTCTAGGCATGCCATCCCCCAAGGGGTTCCCCTGGCACTCTGTGGCCCCACCCTCCCTTTCTGAAGCTGTCAACACTGTAGGGCAGCGGCCGGCGGGACTGCGCAGCCGTCTAGCCCAGGTTCCTTCTGTCTAGGACATTGTGGCCTTTGCCACAGAGCCCTGCTGCCCCCATCTCCCACAGCCTCCTTCATCAGCAGCCCTGGGGTCAGGGGAGGTTTTGGGGTCCCACACCAAGGCCATCCCAGCTCTGCATGTCCCACCTGTCCTCACAATACCACTCCCTCTCTCCCACCACCTTCCTCTACCTCGGGCCCCACAGATCACTGGTCCAGCCGCTGCTTCCCCCAGGGATAGCTGAGGGCAGTCAGGTGGGCTCCCAGGGGCTCCAACCCTCTGCAAGGCAGTTGGTGGGGATTCCCAAATGAGGACGAGGGACCAGGTCGGGGCAATCACCCTTGGCCACCAAGGCCCAGGCTCTGCTGCTGCTGACGGCCATGGATCTCCAGCCCTTCCATGCCAACCCAGAGGAGGGGAGGAAACAGCCTTCTCTCCGCGCTCGCCCTCAAGGACGAGGCCCAGGCGCGCCCCCCCCCCCCCCCCCCCAGGCCCGGGCCCCCCCCCCCCCCCCCCCCCCCACTGCAGGCCTGCCCCCACCGCTACTGCAGCTCCCCCAGGGGCCTGTTCTCTCGAGGCACTGCCCCGTTGAGGCCCACGCTGCTGGCCACGGGCGCCCCCAAGTAGCCCAGCAGGATTTCGCTGCGGCGCCGGGACAGCTGCAGGACGTCATCTGCCAGCGCCGGCACAGACGTGTAGCGCACGTTGTCCAGGTCGAACATGTCCCGCAGGTACTGCACGATCTGGTGCTGGGGGGCCAGGCTGGTGTCGGCCGGGGCTTTGGGCCCCACTTCCCCACACAGATGCCCTCCAGACCGCCCCAAGCCCCTCCCTGGCTACCTACCAGAGCGCCTGCCCGTCCACAGGCTCCGTAGCCCACCCCGTGCTTGCTGCAGACCCACGTGGGTCAGGCTCTCCCCAGGCACCCCCGCGCACCCAACAACTCAGGCAGACGCACATGGGCCGGGCTCCTGCCAGGCACTCCCATGCACCCAACAGCCCAGGTGGGCCACGCCCCCTGTTTACCTTGAAGAAAGCGCAGACTTCTGCGAGCTGGGGCTTGGGTCCAAGGAAGCCAAAGGCTAGGACGGGGCTAACGTGCTCCGATACGGAGTAGAAATGAGAGATGAAGCCGTCGGGCACCTGGAAAGGTGGCGAAGCTCAGAGCTGAGACGCTGGCAGAGGGAGGTAGCCAGGCGCAGGGGGCTCAGTTGCGGGCTTGCTGGGTGACCCCAGGCAAGTGATAGGGCTTTCACCTCTGCAGAACGGGGGTAACCTCGAGGCTACTGGGAGGACTGCATGAGGAGGGGGCGGGGTGGGCTCAGCACAGGAAGTGCCCAGTGAACTTGGCAGTGGCGGCTGGTATCTACCAGGCAGCCGAGCCTGGCTGGCAGAGGGGAGCCATGGATCGCAGCCCAGATAGAGCAGCCAGTCGCCACCTGGGGGAGCAGATAACAGCAGCCTGGGGGTGGGAGGGAGGCTGCCCTGCCTGCTCCCAGGGCGCCCTGCCCCCACTAGATGCCTCGACCAAGCCAGGCGCCTCCCCTCCCTCAAGGATGCGCCTTCCCCGGTGAGTCCTCCCACAGTTCCTGCTGGCCCGTGCTATGCGGGGTCCTGGGGAAGAGAGGAAGCACAACTATGTGCATCTTTGCGGTCCTCCTGGTCAAGGGACAGAGAACGGCAAGGCAGGGGGCCAGTGCTGTGGCAGAGGACAAGAGGTACAGCAGGGCCCGGGGGCTTAGCAAGATCTCCCTGCACCAGCCCCATTCCTCTGCCCACCCCTCTCCACGCCACCCTGCCCCTAGAACAAGGGCTAGTGCACGCCCATTGGTCATCTGAGGTGGGGGCCATGCCCGGGGCCCAAGGGGGTCACTCACCATCAGCAGTCTCCTCTTGGCTTTCAAGACTGACCAGCAAGCAGTGGCCAGAGCCTAAACCAAAGATGGGACCCCGGCCAGGTTTCAGAAGGGCAGGCCATGCCTGCAGCCCTGAGCTATGTGCCCCCAGCTCCCATCACCCCAAGCAGGAAGACAGGGCTTGGCTCCTCAGCTCTGCTGCCTCCCTCCTCTCAGTCCGGAACTGGCCACCCCTAACCCAGAATCCTGATGCCAACCCTCGTGGCTGCAGGCCTCTGCACTCACCACGGAACTTCCCCGGACCTCAGTTTCCTTCTCTGTAAAATGGCCACGACCCAGCACGCCCACCTCATTCAGAGGTTGTGCAGACCCGCAAACTGCATAAAGACCAGCCCCAGGTCACGCGTGCCCCACGGGGCCCACGCTCAACTTCTCCAGCTGTCCCTTTTTCTTTCCTGTGTCTGAACTCAGTAAGATGCATTGACACGGAGTAGAATTAACGGAGACCACGATGCAGAAGGAAAACGCCCACCCTGCGGGTTCTGAATGGGTGCAGAGAACAACGGGGTCCCCTGGGAAGCTGGTCCCAGAACCTGGTCTGCCGAGGTTAGGGAGCTGCACGTCATGCGGGGAAGGGGAAGCTGCCCAGAGGGGTGACTGCTGCCTGACGGGTGGGGGGCCCGGGCTTGGTGCCCAAAGCCAGGGAGGGAGGAGAACAGAGTCTGGGCCAAGGCATGGGGTGATGTGAGTGCATGTGGGACGCGGAGGGCAGCCACCCACCGTCTCCTTGAAGCTGTCTGACAACCACCGGTTCCTCAGGACAGCGAGCACCGAGGATGGGGGGTTCTCCAGGTCCTCGAAGGCATCCATGAGGATGAAGTCCAGCACAATATCAAAGAAGCTCATGCACACCACCTGTGAGAGGACAGGGATGCTCTGAAGGCTGCAGGCCCACTGTCCAGATGGGAAGACCAAGTCCAGAGAGGCGCGGGTGCGTGGGGGCCTGGGTGGGAACACATGAGTGAGTGGGCACCTCTCCAGGCCACAGTGGGGCACAGCTGGCAGAGCCTGGGCCCGTGGCAGGGCAGGACCCGAGGGCCAACAGCAGTGATGGGCCCATCTCAGGCCTCGGAATTAAGGTGGAGCTCCGCACAGGCACCCCCTCCCCCCAAGGATCTCGGGTATGAGGGACCCTGCGGCCTCGGGGCTCAGCATAAACCGACTCACCCCCCGGCCCTCCAGCTCCAGCCGCGTGGTAGCCCAGGTCTCGGGCCGTAGGGCATAGGCCATCATCTCCTCGTAACTCTCCAGGAAGCCTTTAGGGCTCTGTGGGGAGAAGCACAGCCCGTGGTGGTCATGAGAGAGGCTCCATGGCTCACCTGGATGAGATCCACAGGAACAGGCAGAACAGGCCCGTGGAGGGACGAGCCAAGGCGAGGCTGAGGTCGATGCTGGAGCGGCGGCCATCGAGAAAATCGGGCAAGAAGTGTCCTCTGACCACCGCAATGTGCCTCTCAGAGACCAGGACATGTCTGGGAGAGATCCAACAGCGGCACACCCCGCAACATCTCACACCAACTCCCAACCGGGCGCCAAACGCCGCCCGGGAGATGCAAGCACTCGACAGCGTGAGCTCACTTTGCAAAGGTGCATGAGGAGAGGAAGCGGAGTCAAGCAGCCAAAGATGAAAATCTTTGTGCCCCAGGGTGTCCCTGATGAAGCGGGAGAAGCTACGGCCCACACTCCTAGGCCTGCTCTGGGGGAGTCCGTGAGCTCACACACGTAACACCATCAGCCCAGCGCCTGGACCTAAATGACGAACAGCGTCTAAGACCTGCTGCTGCTGTTGGCGTACAGGATACGTCCCGCGCGTTCTGGGGCCGGGAGGGGGAGCTGGGGCATGTGACATGACGTGCACACGCAGGGGTGTGCACGGACGGACCTGGGAAGCTGGGGTGGGCCACGGTCTATCCTCACACGGATCAACATATCTAACTCGTGGTACTAAGAGGGACGGTCCACCAGCACACCCACTCTACAGAAAGGCACGCTGAGGCTTTGGGACATCAGTGATGTGGCCGAGAGCCAGGCAGGATGGAGCTGACACAGAAGAGCACAGGCAGGTTGATGCCCCTTACGCAGAACCCTGGATGGAGGAGCCACGAGACAGGTGTTCACCAAAATGGGAATGTGGTGGAGTAGGGGACAAATTTTCTTTTTGCTTTTATGTGTCTGTTGGGTTTTGCTAAAATGAGTATTTTTGTAATCATTAAAAAAAAAACCTATTTTCATTAAGTTTTGAAGAGAATTTGCTAGAATGACCCCAGACCATGCCTTAATCCCTGAGCCTCAGTTGCTTCACCTGTAAAGGGGGACAATGAAGATGAGGGCTGGTGGCCAAGCACGTCTGACACGCTCTCCCCAAGTCCCCAGGACACGCTCACGAACACATTAGGTGAGGAGGCTCGGAGAGGGCGCAGGTCTGGCCCATGGACACGCAGCAATGACGGGGGCTGATCTAGCAAGAGCCTAGGTGCTGCCCACAGAACGAGCACCCTCCCGGGGTGGGTGGGATGGGGTGAGGGTTCACCCTGCCTCCACCTGCCTGCAAGGGTCTGACAGGGCATCTGTGCCTGCCGGGGTCCCAGGGCTTAGTGCAGGCCCCGCCCTCGAGAGCTGCCCCCCAGCTCTTCATGAAACCTACATCCCACACTGAGATGAGCGAGGACAGCCGTACCTCCAGGCCCCTTGGGGAGGGCGACGGAGAACGGACACCTGCTAAGCGCCTGGTACCCATTCACCCTCACCTGCCCTTCCTTCACGTGTTCATTCCCTCCCTGTGTTGGGAGGCCACAGAGAACAGGCCAAGGGCTAGGCTGAGGTCAGGCCAACCTGGGTTCAAAGGCCAACTCTGCCGATCCCTGGCTAAGGGACCCGGGCAAGCCCCTGGCCCTCCCCTTATCCACCGAGTGTTTCCTTATCCACCGAGCAGAGACTGTGGTCAGGACCAAATAAGCAACTAGATATAAAGACACATGATAAAGCACTGGGTTCATTGCTGGGTAAACAGCAGCTTCTGGAAGAATAATCAGGAACACTTAGGGAGCACCTGCCCCGTGCCAGGCCCTGGGCTGGGCACACACCTGTGCTGGAGCAGCTGTGGTCCTGGCCCTCGGGGAGCTTGGCAAGTAGTGAGAGAGAGCAACCTGCCAACAGGATGACGGGTCATGGGGCGGCGCTGCCAGGGTGAGCCCAAGGACTCTTGGCAAAGCCCTCCTGGGGAGACAGATGGTTAGCAGGGACTTAAAAGACGGGGAACCCAGGAGAAGGGGAAGGAATGGGGACCAGGGAGCTTCTAGATGCTGGTTAAGTTCTACTTCCTAGCTTTGGTGCTGGGTACGCAGGGGTTCACCTTTTAATCCTATAAATACATTTCATATTCTCATGTGTGTATTTACAATAAAGCAGCTGACGACAACAGCACTGGGCAGCGGTGTTCTGGGCACAGAGGGACCAGCATAGGCGAAGGCCCAGATTGGGTAGAAAGTCTGGTACAGGTATACACTAAGAGCCTGAGCCCTTCGGGGCGCCCAGGTGGCTCGGTCAGGTAAGCATCTGACTTTGGCTCAGGGTCCTGGGTTCAAGCCCCAGAGCGGGCTCCCCGCTCAGTGGGGCATCTGCCTGTCCCTCTGCGCACCCACCATTTGCTCTCCGTCTCTCAAATAAATAAAATCTTTAAACATAAATAAATAGGGCGCCTGGGTGGCTCAGTGGGTTAAGACTCTGCTTTCGGCTCAGGTCATGATCTCAGGGTCCTGGGATCGAGCCCCCACACTGGGCTTTCTGCTCGGCAGGGAGCCTACTTCCCCCTCTGTCTCTGCCTGCCTCTCTGACTACTTGTGATCTCTCTCTCTGTGTCAAATAAATAAATAAAATCTTTTTTAAAAACTAAAATAAGGGGTACCTGGGTGGCTCAGTGGGTTAAAGCCTCTGCCTTCGGTTCAGGTCATGATCCCAGGGTCTTGGGATCGAGCCCTGCATCGGGATCTCTGCTCAGTAGGGAGCCTGCTTCCTCCTCTCTCTCTCTGCCTCTCTGCCTATTTATGATCTCTGTCTGTCAAATAAATAAATAAAATATTTTTTAAAAATAAATAAACTAAATTAAATTAAAATAAATCAATAATGCCTGAGCCCTTCAGTCTGGACAGGGCAAAGGGTATGTGGCAGCCGGCCACAACACAAAGTTTGGTCTTTCCCTCAAGGGCGGTGGGAACAAGGGAATGTTTTCAGGCAGTTGGGTGATGCGGTCAGAGGCATGTTTTATTTTTTATTTATTTGTTTTTAGAAGTTTATTTATTTAAGAAATCTCTGCCTTCAACGTGGGGCTTGAACTCATGACCCCGGGATCAAGAGTCTCATGTTCCTCCGACTGAGCCAGCCGGGTGCCCCCAGAGGTGCATGTTAGAACCACTAGCTGGACGGGTGAGGTGGAAAGGACTCAGGGGAGAGGTGTTCGTTCTCAGGGACTTCGCTCCAACAAGTGGCCTATAAACGTGAAACTTCACACAGCCTTATTACTAATCAAGGAAACATGAAAGGATGCATAACATAGATTAAAAGGATTACTAACATCCAATTACTGACACCTTACATTTGATGTCACATAAGGACACACGCGATTACGCCGCTGGCTGGCAGGGCATTTCCGAGAGTGGACTGGCAAAACCCAGATGTGCCCTAGACATAGTACTGCCACAGCTGGGCTCTGCCCCACAGAAAACCACAGGTCCCTAACAGACGGATCATAATAGCAGTGCGACAGTGGAAAATCACAACCCAAACGGCCCTTGTCCGCAGGACCAGCTGAACCACGGCGAGCCTGCCCGAGGGGGCACTACGCAATCACTAAGAGTGACTGCAACCGCCAACATGAGCCAATAGACAAGATACACTCTTACACAACAAAACACAGCTGCAAAACAGTCTGTAGGGAGCTTAGGAAATTAAATAACCATGTTCAAGGTTAGTCCGTGAAACCAGGGAGGAGAAACACAACCGACTGGAGTGGTAGCTCCCCCTGGCAGGTTCAGGAGGACCGAAGGTTTGCATTTTGGGAGTCGCTGAACTATAAAACTGAGTGACCGTATCATCAAAAGTAAGAGCAACACAGAACCGTATTTTTCAGAATCAGCACAGGAAACTCCTCCTAAGCCTTTCCCAGCACCCACTGAGCTTTCAGGATGAAGTCGAAGTTCCTCAGCTTGCTTTCAGATTGGGCTTTTTTTTTTTTAAGATTAATTTATTCAGGGGCACCTGGGTGGCTCAGTGGGTTAAAGCCTCTGCCTTCAGCTCAGGTCATGATCTCAGAGTCCTGGGATCGAGCCCCACATCGGGCTCTCTGCTCAGCGGGGAGTCTGCTTCCTCCTCTCTCTCTCTGCCTGCCTCTCTGCTTACTTGTGGTCTCTGTCAAATAAATAAATAAAATCTTAAAAAAAAAAAAAGATTTATTTATTCATCTGAGAGACAGAAGGCGTGAGTGCGAGTGGGGTGGTGAAGGGCTGGAAAAGGAAGCCCAGTCAAGGGTTCGATCCCATGACCCGGAGATCATGACCTGAGCCAAAATCAACAAACAGACGCTTAACTGATTGAGCGGCCCAGGCGTCCTGGTTTTTTTTTGTTTTTTTTTTTTTTAAAACAGAACCAAATAAAAGTTACAAAAGTTAAAATTAAAAAAGCCAAGGTAGGAAGAAAACCTGAAAAAAGCTACCTTCTCGGCTTTGGTCATCAGGCCCGTCACCATCTGCCGGCCAACCTCCCCGAAGAAAAGTTGGTTGCTCTTGTCTTCTAGAAGACCCTGAGGAATGAGGAAGGGAGGGGAGCGAGCTGGCGGCGAAGTCCGTATAATGGGGTAGACCCATGACCCATCTGCGCAGGGGAGGCAGGTGTGCCCGACGGCCCCCCAGCCCCGGCTCTGTCCTCTCCAGGTGCCCCCAACACCCACCTCGAAGGCTTGCCGCACACAATGCAGCTTGGCCAGAAAGTCCTGGTCACTGTAGCAGCCTAGCAGCTCAGTCCTGAGGAGCAGCACAGTCAGTCACGCTGGGATCGGGGGGAGCCCTGAGTGGTCCTACCTCAGCCAGGCAGTACAACCGTGGGCGAGTGCGGGCCTTCCTCTAGGCCTCGGTGCCCCTCAAACCAAAGGGAAGAGGCTGACTGGACACTCTTTGAGGGTGTCCTGTCCTCAGTGGCACTGAGCACAGCTGGCAGGTCTGGGCCCTGGGAGTTGGGCTGTCCTCGGGCTCCTTCAGGCCCCAGCCAGCCAGGGATGCTCTCGGGCAGAGGATTGGAGTGACCCATCTGCTCCCAGCTGTCACCCCTTCTGGGGCACCTGCAGGCCCCCCGGGCTGGCTCCCCTCATCCACACTGGGGAACCAGGACTCTCAACCTTATTTTCAGGCAGTGAACTTTAAACACACGTATTTAAATCTGGAGTCATGACCAAAAGCCGAGTTCTCAGAGTTTCACATCAAAAAGCAAAATTAACTTAAGATGGATCAGAAACCTAAAAATGCCACAGATGTGGACGCTGAGGCCGAGGGGGGTGAGGCAACTCGTCCAGGGCCACATGCTCTGAAAAGACAGAACTTGGAAGGAATCAGGTCTGTGTGTCCCCAGGGCCCGGCTTCAGGGCCGCGGTGGAGACAGATTACTTCAGAGCACAGCTTTGGAAGAAAGCCCACTGCATTTCTGTGGTTAGATCCGTGTGATAACTTAGAATAAGTAGAAATAACTATTATTTCACTAATTAATTACATTAATTTGAGGTTGTTAGTTGTAGGCCTGCCTGTCTTAGAACTCCAGGCCTTTCTAGACCCTCCCTGGCTGGGCCAGGAGCCGCCGCCAGGGCACTGCTGGCCTCCCTGGCCTCCGGCTGCAGGGGGACAGGGCCCGCCCCACCTGCCCCTGCTCCCCGCCTCCTCCCCACACACTCGCCTGAGGGTCCGGCACGGCACCCTGCCCTCCTTCACCAGCTGTAGGGCCTCTTCGTAAGCGGCAGCCGGCCTGGAGAGTGGGATCAGGTCATCTCCCACCTGCAGGGACTCAAAGAGCTGGGGGAGGGCGCACAGGAAGAGGAAGGTGGGGTCACCGCCTATGGAGTGTGGGTGCCTGCCCAGGGGACACCCTAGTGGTCAGCCTCTCAGACAGGGTGCTGGAGGCAACACTGACCCAACAGGCAAGAGGCGTCGATCTGAGTCCAGCTCTAACTCTCAGCGTCCCCACCTCTGCCAGGGGCCTGACCCAAAGGGACCATCGACTGGACAGGTGCCCACATCTTCTCACGCTAGGCAGGTGGCTGGGCCTGACACACGTGGTCATGGCAGGAGACTAATGCCAAGCTGTGGGCAAGCAGTGTAAGACGGGAGAGGTGGGCATGCGCCGGAACCACGGGGGTGGAGACCCCAGCCCTCCCCCACAGGACCCAGGACCCCTGGCTTCTCACGCCTCCCTGTCTCCAGCCAGTGCGTGGGGTCCCTGGGGAGCGGCACTTGGAGACTGCCAAATTTTGCTCCTGTCAGAGGAAATACCTTCACTTTCCCACGACCCAGTACTCATGGTGACGGTCCCACAGGGCCCGGGCTTCACTCTCCCCGCCGCCCTCCCTCTCTGCTCCTCGACCCCATCCCCCTCACCTCAGTAGCGGAGAAGAAGGAATCCTCAGAGTTCAGGCTGTCCTCATCATCCGCCCGTAGATGCAAGGAGCCCTCGGTCAGGGGCAGCATGAGGGTCCTCTCTGGCAAGAGCAGGAAGAGAAGGGCTGAGCTGAGACTCCGAAATTACCGGGCTTTTTGGAACGCACGCGCGCAAAGTGACCGACGCCTGATTATGGGCTGGCTGGGGCCACCGATCGCACGGCTGCCGTGTACTGACTGAACACATATGCGAGAAGATTCCGGGCTCAGTGCCTCAAAAGAAGGGCTTCTTTCGATGTTCCAGTATCGCTGGAGGTGGGCACAGTCAGGTGTGGAATTGGGCTGCTGAGGGGGACTGCCCACAGCCACAGAGCTGCACCCCAAGGCCCGAGGGCTCCTGAACTCTGCTCAGGCAGGCTCCACCGTACTGTGTGGCCCTGAGCGACTGGACTCCCCTCTCTGACAAACTGAAATTTAACCACTGATTACAGAGAGCTCAAGGAATGCATTGGTCGTGGACTCGGTGTTTCCATCCTCGTCTACTCAGGGGCTGTGGGGTTCTGGGCCTAGGAAAGTTCTGTCGAACAGATAGCCAGAGGCCATGGCCTTAAAGGCCCCACCAGCCCTCTCTGCCACATGGGGAGGCCCGAGGATGCAGGGTTCCTCTCTGGGGAAAGCCACTGGAGATAGGCCGTGGGAGGATGCGTCACTGTAACAGGCCCTTGCCAGGCCTGTGTCACCACTGGCTGAACTGGAGAGCTGGACAGGAGTCTGATGCTCTCCCTCAGAGCTGACAGCACCCAGAGAAGGGTCCTGGGGTCCACTCACTGCATGGGGTCTGGCACACCGTGGGCACCAGCACACTGGCTATCGGGCCAAACAGCTTCATTCTCTCTCCCTGATGTCACATGCCTTGACCTCAGTCGGGGGTGGGGGGGACCAACAGTAAGACCTGTTTTCAACTAACCTCCAGATGAGCCATCCCTTCTGCCCGCCTAGTACCCACAGAAGAGGGCTCAAATCAAAGGCCTGGAACCCGTCAGGGGAGATGTTGAAACACATGCCTGAAGGCCTGCTCCCGAAGGGATGGGCCAAGGCACAGCGGCCGGGGACTCCCAGGGCCCCGCCAAGCCCTGCTGCTGCCTACCACATGTAGAACACTCCGGAGCACCTGGCTGGCTCCGCTGGTACAGCAAGTGACTCTCAATCTCGGGGGGGCGTGTAGAGATGATTTAAAAATAAAATCTTAAGGGTGCCTGGGTGGCTCAGTCGGTTAAGCGGCCGCCTTGGGCTCAGGTCATGATCTCAGGGTCCTGGGATCGAGTCCCACATTGGGCTCTCCGCTCAGCTGGGAGTCGGTTTCTCCCTCTCACTCTCGCTCTGTGCTCTCTCTCTCAAATAAAGGAATAAAAATCCTTAAAAAAATAAAATAAAATAAAATCTTAAAACACAGAAACAAAACAAAACAAAGCTTCTGTCCCTTAAGGCCTGTTCCCCATCTACGTATAAGGCACTGATCGAATGAGGTCCAAAGGCTCTGAGGATTCGGAGGGAGCCACACCCCAGTTCCCTCGACACCTGCTACCTCCAACCTGTCTCTCAAGCCCCGTCCCACCCCAGCCTGCAAGGAGGCCAGCTCACCAAGGTCCAGCAGCATGCTGTCAGCCGGGAAGGTGGACCCAAACTCCTCCTGCAGGTGGTAAGCCCGGTGCAGCAGGGACTCCAGCTTCTCTGCAAACTCCCTTCGCTGGGACTCTGGCTGCAATTAAGACAATGAACATCAGTCCGGGCCCTCCACACTCCCCAAGCAAACGGTCTCCCCTCACCAATGATGGGGGCGGGAAAGGGGTGCAGGATCTGGGACCCAGCAGCAGGAGCAGACGTCTAGAGCGGAGCTGCCCAACATAGGAGCCACCAGCCACATATGGCGAAGGAACCCTGGGAATGTGGCCTGTCCCAGTGGACATGTCCCCTAAGTATAAACGCACACCGATCGCAAATACTTAGTACCAAGAAACCACAAACAAAAATACTCTACAACATCTCGGGGCGCGTGGGTCCCACACTCAGTGAAGCATCTGACTCTTGGTTTCGGCTCAGGTCATGATCTCGGGGCCGTGGGATCGAACCCCACATCAGGCTCTGTGCTCAGGAGTCTACTTGAGCTCGGCTCTCTCCCTCTGCCCCTCCCCATTGCAAGCGTGTGCACGTGCAAATGCACTCTGTTTCAAGTAAATATTTAAAAATAAATAAAATAAGGGGTGCCTGGGTATCTCAGTTGGGTAAGCATCTGCCTTCAGCTCAGGTCATGATCCTGTGGTCCTGGGATCAAGTCGCACGTTGGGCTCCCTGCTCAGCAGAGAGCCTGCTTCTTCCTCTCCTCCCTGTTCATGCTCTCTCTCTCTCTCTAATAATAAATAAATAAAATATTTCAATGATGCTCCACGTTGATCACATGTTGATATGGTAATATTCTCCATGTACTAGATTACATAAAGCGCATTATTAAGGGACGCCGAAGTGGCTCAGTTGAGCTTCTGACTCTTGATCTGAGCTCAGGAGTCATGAGTTCAAGAATCTTAGAGTCGTGAGTTCAAGGCCCACACTGAGCTCCACACTGGGCATGGAGCCTACTTAAAATAAATAAACAAATAATAAAATGTATTATTAAAATTGATTTTACCAGTTTCTTTTTTGCTTGTTAGTGTGGTCTCTAAGAAATTTTAAATGAGCTATGTGGCCTCCTACTGAACAATGCTGACCTGGGCTCTGACCCCAGCACCACCAGCTCCAAATGGTATGACCTCAAGTAAATTACTTCCTCATTCTAAGCCTCTGTTTCCTTACCTATCAACTGAGATGAGAGTACCTACTTCCAGGATTTTAGGGAAAACATGAAGAAGAGAAGGTATGCAAAGCTCTTCACACAAGGCTGACCTGTGGTGGTGACCAGTAAGTGTTGATTATTATAATCGTCATTATGATATAATATATAACATATATATAACACATAAACTATAATATATAATATATAACATGTACATATATAACATAGCATGTACGGATGATAATAAGATCATTATAATAAAAGCACAGTCAGGATCCCAGAAAGAGCTGGGTTCAAATTCCACTCTTAATACGAATCGTGCGTGCTTGGGAAAGTGTTGCATTGAAGACACAACAGCCTCCTCCTGCCCTTGGCTTCCAGGCTGGTATGTGCAAAGGAGGAGGCACCGCACCTTTGATCCCAGCAGCTTCTCGGCCAAGAGGCCAGGCATAGGTAGGCCCAACTCCATTTTCTACCAAGGCTGCCAGATCCTGCACCTGTATGTAACCAGACCCCAGGGAGGAGCCCAAGGCCAGCTAGAGCCTGAGGCCTCTGGGGACAGAGCTGGGAGGGCTCAGAGAGGACGGCAATGCTGGAAATGGGTTCTCGCACACAGAGCTCGTCTGGGATCGGGCACCTGCTGTTCAGCCTTGCAGCATCCTTGAAGGCAGGCATGGCTGTGACCCCGATTCACAGAGAAAACGCAAGAATGTTAAGTGGCCCAGCTCACTCAGCTAGCCCCCCAGCAAGGCTCATGGAACGCCGGGACCCCGTCCGCTTTGCTCAATTCCCCGCCAGCGCGGCCGGCACAGCCCCATAGCTTTGGTGAAGGTCTGCGTACTCTTTCTCTGTCAAGTGGCCTCGGGTTAGGGACCGGTTTCCTGGTTGTCACACCCAAAGCGCAAATGATGAAAGAGAAAAGATACACTGAACTCATTGAAATTAAAAACCTCTGTGCTTCAGGGGTGCCTGGCTGGCTCAGTCGGAGAAGCGTGCGACTTTCTGGACGGTGAGTTCGTGCTCCACGCTGGCTGTGGAGCCGCCTTAAAATAAAAGAATTTTTTACAAAAATACAAAAGATGAAAAAAAAAAAACAAATTTTGTGCTTCAAAGGATGCCATCAAGCAAGTGAAAAGACAACCTGCAGAATGGGAGAAAGTATCTGCAGAGCCTCTCTCTGATAAGGGACTTCTATCTAGAATATACAAAGAACCCTTACAATTTAATAATAAAAAGATGTAACTACTTGTCTGTGGATAGACACTTGGGTTGCTTCCATATATTGGCTATTGTAAATGCAAGTATCCATCCAGATAAAGAAGTGACATATACACACACACACACACGTATATATATACCGTAAAAAATATTATTAATAATTTTGTATAATTAATATATATAATTTTATATAAATAATATAATTATATATAATATATAATCATAATATATAAATAATATAATATTAATAATAATATTATTCTTTTTTATTCAGCCATAAAAAAGGATGAAATCTTGCCATTTGCAACAACATGGATGGATCTACAGAGTATAAAGTCCAAGTGAAATAAGCCAGAGAGACAAAACCCACAGGATTTCACTCATTTGTGGAATTTAAGAAACAAAACAAACGAACAAACTGAAAAAAAGACAAAAAACCCCACCAGACTCTTAAATATAGAAACCAAACTGGTGGGTGCCAGATGGGGGGAGCTGGCTGGGGGGGGATCGGTGAGGCAGATAAAGGGATGAAGAAGGCACTCACCGTGAGTGATGAGCACTGAGTAATATATAAAACTGCTAGATCGGGGGGCGCCTGGGTGGCTCAGTGGGTTAAGCCTCTGCCTTTGGCTCAGGTCGTGATCTCAGGGTCCTGGGATTGAGCCCCGCATTGGGCTCTCTGCTCAGTGGAGAACCTGCTTTCCCTCTCTCTCTGCCTGCCTCTCTGCCTACTTGTGATCTCTCTGTAACTAAACAAATAAAATTTAAAAAAAAAATTGCTAGATCATTAAAAAAAGATAAATAACCGAATTAAAAACTAAGGATCTGAACAGACATTTCTCCCAAGACGACATACAAATGGCAAACAAGCCCATGAAATGAAGCTCCAGTTAACCCAGGGAAATGCAAATCAAAACCACATCACCATTTCGCACCCCCTAGGATGGCTAGAACCGAAAAGACAGATGAACACAAGTGCTAGTGAGGATGTGGAGAAACCGGAAGCTTCCTACACGGCTGGTGGGAGTGTAAAGCGGCGCAGCTGCCGTGGCAAATGGTCTGGTTCCTCCAAGTGTCAAACATAGCGTTACTGGAGGACCCAGCACTTCCGCTCCTACTGTACCCCCAAGGGAGTTAAAAGCAATGCGTCCACACACACACTTGCACACACAATGGGCACAGCAGCATTACTCAGAAGAGCCACAAAGTATAAACAACCCAAATGCCCATCAGAGACGAACAGCTAAATGAAAGGCGGTCCGGCCACACCATTATCACTCAGCAATACAGAGAAATGAGGCAGTAATCCAAGTTACAAGAATGAACCTTGATAAGTGCTGTGAAGTGTGTAAACCTGGCGATTCACAGACCTGTACCCCTGGGGCTAATAATAATTATATGTTTATTAAAAAATTAAAAAAAAATAAAAGAAGAATGAACCTTGACAACATAATGCCCCAGGAAAGGGGCCAGTCATAAAAGGCCACTAGTTGGGGCGCCTGGGTGGCTCAGTTAGTTAAGCGACTGCCTTCAGCTCAGGTCATGATCCTGGAGTCCTGGGATCGAGTCCCGCATCAGGCTCCCTGCTCAGCAGGGACTCTGCTTCTCCCGCTGACCTCTCTCCTCTCATGCTTTCTTTCACAAATAAATAAATAAAATCTTTAAAAAAAAAAAAAAAGGCCACTAGTTATGAGTCTATTTATAGAAATGTCCACACCAGGCCAATCTGTAGAGATGAAAAGTAGACGAAGGGTTGCCTGGGGCTGGGGATGTGTCTGACGGAGAGTGTCTGATGAAGTGTATGGGACTCCATGGGAACACAAGATGAAAATGTTCTAAAATTAATTGTGGTGATGAACACCCAACTCTGAATATATACTAGAAGCCAATGAATTGCACAATTCAGAATTGAGCTGAAATGAATTTTATGGTATACGAATAATATTCCAATAAACCCGATAAAAAATATCTTTAGGACAGAAAAACACCTGGAAGGATACCAAGCGGTTGTGTCTGGATGAAGGGTTAGAGGCATCAGTAACACCAAGAACAGAGATCATTTATTGAGCATCTACTTTGTGCCAGGATCCTAGGGCTGGCAGTGGTGTCCCGCCAAGGGCTCCCCCCACCCAGTGCTCAGGGAGGCCGAGGGCCTTTGCCCGCATCACACAACGTGAGCCACCTGATCAAAGACTGAAGACTGGGCGTTTTCCTCCTCTTTTCTAGTTCTGTAGTTCTCACTCCTCTCTGAGGAATACTTCATGGCTTTCACGATAAGAACAATGAAAGTTCTAGAATTTTCAGATGTAGTATTAGCAATCAATACTGTTTTGGAAACAGAGCTGCCTCCCTTCCTTCCCATGACCTGAAACCCTCCTTCAGGAACTACTATCTGCCCATAGACAGGGAGACCTGATGAAGCTGTGCCCTTGGGCACCAGAGGATTTGTCACCCTCTAGGGCATTTCTCCAATGTCCTCTGTCCTGTAGCTACTTCTCCTGCTTGGGAGGCAGGCTTTGAGCTGATGCCCCCAGCTGGGGTACAGGGCACCATACCTTCAACTTCCTACCTGCTGTGCCAGGCATGTCCTCACCCTGGTGCTGCAAACTGTCTCCAGGCTCCCCTGCCAGCTGGCTCCTGGCCCACAAAGGCACAGGTGGAGAAAGAATGGGATGGAGCAATGGGCAGACCAACTCCCCTCCCAGTCCTGCCTCACACCCTATCACTGCCCCACCCTACCTCAGCTGCGGTGACACCTGCCGGCCGTGACACCTGCCGGCCGGCCGGTCAGCCCCTAGCCTGGTTCTAGGTTCTGCGGCTCCTAAAGTCTGGCCACACTCCTCACCTGTACAACCAATTCCCTGGGTTAACCTCCCTTTTTAACACCTGAAGTTGACCTTGACAGACTCTCCAGATACCGTCAGAGTACTCCCTGAAGAGCACCGACTTTGCCCTCACTCCAGCACAGGACAGGAGCTCATAGGGCTTTTTTTTTTTTTTAATACATAAAAGCGTAAAGACTAAAAGAGAAACAGTCCACAATCCTATCACCTGTACAAACCCTGCCATTAAGCATAGCTCGAAATTAGGAACGCCACAAAGTAAAGTACAATAAAAGCCTTTTTCCACCTTTCCCTTTCAACCCGATGTTCCTCACAGATCACTGTCAACAGTTTCCCGAGTTGTCCGTCCAGAGGAAAGTAGAAATGCACAAACACCCCAGTTACCCCCAGGCACACATATGCAGGGATCTCTGTCCTTCTGAACACGTACACACGTGGGTCCCCCTACACACATTCCAGATCTTGCTTTTTTTCACTTAATGACATACTGTGGCGACAGCAGCCTATCAGTCCAGGCAGATTTCCCGCATACTGGACTCCGGACCCCTGTGGATGGACATATAGATCGTTTCTAGTTTTTTCTGATTTCTCACTGTTAGAAGATAATGTGTTCGTCCAGGACACACACATTTTTTATGTTAGCTTTTTCGCTTTATTTCTCTTTCCTGATACTGAAATAAATATTGACAGTGCCCCAAAAAATGTCTAAAGAAAGGACGGGACAAAGGCTGTGTGATCCGCTCCCCTGAACGAAGGCCATTTCCCACCAGTCCTTCGTAAAAGGCATCTTTTCCTCACACAGTTGGGACCGGGGTGTGATGAGCTTCTGGATTACTGAGTGAGTACCAAGCGCCACGCATGTGCTAAGCCCCTTGGGTGGACTGACATCCCGGTGGAAGGGGAAGCTCATAGCCCAGCAGAAGGCGGGGTGCTACGCTGCCTCCCAGAGGCTGGCTGTCTCTCTGCCCCACCTCCAACCTTCTCCGTGGCTGGGAAAGAAAGACGCAAGAGAGGACCACCTACCTCAGAGAGCACCTCCGAAGCAGTCTCAGGGTTCCGCAGGATCTCCCCTGGTGTGGGGGTGCTGCCACTGTCCCCTCTCTGCCCCACGCTCAGCGCCTGCTCCCACTTTTGTAGAGCTTCCTCGAACAGCTCCATGCCTGAGCACGGGCGGGAAGACAAGGGAGAGAGTCTGACCTCGGCAGAGGAGAGCAGCCAGGCCCCACGCTCCAAACCCCACTGAATGAGGGTTTTGGGGTCAGGAGTGGGTTGCAAATCCGCACCTGGGAAGGTGTCCTGAGCCCAGTCTGGGCTCCTGGGAGGAGGGCGTTTGTCCCCCAACTCTGCCCCAGGGGAGGCCCCACGGCTGACCTCCTGGCCCGTACCTTGCATGTACAAACTCTCTGCGTTGCCGTCACTGGTGGTCACGGACTCTTCCATACCTCTGGCGTCCCATGGTCCTGAGCATGCAGCCGTGGGGCTGGACGAGTTCACTGCTACTGTCTGGGCACCAAGCAGCACAAGGATCCAAGGGCAAGGGGTAAGGCCCTCCCAGATCCTTTGCAGGACCCAAGCCCCTCCCATGGCCTGGTCCTATGTCACACACCCTCTCTGAAGACCATCCCTGAAGTGAGCCCACAGCACATGGCCAAGCCCTCAGCAGGGCCTGGTCCCCAAAACTCAAAGCACTGGACAGCACTTCACAGAAGCTACAGAAGTGGGAGGAAAGAGGCCCGTGGCCAGCCCAGGAAGCAACAGCCTCCTACAGAAGCCGCCCTGGGCCTGTTCCCTGCTCTGGCACTCTGCAACTAGGTGGGGCTAGGAAGGCTGAGGGAGCTCCCACCACCACACGGCGGGGCAGGGCCCGCACTCCCCACACTTCTCGCCCTGCTGGGATGTGGGCTCCTCTGGGCCACGAGCCCTCTCTTGCCCACCCCTGGGTTCCCAGGGCAGACCCGGGCTCAGAGCTCACTGCATGAACAGGTCACACTAGATGAGAGAATGAGCCCAAAGCCACTCCCCAGGAGAAAATAAGCTTCTCTTTGTCTCATTTATCTCTTTATCTTCAGCACAGTCCCTGGCACCTGCTCCGTGTCTGAGGAACGAATGAATGAACTTTCATAGACAAGTATCTTCCCCGCAAGAGGCCACCCACCTCTCTTCTGCCCCATCCACCTCTCTGTCACCGAAGCCTGGCCCTCGGTGTGATCAGTGATAGTCTCAGAAAGCCCGTGTGGATGGATGAGAGACCAAAGGAAATCTCCCCTGTCTTCCTTCCAGTCTGTGAGCTCCCTGAGGGCAGAGACTCGAGCCTCCTCAGAACCAGGGCCTAAGCCCTGAGCCCGCTGGTGTCCTCCCTCCTCTATTTTTTTTTTTTTAAGATTTTATTTATTTATTTGACAGAGAGAGATCACAAGTAGGCAGAGATGCAGGCAGAGAGAGAGGGGGGAAGCAGGCTCCCCGCCGAGCAGAGAGCCCGATGTGGGGCTCGATCCCAGGACTCTGGGATCATGACCTGAGCCGAAGACAGAGGCTTTAACCCACTGAGCCACCCGGGCACCCTCCTCCCTCCGCTATTTACCGAAGCCAGGCTGTGGGATGAGCCCGAGTGCTTGCTGGGCTCGAGAGAGGAGATGCCACTCAGTGTGTCGTTGCTCTTGCTGCTGGGACTCTGGATCCTCCGGCTGGAGTAGCCTGTGAGGAACAGGAGGGCCAGGGGACATGGCCATGGAGTTCAGCCTCTGCACAGGCTGTTCCCACCTCCAGACAACCCTCCCCCTCCTCATCTTGTTCTACCTCCCCTTCGAAGGCAGGGGGATGGCAGAGCGCCCAGGGGCACGCGCCCGGCAGAGTGTGACACCTCTGCCTGTCCGGCCTGCTCACTTCCCTATCCCTGTCCTCTGGCACTGGGCCTGGCCCAGAGGGCCCTGGACCTGCCAGATAAGCCGGAGAAGGAGGGCTGGCGACTTCTCTGCCTACTTCTCACTTAGTCTCCCCTGTGTTGCTGACTGACTGATTTGGCATTCTCCTCCTTCCAGAAAGAATTTGAGACAGCGACTTCTTGAAATATACATAAAACTTTTCTTTTGAAGTGAGAAAAGTAGGGAGGGGGAAAGAGGGCAACCCCAGAGGTGATGGCAGTAGGATGGGGTGAGCAAGCGAGGGGCCGGCACAGGGGCGACTCCAGGTGTCCCCCTGGGGGCTGTGAACACAGAAACCCAGCTACATCTGCACTTCTCAGGTCCTATTCTAGACTAGTCTGAAAACTTCTTTTTCTAGATGTAAAGAGAAAATTTTCCTTTTGTGATGATAGTTCACAATGAAAATTCATTTTTGGGTAAGGGGATTTCTTCCTTCCTCCTCTTTGTTTTTTGCTTTTTTGTTTGTTTTTTTTTTTTAAAGTAGGCTCCATGCCCAGCATGGGGCTTGAACTCATGACGCTGAGATCAAGAGTTGCACGCTCTTCTGACTGAGCCAGGCAGGCACCCCAAGGGGGATTTTTCCTTCCTAAACCAGGTTTCTCCCCAGATGGGAGCCTGTGAGGACTTCCTGCCTGGGGAAGGGATCCACAGGACGTTCAGGCGTGGCAAACACGGGGTTGATGGGTTACAAAATGAAACGGGGTCTATTAGGGTTTTGAAAGCCACACCAGCAGACTCAAAATGGCTTACAGGCTACCAGGGCCTGGGGGGAGGGGCGAGGGGCTGACTACACAGGACACGGGGACTGAGAGCATGGTGGTACAGTTTTCGATGTGGTGTAAATACAGGTCTCTGGGTGGCCCACGAAATTGCATCAAGAACTGTATGCTCAAAAGGCTGAACTGAACTTAAAAGAAAAAGGGTGCAGGGGGCGGGGGATGGGGAGAATACCATCTGGCTCAGGAACCACGTGGTCCTTCTTGCTCCTGAGCCAGGGGACTTCCCTCCCTGGGCAGAGAAGCTGCGCCCCGCCAGCCCCCTCTGGACACAGCTGCTCCCAAGGGGTCTGAGGATATCAAGAACTACCACCACCAACAGGACATACACATCGGGCTGCATCACCCCAGTCCCCTGACTTGGTGAAGACTCAGGGAAAGGTCTACTGCCAACCCCGCCTCCCAGAGGAGGGGAACTTGGCTTGGAGACAGGACATCACTAGCCTAAGATCCGACGGTGACTGGGGGCCCAGGTGGGACCTGACTCCAGGTCAGGCCCTCCCCGAGTGCCTCATACCCACCTTTCTTCACCAATGGGACCTTCCTGGCCATGAGGATGGGCAGGGGCACCGTGCCCAAATGTGCACCTCCCATCTCGGGGCCAACCTGCTTCTTCCTCCGCCGTCGCCTCTTCAGCTGGTGGGCGGCCAGGGCCAGGGCCACTGTGCCCAGGGCTGTGGCAAAGAGGACCTTCCGCAGGCCTGGTGTCAACCGCAGCTGGGAGAAGGCAGACTACAGGAAAAGAGGGAGGCGGCTGGGCTACATCTCCCCAGAAGAGCTCTGAGGTGGGCAGAGCTGTGCTGGGGAGCACATGAGGGACACAGGAGGCCTCAGGCACTCAGGGAACATTTGCTGACCAGGAATGATCGAGAGGCAAACCCCCCCCCGCCCCCACCCCGAGGAGGCGCCCGGCCAGCACCTCTGAAATGTGGACCAAGCAGACATAAAGTGGGGGAATGGGGACAGCAAAGAGACAATGCCGAAGAGATCACATCTGGGCTCTAATAGGTGTCCCTAACTCCATCGGTCATGACTCTAACAGCTGCAGTGACCGGGCACCTACTACGCCATGCACAGGACTAGGATTCTACCTGGGCTACCTGGCTGAATGAATGTTTGTCCTTTTCCAGGTGAGACTGTGAGGCTCACACAGGTTAAGGCATGCACTCGAGATGACAGGGAGTCTGAAATCAAACCTAAGTCTCTTGACCCCATTTCGAAACATCGTAACATCCTTGATGTCGATAACACCACTCCACCTAACTGCCCCCTCTGTACAATTCCCTACTCCTCATTCTCTGCCTGCTGAGCTGGGAGCCCTTCGAGGGGCAGCGGGGGGGTGGGGGGAGCCTACATTGCATATAGCAAAGCTTTAGGAAGTGTCAAAAGATCTAGTCAGCCATAAACATCTGAGGTTGGCAGGGAGCGCACTACTGACCCTTTTTTAGGCTGAAAAACTGAGGCCAAGAGTTCAGATAGCAGATAGCCCAGAGTGAAGACCAGGCTTGGGGCCCCAGACTCCTAACCTTGTCCTTCCTGCTTTGCTCAAAGAGGAGACCCCAGAAGCCTGGAGCAATAATGAGGGATAGGCTTTCCCAAATACTAGGGACCCTGGGATGAGTGGCTTAGTATTTCAGAGGCCAGAGGGATAATGGGAGGCCCACCGCCCACCCCAATCTTTACCTGCCCAAAGGTCGTGTATAAGAACACAGGGATCTCAGCCACTGTCATGGCCAACGCCTGGATCATGGACACGCCCTCAGTCCTCCGGAACGCCATGGCAGGACCAGCACCCTCGGGTCTCAGAGCGTCCAAGGAAAATGTCTTCAACTGGCTGCTGGCTGGGTCCCAGGCACCGTCCACACTTCGAAAAGACAGGAACACACATACCAGAGGGTCCTTGCAAAGAGCTGAGAGATGGATGACCAAGTCAGACACAAGGATATGCTCACATGAGCACGCGAAATGCCCATAAAAGCGCCCTGGGGGATGAAATGGGAGCACAGCCTACCTTTGGCACGCCAGGCCTGGATTCAGGCAGGAAGGCAGCCAAATGCCCCACGTACCCTCTGCCCACCCAGAGCCCTAGGAGCAGGAGACAGCATCTCTGGCACGTTGGCCCAAGAACAGACCCAAGGCCTGGGAGATGTAGAGGTCACTCTCAGCCTTGGGGCTCTACAACACACTTGCACCATCTTTTTAAACCCATGTTCCACTGGCTACACAAAAACCCCAGGCCACAAAAGGGCCAGGCCCCTTCATCTCCCACAAAGCCAAGAATGTTTTTCTTTCCCGTGGACTGTATTACAAAAGCAGCAGGGTGCTCGCTCAGATAACGAAAACCATGACAGCCTGTGGGTCTATTCTGCACTGGGTTCTTTAGGTACGTTATTTCGTGGAATCGTTACAATTCTGTGAAGGAGATGGTATCTGGCCCCGCACCCCATCTCTGCCAGTTTCCAAAGAGAAAAATGAGACTCAGCGGGGTTAAGCCAGGAGGAGTCCACAGTCACACAGCTAGTATGAGGCAACCAAGGTCTTGCACCAAGGTCTCCTGGACTTTAGACTCTGTGCTCAATACAGCCCTTTAGCAAAATCTAACTTGCACCAGGAAGTGACAAGCCCCAGCAGAACTACAAACTATAAGAGCAACTTTCCCCTGGGCCTTCAAGACCCCCCAGGGTACCCCATGCCCCATTCCAAGGTCAGCGAATAAGTGACTTGAGCACACGTTGCCCCGTCCCCAAGATCCTGCACAGCACTCCCCAACTGCCACCACAAAGACCAAGGATGCCTTCAAGGTCTCCTGGGACCTCAAGCGGAAGGAATACACAGGCCAGGACAGACCCTATCAACCTGGGACGGCGGCCAAAATCACTGGAGCAGCACAAGAAACAGCTTATCCCCAGTGAGTGGGAAGGATGGACGAGCCTACCAGTGTAGCTCCAGCGTTGGGCAGCGTGCATGAGGGGGGCAAGCGGGAAGAGCCAGTCTAGGGCCAAGGAAACGGTCATGCTGTCAAGATAGGAGACACGCTGCCAGGAGGCTGTGAATTGAGCTGTGACCTCCAGTGGTCAGGGCCCGGGTTCGTATCATAAGCCAGCCCTCTCATCCCCCCAGCCTGGCCCAAGCCTCAGAACGCCAGAGGATCAGTAGCCACTATTTCCCCAGCACCTATCCTATAGGCCAGGCTTCGAAACAGGCTTTGGTTGGGAGTTTAGTCCACTGCTTATGATGGGGAAACTGAGGCCATGAGAGCTAAGCGACCTGACTGAACTCGATAACTGACCAAGCTGGGATGGGACCTCAGCTGCGAGGGATCCTGGAGCTACCGCGTTTCCCCTGAGAGGCACCTGCTGCAGCTGCCACGGCTCCCTCCCGGGCACGTGTGGCTGGGAGGCCTGGTTACTTGCCTGCAGGAGCGTCAAGAGCAGCCTCTGCTGCTCCAGATGAGAGGAAGACTGGCAAGTCCAAGGTGACAACACTGGCCCCCAAGCCTGCTTCACTCCAGGGTTGGATCCAGACTCAGCTCAACCGTGCCCCCTTCTTCCCCACTGACGCAACCTGGGGAGAAGCCTCCTCTTCTCCATGATGACCGCCTGCAGCAACGTCTCCCACTCTGTGCACACTTCCAGCGCCATTTCCAGCTGGGAAAGTCACCCTATAACCTTGGGCAAGAACCCCCTCATTCCACCCCCGCAGTGGCACTTACAACACCCTCAGCCTGGATGCCGCACTTTCCACAGGGGCACCTCCTCCCTTGCCCTGGGCAATCCTATTAATGACTTTGGCCTGAGCAGCCAATCTTTCCTCCCTGACCCCAGCAATGCCCCAGGGCCCAGGCACTCCTCTGAACCACCCTCTGCCCTGTCTCTGTTCGTTCCACCCCAGCCACTTTCCAAGTCTGATCGAGCTAGGTACTGGGCGCTCACCTCTGTACGGAACCTCAGCAATATCCCCTTATTCAAAATCTGCTCATCCCATCTCGGACATCTCCCTGCGCAGCCCCAATTCAAGCCCCCTTTTCTCTGGTCCGACCCCTGGAATATCCTTGAGGGTCGTCCAGGTGCCCACTGGCGCCACCCACGACCGGCACACCTGCTCCCTCCATCTCGGGTACTTTGCTAGCCCAGGTTCAGGTACCTGCGACCCTGCAACGTTCCCGGCCCGGGCATCTCCGCACTGACCTGGCACCTTCGGTTCCACCTCTCGCGCCGCCCACGGCCTGGGTACCTGTTTATTCCAACCCGGGCCCTTCTAGTCCCTCTGACCCCGGACATCCGCGCTCCCACCCAGTTCGTTGCTCAGACCTGGCACCCACCCGCCGCAAGCCTCAGTCCCGGGCCCTGCCGCATCGCCCGCCGCACAGGCTCAACCCGAGGAGTTACTCACCCAGGATCCCATCGCTGCGGAAGGGCAGCGTCTCCTTCCCCGGCACCCGCGCAACCAACCTCGCGGCCACCGCGGGGGGCGTGGCCTCACGCAGGGCCAACCCTCCTCTGCCCAATGAATGTCGCCGGAGCGTTCCTTACAGCTCAGGCCTCTGGCCAATGGGCGGTGTCACGTGACCAGCCTGGCCCCACCTTCCTTGGCCCCTGCTCCGCCCCCTAAGTGCGGTTGAGGCGCGGAAGTGCTCTCTTCTGCCCTACCATTGGCCATCGGGATTCGATTGACTGCGCTGGCTGAGTGGGGCGGGGCCATCCTTAAAGAAACTGAGGCGGAGCTATCAGGTCTCTGAGGGTCTTTTTGGGAGGGACCTGTGATCGGTCTGAGCATTATTTGGCTTCTCTGCTCCTCCCGGCCCCCCCACAAATTCTGCCCGCCCTTCAAGGGCCCATTTTAAATGCCACTGCCTCTGACTTCCCACAACATCTTCTTCTTCCTTTTTGAAAAAGTTTTTATTTATTTATTTGACAGAAAGCGAGAGCAGGAACTCACGCAGGGGGAGTGGGAGAGGGAAGGCAGGCTTCCCGCCAAGCAGGGAACCCGGTGTGGGGCTGGATCTGAGCCGAAGCAGACGCTTAATGACTGAGCCACCCAGGCTCCCCACACAGCTTCTTCTTAAACCAAACTTGGCACTCTCCACTTTCTTTTGGAGCTGTTTGCAAACCTCCCCTACCAGACATTGTCCCGCTGAGAGTTGAAGTCAAGTGATTACGTTCCGACGGCCCAACGGTGCCTCGAAGGAAACACTGGGTTTGGAATAGGACTGACCTGAGTTGGAATCAAGTTCCTCCACTTAAGCTCGCTGGAGTTCCCGGGGTTTACCGAGCCCCTGTAAGTGGGCGTGACTTGCCAAAGTCACAAGGCTTTGGTGAGGCTTGCAGAAAACAGTGTGGCAAGTCCTTTCATAACGGCGAACAGCTGTTTCTGGTTGGTTGGTTTTTGTTTTTCAAGATTTTATTTCTTTACTGGAGAAAGAAGAAGCAGAAGGGGGTGCAGAGGAAGAGGGAGAAGCAGACTCCCTGCTTAGCAAGAAGTCAGACACTGGCGCGTGCTCCATCCTGGGACTCCGGGATCATGACTGGAGCTGAAGGTAGATGCTTAACTGATTGAGCCACCCAGGCGCCACTGCAAAGAGCTGTTTTTAAATATAATCATCAGCAAGGTCACACTTCTTCATTCATTGCACAGCTAATATATCTGTGTGCCAGCCTTTCACAGGTGCACAGTGGTGGGGGCAAGATACGTGGTGGCCCCAGGGAGCTCAGAGGAAGCAGATACCTAATTACAATGTTGTGTGGTAGTTGCTCTGATGCGAGAAACTCAGGAATGTGGGGAGACTAAGGAGACACCTGGGCTTGCAGGGGGAGGTGAGAGACTCCTGAAAGAAAGGGAAGTCCAGATGCAAACCTGAAGGATGAACAAGGATTAGCTGGGTAAAAGGGAGAGGACAGAGCATTCCAGAAGCAGCATGGGCTGTGACCCCAAGGCAAGAGAGAACCTGGTACCCAATGAGCCAAGGAAGAGGGAGCCAGAACAGAGAAGAGTGGTTTCCACAGTCGGACTGCCTGGATTCTGGGATCAGTCTGCCACTCTCACTCTGTGCTCTGTAACCTTGTGCAAATCAGTTAACTTCTTGGACACCCCGGTGTCTCAGTCAGTTAGGCATCAGATCATGATCCCCGGGGTCCTGGGATGGAGTCCTGCATCAGGCTCCCTGCTTGGCAGAAAGTCTGCCTCTCCCTCCACCTCTCCCCCCTGCTTGTGCTCTTGCTCTCTCTCTCAAACAAATAAAATCTTGGAAAAAAAAATCACTTAACTTCTTTAAACCACACCTTCAGGGCACCTGGGTGGCTCAGTGGGTTAAGCCTCTGCCTTCGGTTCAGGTCATGATCTCAGGATCCTGGGATCAAGCCCCACATGGGGAAATCTCTGCTCAGCAGGGAGCCTGCTCCCCCCCCATCTCTGCCTGCCTCTCTGCCTACTTGTGATCTCTCTCTGTCAAATAAAAAAATAAAATCTTAAAAAAAAAAAAAAGAAAGAACAACTAAAAAAAGGATAGACTTTAAAACAACAAAACAAAAAAATAAAACATACATTCTTCACCCCTAAAATGAAGAGGAGGATGGTTTCAGAGCTGTTATGACCATTCTAGATTATTATTCACTTAAAAGTACTCAATGCTGGACCTGGCATAGTCTCAGGACATTTGGACTATTGGTAGTAAGAAAACGGCAATAGGCAATTGTAAACCGAGATAAGTAGATGAAGCATAGGTTCATTGGGACAGGTGTAAGTAATAACTACTGTCTACTGTCTCTCTCTCTCTCCTACTTATTTATTTATCCTACTTTTTTAGTAGGCTCTATGCCCAACACAGGGCTTGAACTCACAACCCTTAGAGGAAGCACTGCATGAGCTACCAACTGAGCCAGCTAGGCACCCCGCTCTCTCTCCCCTTTATCCTCCTGTGTTTTTCTTCTCAGGACTCATCACTTGACATGTTACATATTTGTTTGCCCAAGAGGGGCGGGGCCTTGTTGTGGTGTTGTTCTCTATCCCTGGAGCCTAGAACAATGCCTGGGTCACAAAGACTTTCTCCTTGACCAAACCTGAATCAGGCTCCTCTGAGAACTCTGCTCAACTAGATTGACCTTGAACTTCCATCTGTGACTTGTAGAGTCCAGTTTTAGCAAGAATCCCGCCCTTTGCCCCCGCCCCTACTGGGGTCTGATCACCCTCCATATTTAAACAAATTCCTCATTTTCTACCCTCAATATCTTGGCATGCCTTCAGGGCGAATCCCTCTAGCCTTGATGTTTCCACTTAGTCATTTTCCATCCACGGACCCCACCCTGCTCTTTAGCTCTAAATCTCCACTTGCCCTTGTTGTATTCAAAGTTGAGCCCCATTTCCCTCCCCTACCGCAAACCCCCCACTGCAGTGGTCCCTCTTGAATAAAGTCTTCCTTACCATCTTTAACAAGTACCATGAATGCTCTTTTAAAATATTTTATTTATCGGGGCGCCTGGGTGGCTCAATGGGTTAAAGCTTCTGCCTTCGGCTTGGGTCATGAACCCAGAGTCCTGGGATCGAGTCCCACATCAGGCTCTCTGCTCAGTGGGGAGCCTGCTTCCTCCTCTCTCCCTGCCTCCTCTCTGCCTACTTGTGATCTCTGTCTGTCAAATAAATAAATAAAATCTTAAAAAAAAAAAAAAACTGTGTGTGCTGTCTGCTGGCTGCTGGCACACTTTAAAAAATATATATTTTTAATTTATTTATTTTGGGAGAGAGAGAGAGAGAGAACGAGCAGGCGGAGGGGTAGAGGGAGAGGAAGAGGGAGAGAAGCAGACTCCCGTTGACCTGAACTGAAATCAAGAGTCAGACGTTTAACCGACGGAGCAACCCAGGCACCCCTGAATCTTTTTTTTTTTTTCAAACAGTGTTCAATGTGAGTTATTGGATGAATGAACATATAAGGATATTGATATATGCCTGTTGAAGATGATAGGGCTGGATGCTGACTCAATGAATGATATAGACCACCATAGACGGACATTGATAAATAAATGAATGATCAGTATAGATTAATAAAAGCACATAGTGATGGCTCCAGGTAAGTAATAAACACAGACTCATTAAACGGGTGCACATTAAGTCACCTGGAAGCTTTCCAAACTCCACCTTCCTGGGCCTCATGCATGCTAAGAGAACCAGTCTGGGAGTGGGTCTGGGGTCTGGATTTTGAACAAAACCCCAGGTGACTGAACTCATCCTGCAGAGATCAGCTGGGGGAGGCGATGGGGAACTGGGGTTAGGTTAGTACATGGAGATAAACAAGCCAGGCATCCAAAGGATAGAGCCAGGTAGGAGATACGACCAGTCCAGGAACAGAGCTCTCCACTGCATTAAAAGATGAAGTCTAGGGGTGCCTGGGTGGCTCAGTGGGTTAAAGCCTCTGCCTTTAGCTTGGGTCATGATCCCAGAGTTCTGGGATCGAGCCCCACATTGGGCTCTCTGCTCAGCAGGGAGCCTGCTTCCCCCTCTCTCTCTGCCTGCCTCTCTGCCTACTTGTGATCTCTGTCAAATAAATAAATAAAACCTAAAAAAAAAAAAAAAAAAAAAAGATGAAGTCTAGAGAGAGACAGTCCGGAGAGGCTTGTCCGGGACTGTGAGGAGGTAGGTTCAAGATCCGCAAGTGTCCCTGCCCCAACCGCAGCCCATTCCACTACCTTGGCCTCCCTACCACTCCTTCCTCCCCCATAAACCCTCCACAAACACCCTCACCCAACTTTGGAGAGCCAGAGGGCTTCCTGGGAACAACCAGAGGAGTCCCCAGCCAGCCTGTCCCCTGGCTCAGATGTCCTTAGTGTCACCAAGGTCAGTGTAATAAGAAGGGGAGTGGAAAGTTCTAGGTGATGGTGGTGGTGGTGGTGGTGGGCTGCCCAGAGAGACCCAGGGCAAAAGAGGCAGACAAATAGGAAGACAGAAGGCCTAGTAGATGAGTGGGGTGCGAATGGTCAAAGGTACACGAAGAGGCACAAATGGGCAAGGGGCAGTGGGACAAGGAATGGAGAGAGGCCCCCCCAGGTGGCAGACGGAGGCCTCAGAGAAAAGTAGCCGGTCGAGGCAAGACCCTGCTACCTCTGGTCCCCCGGGGTCCCTAAGACTCCTCCCGGGCCGCCCCGCCCCGCCCCGCGTGCTTCCGCTAGCTCCTCCCACGTGTCCCACCCTGCACGCTCTGGCTGGCTCCTCCTACGCGGCCCGCGCCCCGCCCCGCGCGCTCGGGTTAGCTCGGCGGCGGCGGCGGCGGCTGCGGGCTGGCGAGCGGGCGCGCAGAGGGAGGGCGCACCGGCAGCAGGTGGGCGGGGTACGGGCCGGCGGCGGCGGGCTGGGGGCTACCAGGCTGCGCTCAGGCTGAGCGCTGCCGGCCGTGCGTCGCGCCATGGACTTCAACATGAAGAAGCTGGCGTCGGACGCGGGCATCTTCTTCACCCGGGCGGTGCAGGTGAGGCCGTGCGCCCTGGGCCTCGCGGCCTGGATGTGGGGCGGGCCGGGAGCACCCCTGCAGGAGAGCCGGGGGGTGGCGCAGGAGAAGCCCCTGGAGGCTGCCGTCCCGTCCCCACTGCGGGACACCCCTGCCCTCACATCCCCTACTGCGGCGCTGCCCAGAAGAAAGAGCCCGGGGCGGCCGGCCACTCTGGCCGCACACTCAGCGTAACCCGGGCCCGGGGACTGAGCCGGGCCGCGGCCCCGTTAGCCGGGGGGGAAGTATCGGGGCGCACGGTTTCTGCAGGCTGGGTTACCCCGCTGCCGTAGCTCCCGCCCCAGGAGGGAGAGAGCACTGGGAGGCCCCTGCCTCCCCGCCCTTTCCCAGCAGTGACTCTGGCAGTCGTCCGGAGGCCTGAGCCCCAGGCCCAAGGACCGTGCACCTGCCGCGACCCCTTCCCTGAGCCTCAGTCTCTGCACCCGTGCAATGGGCTGGCTGGTGGTACTGATTCCGTCAGGTCCCCTGTACACGCTTGGATAGTCGGTCCGGAAGCCAGGAGGGCTGGGATTATTTCCTTTCTGCTCCACGGGAGGCCTGTTTCCTCTTACTTCTCCAAGCCTGGAGGATGGGGAGAGGGCTGAGGTCTGGCTGGGTGCCCTCCTTGGACAGCTGTCCAGGCTGATGGTGCCGGGATCGGAACAAGTCCTATCCACATTCTGGGGCCAGGAGAGAAACTGAGGCATCTTAATGTAATGGTGAAGGCCTGGAGGCAGCTATGGGCATGGATGCTCCCTCTTGTGACCTTGAGGAAGGGGCTTTATCTCTTGGCCTCAGTTTTTCGATCTGAGAAATGGGATTAGCAATCCCTCCCTCCCCGGATGGCTGTGAGGATAGCGGGTACTCTGCATGTACATGCTCTCTAAAGACAAGCTTATGGGGCGCCTGGGTGGCTCAGTCAGTTAAGCATCTGCCTTCTGCTCAGGCCATGATCCCAGGGTTCTGGGATCAGGCCCCATGTTGGAGTCCCTGCTTAGCAGGGAGTCTGCTTCCCCCTCCCTTTCTCCCCTCCCCCACTCATGCTTTCGCGCTCTCTCTCTCAAATTAAAAAAAAAAAATCTTAAAAAAAAAAAAAGGCAAGCATACTAGTAGTGTTAACGTAGTTAGTATGGCATGTGACCTTGGGCAAGTCACTTTCCCCCTCCTGTCAATCGGGTGTAACAACCGACTGCCTCCAGAGGTGGCTGCAGTCTTGGGGCTTGGCCTGTCGCAGTGCTCTGGGAGCCAGTCCTATTGTTTGTCCTTGCTGTTGTCTGGAGAAGCCCAGCCCCAGACAGTCTCTGGGAAACCCATGTGCTCATGTTTACTAGAAAGCACCATGTCCCATGTCCCGATGAGGATTAGTGCCCCAGTGAGGACTTGCTGCCTGGTATTTCAAGCCCCAAAAGGTGATCCCAGCCCTAGTGGGTTTGCTAGGACCCTGGAGCCCCTTGGCTATCCTCAGTTCATCTGGAAGGTGGGAACCCTCCCACGGTTGGTATGGCAACCGCTCTATCTCCCACATCTGGGAAGAACCTGATCTGCCAGTTTCCTGCTACTGTGGGGCGCTGGCACCTGACCTGGCCAGGGCCTGCAGAGCCTGGGGTGTGGGGAAGCTTGAGCTCTGTGGCCTCACTTCTCCTGGTCGGGGCAGGCCCAGTGGGTCACCCGTACTGGAGTGGGAGCCAGCGCCCAGGCTCCAGACTCTGGGGTGGAGGAGGGAGCTGGGAGCTTTATAAATAGAGGCTTTCTCTGGCTCTGCACGCCCACCCCCTGCTGCTGCCATTGTGCAGGGAGCAGCCTCGGACTCTGCAGACATCAGCCCCTGAAGCATGGGTCCCTTCCGTTTGGTAGTGATGGGGCAGGGTGACAGGCCAGAGGAGAGAAGTCTTGAAATATCACCTGCGTAGGAGAGGACCCTTGGGACCCGCTGAGGCCAGGCTGCCTGGAGATAGGCGTCAGGAGGGATGGGAGGGAGTTCTTCATTCTCAGTGTGTGGGCAGCTTCTCTGCCTAGGTTCCACCATGCCATGTCCCGGGATATACTGGGTAAGCCATCAGCCCCTCCACGTACCAGGGACACCTTTTAGAGCCTTGCCCCATTGCCATCCAGTAGGGAACCTGAACTTGACCCTGGGAGAGCAGGATCCCTTTTGCATGGGTGATTCTGGGATTCCGGGTCCCTGAATGGTGCCTTGAAAGTGAGGATGAGTTTGTGAATTTGGTCCAGGGGCTGGGAAACGCCCAGCTAAGGGCATCCAGGCGGGAAAACATAGGGCATATTGAGTATGATGCCAGCGTAGGTGGGAGTGGGCCGTGGAAGCCATAGTACTAATGCTGTTAGTAGTAACTGCCGTAATAGTAAGAGTAGTGGTAGAACTAGTAATAGTAAAGGCCGTTAGGAGGCAGTAGCACTGTCATCGTCTGAGCCAGGCAGGCAGCACTGGACATAGGATGGAGGTCTGGAAAGCCCCATAGGATATTGAACCTGGGTGGACCTGGGGTGTGAGGGATGGCTGCCCCAAGGCTCAGTGGGGAGTGGCTGCCGTTAACCTTGCACATTCAGGTGACGTAATCACCTAAGGTAGGGTGCCTGGTACTGTTGGGGTATGGGGGTTCCTAGGTAGCTCGGAGGAGGAACATGAAGAAGGCCTTCTATCCGTGGTCATGATGAGAGCAGCTAAGGTTTGTTAGGCCTGTGCTGTGTGTTTCCAAATCTTCTGTGAGATAGGTCCTGTTATCCCCCCTTGCCAGGGCAGGGGAGCCCCTGGCGAAGACCAGAGAGGTGGCTTTGCCTCTCTAAGCCTTGATTTCCTTATCTGGAAAATGGGGTTAAGGCTACCCCTAAGGGGCTGGGTGAGGTGAGGCCTGCTCGGGGCCTGGCTCTGGGAGTCTAGGGAACGTGAGAAGGCCCAGGAGTGCGGGGAGAGGTGGGAGGAGGCCGGGAGCAGCTGCTTCCCAGGTAGGGAGCCACAGCGTCATCCTGGCCCACCCAGGCCTGCAGTGAGAAACCCAAGCCCTGTTGCATAATTGATGGCTGCCCAGTGACTCTGCCCAGTGACTCTCCGTGGCTGCCGCCCCCTCCCTGCAGCTGGGCTGGAGCTGTTGTTGGCCTCTGGATGATTGATCGACGCCAAGCAGGCTGGGAAGGGCCTCCAGACTCCCAGCCCGGAATGACCCTGACTTGAGCACAGTCTGCCCCTTGCTTAGCCTCAGTGGCATCATCTGTGACTTGGGAAACTTGACCCAACTATCCTGGAGGCTCTCGGAGATGTCGGTGGGTCACTGGTGTCAAATGCTTATAGCCCAGGGTTGGACCACCACGCAGTCAACAGTACTGCTGCGTTACTACTGATCTTTCTCCTGCAGGTCTATGCCCTTTTGCTATTTGACTACGACCTTGAACAGGCTCTTTCTGCCAGAGCCTTCTAGATCAGAGGGGCCAGGACTTGGGCCAGTATCAGGTAGTTCTCACATGGCCTGCACAACCTCTGCCGGCTCTGACTGGTGGGACATCCCAGTTCCTGCCTGGCCTTGGGGTGGGGCTGCCAAGCTTTCTAGGCCTTGTGCGTGCCCAGCAGTTGGCTCTGAGGGGCTAGTGGTGTTCCCTGTCCACTGCACCAGGCGACCAGAGGCCAGCCATGTGGCTGTCCCACCCCCACACACTCCCTTTCCTTCCCGCTGCCTCTCCACCCATCAGCTCTTTGCAGCAGTGGCACCGACTCCCTGCCAAACTCGGGCCTTCATGTCTTACCCACATCTTTCTTTCTTTTCTTTTTTTTTTTTTTTTTTAAGTAGACTCCACACTCCACGTGGGACTCAAACTCATGACCCTGAGCCCCCTCAGGCGCCCCTTACCCACATCTTTCTCATTTCATCCTATTTCAGCTATGAGGGAGCTGGTATTATTTACTATTCTCATTTTTCAGCTCAGGAAACTGACGCCAGAGAGGCAAAGCCACTTGCCCAAGGTCCTACCTCTCATCAGTGCAGACCTGAGACTCAAATCGGGTCCCTCTGACTCTGAAACCTGGGTTCTTCCCACTCACTCCACTGGCGCCCCCTCCCCACTGGCTCCCAGTCCCCCAAGGAGCCTGTGATCACCTGAGACTTTGCTCTGTGCCCCATTTATTCCCTGAGCACCTGTTACCAAGTGCTTTGCTTCAAAGTCAAGCTAGGAGGGCCCTTAGAACTAGGCCCCCAATGACTCCTTATCCCCCTAAGTAATAAGCTCGATTTTGTACAAATGTGCATTTTGGGGGGGGGGTTCTAGCTTTCTGGGTTTCTAAAAGAAGCTGTGACCCCCAACCTTTGGTCCAATGACTCCTTATCCCCCCTAAGTAATAAGCTAGATTTTGTACAAATGTGCATTTTGGGGGGGGGTTCTAGCTTTCTGGGTTTCCAAAAGAAGCTGTGACCCCCAACCTTTGGTCCAGCCTAGTTTTACAGAGAGGCAAATTGAAGCACAGAGTAGGGTTGTAACTTGGTCAGGGTCACAGAGCAGGTTAGGGGCAAAGTTTCTTGACCTTGGGCTTGGTTCTAGTTGGGTGAGGGAAGGAGGTGTAGAAGCATGGGGCAGGGGCGGTCTTTGCTTCCCCCCTTCCGAGCCTTCCCTGTCCCTCAACCCTACCCCCCACAGTTCACAGAGGAGAAATTCGGCCAAGCTGAGAGGACTGAGCTGGATGCACACTTTGAAAACCTTCTTGCCCGGGCAGACAGCACCAAGAACTGGACGGAGAAAATCCTACGGCAGACAGAGGTGCTGCTGCAACCCAACCCCAGTGAGTGGGCGCTGGGCGGTCCTGGGCGAGGGGCTGGAGGCCACTGGCAGGAGGCCTGGGCTGCAGGTGGGACTGGACTGGGTGGCACGTGGGATTTGGATCAGGTTACTGGGGCTTCTGAGGCCTGCTTAGGGCGGGGCGAGCAGTTAAAGAGCCCAGCAGACAGTGATGGGCCAAGATGCACTCTCTGGGGCAGCAGAGGTTTAAGAGTTTTGCACCAAGGAGTTGGAGAAATGCTTGAGACTAAAACACACTTGGGTAGAGGCAGGGAAAGCATGAGCTCAATCTATTGAGAGGCTGGCGGAGCCTGAGATGGAGAAGGGCTTGCCCTGAGTCCCACTGCAGTGAGTGTGAGCAGGGAGCACACAGAAGCCATGGGCAGGAGAACCGGGGGACAGGGGGCGCAGGGAGGGCTGTCTTGGGGTCCTGATGCTATCTGCCTCCAAGTCTCCTGTATAAGTGGGGGTGCCTGGAGCTTTCTGGAGCCAGAGCCGGAGGACTGTCTATGTGTGTATTAGGTTCTGTAAATCCATATCATATGGAGGGAGAAGTGAGTGGGCCTTTACTTGGGGCCTGTCACCCCCAGCTATGTGACCTGGGGTAGGCATTTCATGTCTCTGAGCTGTGGCTTCCTCCTCTCTGGAGTGAGGGGTCCTATGGGGTTGAGTGCTGGTTTCACTAGGTTGAAATGGGCTCCAAAAAGAGAGTAATCTGTCTGTCACCAGGCCAGGCACCCCCATGGGCGGCCCTGGTCTGGGTCTGTTTCTGTCCCCATGGCTGCCATCCTTGGGTTATACTGAAGAGCCCTGTGGCTTTGGCTGCTGTCTCCCTGCAGGTGCCCGCGTGGAGGAGTTCCTGTATGAGAAGCTGGACAGGAAGGTGCCCTCGCGGGTCACCAATGGGGAGCTTCTGGCTCAGTACATGGCGGAGGCGGCCAGTGAGCTGGGGCCCACCACTCCCTATGGTGAGCCAAGCCCCAGCCAGGGTCAGGGGTCACAGTCTCTTGCTCTCAAATTTTCCTCCATCCCTCCCTTCCTTCCTTTCTTGCTTTGTGTTTTTGAAGTACACAAATACCTACTTGTAAACATTCATGAAATGGATGAATGAAAGTGAAGAAAATGAAAAAAAATTGAAATAAATGAAAATAAACCAGTGAGGGGCGCCTGGGTGGCTCAGTGGGTTAAAGCCTCTGCCTTCAGCTCGGGTCATGATCCCAGAGTCCTGGGATCGAGCCCCGCATCGGGCTCTCTGGGCAGCGGGGAGCCTGCTTCCCCTTCTTTCTCTCTCTGCCTGCCTCTCTGCCTACTTGTGATCTCTGTCAAATAAATAAGTAAAATCTTTGAAAAAATAGTAAATAAATAAACCAGTGAAAAAAATTCATTCGCCTTGCAAACACCTCAATCAATGCAGATGAAAACAGAGAAACGGAAGTCTCTCTTACCCAGTTCCGGTTTCTGTGCCTTTCTTAAGGGGATCGTACTGTGCGTACCCTTCTGCGACCTGATTTTTCATCTCGGTATTGTGTTAGCTACCTTCTCCCAGTGGCACATAGAGAGCCACCACCATCTTTTTTTTTTTTTTTAATTTTTAATGTTTTACAGAGATATAATTTACATGCCATAAAATGCACCTGTTTTAAGTATATAATTCAGTGCTTTTTCGTAAGTTTACAGAGTCGTGCAAACATGCCCCCCAATCCTATTTAAAGAACATTTCTGTCCCCTGCACAAAGGGCCATGTCTGCTTAGAGTCAGTCCCCAGTCCAGTCCCCCTGCTGCTAACTACTCATGCACATTCGTGTGCCTATAAATGTGCTTTTTCTGAACCTCTCATATAAATGGAATCACATGTTGTGTTGGGTGGTTTTTAAGATTTTATTTATTTGAGAGCGAGAGAGAGCACATATGCATTCATGAGGAGCTGAGGGAGAGGGAGGGGGAGAGTGTCGCACGCAGGCTCTGCATGGAGCCAGACGCGGGGCTTGATCCTGTGACCCCGAGATCATGACCCGAGCCGAAAGCAAGAGTTGATTGCCCGACTGACTGAGCAGCCCAGGCCCCCCACGGTGTGCTGTGTTTTGCATCTGGCTCCTTTGAGCGTAGCTTCTCTGACTTTTATCTGTGCTGTAATGTGTTTTAGGATTTCATACCTTGTTATTGTGGGATAGTAAGTGTTCCGTTGTATGGCTAGACATTTGGGTTGTATCCTTCCAAGCGTTTGCACACGGAACTTTGTGAGGGCATGTATTTTCCCTTCTGGATATGCACCAGGAATGGACTTGCTAGGTCACACGGTAAACTTAAGTTTAGCTTTTTTTTTTTAAGATTTTATTTATTTATTTGACAGATAGAGATCACAAGTAGGCAGAGAGGCAGGCAGAGAGAGAGAGGAGGAAGCAGGCTCCCTGCCGAGCAGAGAGCCTGATGGGGGGCTCGATCCCAGGACCCCGAGATCATGACCTAAGCCGATGGCAGAGGCTTTAACCCACTGAGCCACCCAGGCGCCCCTTAAGTTTAGCTTTTTAGGAAGTTACCAAACTGTCTTCCGAAGTGGCTGTGGGATTTTGTATTTCCACCAGCAGGATGGTGGTTAATTTCCGTATATTTGGATTTTCCAAGTTTCCTTCTATTGTTGATTTCTTTTTTTTTTTTTAAAGATTTATTTATTTATTTGACAGAGAGAGAAATCACAAGTAGGCAGATGTAGGCAGAGAGGCAGGCAGAGAGGGAGAAGCAGGCTCCCCGCTGGGCAGAGAGCCCGATGTGGGGCTTGATCCCAGGACCCTGGGATCATGACCTGAGCTGAAGGCAGAGGCTTAACCCACTGAGCCACCCAGGCGCCCCTATTGTTGATATCTAATTGATATTGCTGTGGTCAGAGAACATGTCTGTATGATTTTAACCTTTTACGTTTATGAAGATTTGCGTATAGCCTAGTATATGGTCTGTCCTGGAGAGTGTTGTTGACTAGAGATCATATGCTGTGTTGCTGTGGAGTGTGGTAGAGACAACAGGCCCAATTGGGTGACAGGGTTGTTCTAGTCTCTGTGGGCTGGCGGATTTTGTCTTGTGCTCTGCTTTACCGAGAAGTACTGAAGTCTCCCACTATTTCTGTTTCTGGCTTCAGATTGTCAGTGTTTTCTTCATATGTTTTTGGAGCTCTGTTGTGAGGTCTGTGTATTTACTATTGTTCTATCTTCCTGACGAATTGACTTATATCATTGTAGAATGCTGTTGTCTCTGGTCATGTTCACAGTAAAGTCCGTTTTATCGGACAGCAGTTCACGCACTCCTGTTCTCTTAGGAGGATAGATCACATGGTATACCTTTTTCTGTCCTATTTTCAACCTATTTATGTCTTTAAATCTAAAGTCTTTTATAGACAGTATATATTTGGATTTTTTTTTTTTTTAGATTTTATTTATTTGAGAGAGAATGAGTGAGAGAGAGCATGAGAGAGGAGAAGGTGAGAGGGAGAAGCAGACTCCCCAAAGAGCTGGGAGCCAGATGCGGGACTCGATCCTGGAAGTCCAGGATCATGACCTGAGCTGAAGGCAGCCGCCCAACCGACTGAGCCACTCAGGCGCCCTTTTTTTTAAGATTTTACTTATTTATTTGACCGAGAGAGGGAGCACAAGCCTGGGGAGAGGGAAGGGGAGAAGCAGGCTTCTTGCCAAGCAGGGAGCCCGATGCAGGGCTGGATCCCAGGACCCTGGGATCATGAACTGAGCCGAAGGCAGACACTTAACCGACTTGAGCCACGCAGGCGCCCCTGTATTTGGATTTTTTCTTAAAAATCCACTCTATCTTCATTCTTTGATTGGAGTGTTTAATCCATTTGTATTTAACATAATTATTGATGTAGTTGGATGTACATATGCCATTTTATTAAATTTTCAATAAACGAGATTACTGTCTCGTTTCCAGATCTCCTGTTAAATTTCTGGCAGAGCTCTTCCAACCAGTATTCCTTATTCAAGTCAACTGTGAACGTTGGTCTTCTTCAGTTATTTGCCGTTGAGATCACTGCTATTTCCAATAGGGTCCCCTAGATTATTCTGTGCTCCCGCCCAAACCAAGTCAGCCCCAATACCACTACCTTTCCCTGCGGCCCATCCCCCACCCCTACCCAGCTGCTCACCTGTGGACTTGCCCCGCCCAGGTAGAGCAACAACTGCAGAGCTGACCATGAGCTGACCATGCAAAGCCCCCCGCCCCAGGCTGGGAAGCCACAGGTTCCCACCTTGTTCCTACCAAGGGCCATCAGTTCTTGAGTAAATATTCTGTTTCTTTGCACTTGGTCAATTTCCAGAGTCCGGAAACGTTTGCTTTTGACAGTGATACCCATTTTTACTGTTGCTTTTTGGGAACAGGATTTGTTGAGGTGCTTTCTGTGTTCTGGAAGTCTCCCCTCCCCCGCCCCCCTCATCTTTGTCACACTGTGTCCTAGTCCGCCTTTGGGATGTCCCGCTATTTACGTCAGTCTCCTGTCGACAGACATGCAGGTCGCCCCACACGCTTCCAGGCCAGCCGTTCCGCACTGAGCCCGCAGTGCTCACGCCTCCACGGCCTGCCTCTCCCTGGGTGCTCCCTTAGGGTCCGAGCAGCCCGAGCCCGAGCCTCTTCCTCACCCTTAAACTCCATTTAATCAGGGAAGACACTAATCAAGGTGGCAGAAGCTGAAAAGCGCCTGGGAGCTGCTGAGAGGGATTTTATCCACACGGCCTCCATCAACTTCCTCACGCCTCTGCGCAACTTCCTGGAAGGGGACTGGAAGACCATTTCGGTGAGAGGACTGGGGGCCCCCCCCGCTTCCTGGTCATTGCTGTCCTCCTCCTCGGAGCTGCCGAGACAGGCTCTCCTCCCATCCCGGGAGCCCAGCACTCCCAGGGCTCCCCAGATGTGGCTCTTGTGGACCGAATGACACAGTGGGTGACCTCTCCCTGTCTGGGCCTCGGTTTCCCTGTTTGGCCCTGATGGCCCCGTGGGCCAGTCCTGCCACAGCCCAGGGTCTCACTCTTCCCTGCCCCCCCCCCCCACAGAAGGAGAGACGTCTCCTGCAAAACCGGCGTCTAGACTTGGATGCCTGCAAAGCGCGGCTGAAGAAGGCCAAGGCTGCAGAGGCCAAAGCCACGGTAGGTGTCCCTGCTGGTCTCCCGCCCCACCACCCCCAGCTCTGTTTGGAGCCAAGGGAGGGTGAAGGGACCTGATGTTTGGCATGACCTTTCTTCCCTTTCCCTGCCTGGAGAGGCTTGGCTGGGGGATGCTGGTCCTGGCTGACCACTTCAGGTCATGCCTCTCTGCCCCTCCCCCCCAGGGAACCCTGGCCACCCAGAGCTCTGGGTCCCAGGGCAGACATTTATGGGGTGGGCTGACCAGCAGTACCCCGACCCAGGCTCAGGGCACGCCACAGCCTCCCCAGACAGACAACCAATTGTAGTTTTTCCGCATGGCCCTGCCCCGCCCTTCCTGAATGCTTGGCTCTGTCCCCCGGCTCTGCCCGGGCATGGCTCCCCCTTACTAACTACCCCACCCGCTGCTCCAGCGCTGGTCCCAGGGTGCCCTGATGGTGGGAACCCTGGAGCTGGACTGCACACCTGCTTAGGGACATGACCGAGGGCCCTTTCAGGTAATCCCATGGCCCTGGGTCAGGCCTTCCCTCTACTCTCAGCTCACTGAGGCCCGCTCAGCCTGGCCAGGCCAGCCGATGGAGTGTGGCAGTTTGCCCAGGGCTTAGGCCAGGGTGCGGAGAGCAGGCCTGAGGGGGAGCACGCTCTCGGCACGTCAGGCTGCTTGGCAGCATGGGGGCCTAGAGGCCACCTCACACCCAGGAACCAGGTCGAAGGCAGGCCGGGGGTACCGTCACTTGTGTCTTCCCAGACTCTCAGCTGCCCCCAATGCTCCTTGCGTCCCTCTCCCACGGTGTGGCCACTGGGGACCATGGAGTCTTGGCCTGTGCCACCTCTGGTGAGAGCCAAGGGCAGGGTCTCAGCACACCCGGGTGTGTGGGGTCCAGATCGGAGGCAGGGGCTCAGCCACTGGAGTCTTGTTGTGGTTGGGTGAGATGACCAATGGCTACAGGGCTGACCTCTTGAAGTCAGCTGGACAGGATAGTCTCCTTGGAGTACCTCGGCCAGAACAGGCTTCTCCTCCACCAGGCAGGCCAGGGGAGCCTTTCCTTAGTCACTCGAGCGGCACGACCTCCTCTCCAGTTGTCTGGCCCAGACAGCCTCAAGCCCTTGAATTAGGCCCCGCGCCCTCTGCAGAGAGGCCCAGGGCAACCCGGGCACGGCGAGCGCCCCAGAAGACCCCAGCCCGGCGGGTCGTCCCTGCCCTCCCGCGTAGACCCAGGCACACGGGCAGAGCAGGACTCCTCCCGGACGGCAGGGTCGTCTGCCCGCCTGCCTGCCACCCGCTCTCCCCTCCCACCACGGGGGCTGCTCCCGCCTGCGCTCTGGACTCACTAACCTCTTGTTTTTGTTCCTTTCCGTTCTGCTTTGGGTAACGTGGCTCAGTGTGAGGGAGATGTGAGTACACCTTTCCTGCGCGCTGTGCTGCTTCTGGTTTGCCCGGCCCAGCCTCGGGCCCAGGGGACGTCCTGGGCGTTTTGCAAGCAGCTGGTCTCCCCACCAGAGCCTCTGCCATGCATAGCCTCTGGTTTAGGGAGACGCCAGGCACTAGAGCCTGTGAGTCAGCTTTTTGCAAACGTGGAAAGCCTGTCACCCTGTCCATCCACGCGTCCATCCGTCCACCTTGTTGTGGGGGAGGGGCCCGGTCCTGTGTGGAGATTCTGGGATGGAGAAAGCCGGGGGGGCGGGGTGATTGGTCTGGAGAGCTGTGGCTCTAACCGGAATACCTGAGTGAGGCTCGGGTCCGGGGAGGAGTGGGGCCAGGCCCAGTCTGTGACTCACCTGAAGGCTCCCTGGCATCTGCTTTCCTGGGCTCCCAGCGTGACCACCACCCGGTCTTTGTCTGACTCTCCATGTCCCCAAGCCCACCTTGTGTCCAGGAGGTTGGAGTGGGGAGAAGGGTCCGTGTGGTATGTGTCTACAGCCTCCTGTCCCTTGGGCCGGGGCTCCTGGCCTCCCCGCACAACCCCGCCCCGTGGGAGATGCTGGGGCGGCGCCTGGCCCCGGATGACCCCCCTCCCCTCCGTGACCTCTGTTCCCGCCAGACGGTGCCTGACTTTCAGGAGACTAGACCGCGTAATTACATTCTCTCGGCCAGCGCCTCCGCGGTAAGCGCCCCACCCCGGCCGCCCGGCCTCTCTCCGCCCCGGCACCAGGGGACTGCGTGGCACCAGGAACACAGGGCGCATCCCCCAAGCCAGGAAGGCACCAACCCTGCTCCTGGCCGCCTGCCTGTGCCCTGCGCCTGCATCACTGGCCTCCCTTCTCTCTGCGCCGCGCTGGAGCTTGGGGCCAGGCCAGCCGCCCCAGACAGCGTGGGGACAGTGCAGGCCCCATCTTCTGGGACCCAAAGGTCTGCCCTCCATCCCCCATCAAGGGCACTGCCCCCTGGTCCACATCGGGCTTGAGGACCCCACAGCTGTGACAAGGGGGGGCACTCTTCATCCAGCCACCTCTCTGGCACACCTGCCCAGCATCCTGGCAGCAAGGGTGGGGCCCAGCGGGCTGGGGGCAGGAGTGTCCGGGGGCCCAGGGCAGTCGTGGGGCCTGAAGACTCCCGAGTGCCATGGGTTCTTTTCTCCTGTGTTGTTACTGGGTATTTACCGTTCAGTGTGGGACACGGGCCAACCACACCTCCCCCATCGTACCCGTCGCCACCACTGCTGTGCCTTCTCTGCCTTCTTCTCTGACCTTCCATTCCCGCCGGGGGGTGGCACGCACTTGCACGGGCCGTCAGGCTCTCTCCGCCCCCATCATAGCATGTTGCCATGTGTGTCTGTGCCTTCAGGCGGCGGCCGGGCCATCGTCCCTCGGGGCGGCAACGCCGGAGCACTCCAGCAGGCCCCTCTCTCTGCGTGTCCTCCGGCCATGCGTGCAGAGGTCACTCCCCACGTTTTGGTTTTCTAAATGGCACTGTGGTGGGACATCTCGTGACACAGGGCTGGCCTTGCTCTGCTTTCCATCCCTCAGGTCGCCATCTTAGGATAGACTTCCCGCGCTGGGCAGGAGAAATGGGTCTCCTAAGTCGTGGCGGGGGGAGGGGGGTCTTTCTTCTTTAGACTCTGGATGACACTTCCTGCCCCCCTTCTTGGGCCGAGTGGAAGGAGGAATATCCCGGAGGGTGGAGACCGCCCTGTTTTTTTCTTTTGCCATTGAACCCCAGTGTGACTCGGGCACGAGGCTGCCTTTCTCTGCCGAAGGACAGAAAGGTTCAGTGACTGGCCTAGGGTCACACGGCCCTGCGTCCCAGCCCACCAGCCTTAGCTAATTGTCAGGGTGGGATGGGGGACACTGGGTCTCCCATCAGAGCCCGGGGGCTTACGCTGTAGGAGAAACCCAAGCAGGACTTCCCAGCTGGCTGTCCCCTACCTCCCCTGCATGCGGCATGTTGGGCTGGATGTGGTTGATAGCGACCCTGCTCACACCAGGCCGCGTCCCAGCCTCAGCTCCTGGTTGGGTTCGGGGGAGTGAGGAAGGGTATGGGGGCGCGGGTGGGGTCTTGGGGAGCTGGGGCAGGGCGCGGGCTCTGGGGTTCAGCCGTCCTCACCCCACTCCCCCGCTGACTGGTGCCCCCTCCCTCCCCTGCTGCCCGGTCCTGTCGTGGTCTCCGAAGCTCTGGAATGATGAGGTGGACAAGGTGAGTCTGGACTCGGGAGGCAGCCGTGGGTGGGGAGCCTCGGGTGGGGGTAGGGTGGGGGTCAGATTGGTTTCCGGTTCTGGGCTCTGCTGCTGTCGGGAGTATTACTTGCTCTCTCTGGGCACACTGCCCCCACAGTTCCTCTGAGCACACAGGGGAATGGCGGGGTCAGATGGCTAGGGACAGAGTGTCACAGCAAGGTTGTGGCAGGGCACCCATGGGTCCGTCTTTGGCTTCTTGTGACGGAATAGGTCCTGAGGGGTCCCAGCAAGGGGGCAGGGCTCCAGGCCTGAAGTCAGGGGTGCACGGTGAGAAGTACACTCCTGCCACCAAGATCTCTGTCCGCGTCCCCAGGGGGATGTGTCCTCTGCACCCAGAGTAGGAGAGGAGGCTGCTCCAGGGCGGACCACAGATGGGAGGGAAGGTGGGGCCCACTGTTGCTGTCAGCCGCCGTCCCACTCTGCCTTTCCCAGGCCGAGCAGGAGCTCCGAGTGGCCCAGACGGAGTTTGACCGGCAGGCTGAGGTGACCCGACTCCTGCTGGAGGGAATCAGCAGCACTCACGTGAGTCCTGTGCTGCCCCTCCGTCACCCACCATCTTCCTGGCCCCACCCTGGGCCCCCCACTGAACTCCTCCACAAGGAGGCAGACCATGAGCTTGGTTCTCAGAAGCAGGGGGCGAGGAGCAGTGCTTGAGCCCAGGGTCCTCAGGGTGGAACTTAGCTTTGGTCCCAGTGCCAAAGGCTGGGCAGCCCTTGGGGCCAAGGACTGAGTGCTAAAGCCGGGGTCTGCAGTCAGGCAGGAGACAGGGAGCGTCTGGTCGGCTAGGACGCCTCCCAAGCCAGCACCGCTCTCCCCGCACTGCCCCCCCTCCGCAGGTGAACCATCTTCGCTGCCTCCATGAGTTCGTGGAGTCCCAGACAACTTACTACGCACAGTGCTACCGCCACATGCTGGACTTACAGAAGCAGCTGGGCAGGTGCCCGCTGGGGTCCCCTGGCTCCCAGGCCCCACAAGCAGCGCATCCCCTTCTCCCCCTGGGGCAAAGACCTTCTCCCTAGGCTCAGCAAGTCCCCAGACTCCCAGGGCAGGTTAGAGGGCCCCTGACCAAGCCCTCTGTCAGGGGCATCACAGGCCTGTCTGGGTGACAGGGAGGTGTCTGACCTGGGTGGGAGGATGGCAGGGGCGGGGAGGCGCGGCTCACGATTCCCTTCGCCTTGCTTTTCCCTTCATGCGGCCAGCTCCCAGGGAGCCATGTAAGTAGCTGGGGTCCCCTTGCCTCTGTGGCAGTGGGCCCAGGTGTTTGGCTCAACACGTGGGACTACCATGGGGACACAGCTCCCAGCTGAGATGTCACCCTCTCCAGATTCCCAGGCACCTTCGTGGGCACCACGGAGCCCGCCTCCCCGCCCCTCAGCAGCACCTCGCCCACCACCGCTGCAGCCACTATGCCCGTGGGCTCCTCTGTGGCTGGCCTGGCCCCTCCAGGAGAGGCCGCTCTCCGCCTAGAGGAGGTGGCCCCCCCCGCCAGCGGGACCCGGAAGGCCCGGGTCCTCTACGACTACGAGGCGGCCGACAGCAGCGAGCTGGCCCTGCTGGCTGATGAGGTGGGCCTGGTGCCGCAGGGGTGGTGGCCAAGGCCGGGCTCAGGAGCGCCAGGGAACTGGAATGGGGAGCCCCCCCCCCACTGCCTTCAAGTCTCTGAGGGGCCCTGGGGGGCGGCGGGGGCTGGGGGGTGAGTGGAGGCAGCTGCAGCCCTGAGGAAGCCGTCTCTGCCTAGAGCAGGTGAGGAGGCAGATGCCTGCCTCTGGAGGTGCAGATGCGCGGGTCTCGTGGGGCCCTGACAGCCCCGTCGCCACGCCGTCCTGCCCCGGCTGGGGTATGACCACCCCTCTCTGCCCTCCTCTTCAGCTCATCACCGTCTACAGCCTGCCCGGCATGGACCCGGACTGGCTCGTTGGCGAGAGAGGCAACAAGAAGGGCAAGGTCCCGGTCACCTACTTGGAACTGCTCAGCTAAGCTGGCCCCCTCCAGGCCCCTGCCCACCCTGGCCTGGGCGGGAGAAGACAGGAGGCAGCCCTGCCAGTTGTTTGCTGGTGACTCAGCTGCTCAGGGTGGGGAGACTGGCCCCATTCTGTCCGTGCCCCCAGTCGTCCAGCTGTGAGGGGGGGCCCCTCCCCCAGCCCTGCTTCTGGAGCCCCCCACCCCGCCTGCATCCCCCAAGCACCCCAGCTCCCCAGCCCTCCTGGCTCGGGCTAAGGAGGGTGGAGGGACTGGCCACAATGCTGCCCTAGGCACCCCAGCCCCTGCGGGAAGCCTGGGGTGTGCCCTTGGCCAGAGAGCACCTGCCTTTTGGTTGCCAAAAGCAGCAAGTTGGGGGGGGGGGCAGGCAGGTGTGCAGCAGGGCTGGGGCCCAGGTGGCAGAGGGGCGCCGGGCCGACTGGTGTCTCCCAGGTGCTGCCCTCCCCTCCCGCGCAGACTGCTCATGCCGAATTCTGTGGCTCAGCCTGCACCTCTCCACACTCACTTTTTAATGGATCTTTTTACTCTGCCTGTCTGCTTGCTCTCTAGCCAGTGACAAATAATAAACTGTCCTTCACGTGCATGTCGCCTCGGCTCCTGTTGGGCTGTGGGCCCCTCCGGGGCTGGCCCTGAGGGTGGGCAAGGGAAACCTTCGCAGGGTGGCTTCCTGCTCCCTCCTTCCCGGGCCGTCCTTCCTCCCACAGGGCGCGTGTGGCTCCGGGGACAGCCCTGTTCCTGCACATGAGGCCGCGGAGACCTTTTGTTCCTAAGAGAAACTTGCCTAGATGGGGTCCGAGCGGAGCAGACAGTACTGTGCGTGAGGGTTTTCAGCTGCTGACCTGTGGCCGGTCTGCGTGTGCTCAGGCCGTCCTCACAGATGAGGGAAGAGAACAGAGTCACCTCCTCAAGCTTCCATAACGGGCAAGTGGCCGCGCAGGGACTCTAGCCCAGGTCAGTCTGGTTCTAGAAACTTCAGGTGAAGGCCCCTCGCCAGGCCCTGCTCTCTGGTGAGGAGGTCCTGCTCCCAAGGAGGGGCAGGGAGGGAGGCAGGGGCGCGGAGCTGTAAATAGGACTGGGACTTCAGGAGAGGCCACACCCCGTGAGCAGCTCGCCAGCCGGTAAATGCAGTGAGGTAGGGGTGAGGGGACGAGAGCCGGGCGAGCCAGGGAAGGGAGAATTCGTGTCCACCTGGTCAGCCGCAGCAAATACTCTGCTTTCCCCAAACCTCCGCTCCACTCCTGGGCACCTGGCTGGGGACGACGTGCTTAGCGCTGAGAGCTCGATGCTCACCCCCAGGTCCTGAAGACACCACCCATTTATCTATAAACAGTCTTTTAATATTTGTATAAATAGACCACAGTATTACCAAAAACTACAAGAACAGAGCATGGAAAACCTCTTCAGACCCGGGCACACAGCCTCTCTCGGCCACACGTGACGCTGGCTCCCGGCCTCCGCTGGGCCGGGAGCAGTGCAGTGGGGAATGCTTCTTGAGGGAAGGAGCACACCCCTGGGACATTTTGGACTTGAGGGCGCCAAGTGCAGCAGACTCGTGGCTCCCACCTGGCTGTGGACCTCTTGATCTATTATAAAAATAATGCCAGTGGGTGGCCGGCTGGAGTCGGGGCTGCGGGCAGGAGAGAGGTGCTGCTCTCAGTCCCACGCGGGCCGTCCGGCCGGCCAGCAGCACCCCTGCTGCCCGGGGCCATGCAAGCTGGCGGGGGGCGGGGGGGGGGAGGGCGCCGCCCTATCTTTGCACGTGCCGCACAAAGGCCTGCACTAGCTGGATCAGAGGCTCCTGGCTCTCCGGGCTGGCCTTGGAGAGAGAAGTGGACTTGCCCTGAGGTGAGGGGAGAACGCCCGCAGCAGGGGAGCTGGGCGCCCCCCGGCGGAAGTAGCGGGAGAGGCTGGAGAGCAGCGTGCTCTAGGAGAGAAAGGTACTAGATGAGGCCTGGAGCCCTGGGCCCTCGCCGGCCTTGGGAGGTGGGGGGCCGGGTGGGACCCCACAGGCTCGTCCCCATCAGCCGCCCCCCTTCTAGTCCGAGCCCGCTGTCCATACCAACTCTGAGCTGAGCTCCTGCTTCATCCGCTGTTTGTCCCGGGGATGCACAGCTGGGTCCCTAAGGTAGCGCACGGCCTGGGAGATGAGCAGGTAGAAGCAGTTCTCCATGGTGAACATCAGCAGGGACCTGCGGAGAGGTCAGGGCGGCTCTGGTGCGGGGAGCCAAGCCGGCCGGCAGGAGGCACAGCGCCAAGCCAACAGGACGGCTGACCCACGGGGGCCCTGACCCCAGCTCAAATTCTAGAAGGAGGACTTTTCTTACTTCAGCGTCCTGGTCCCTTCTGCCTGGGTGCTGAGCCCCACAGCCTGGGTGAGGGGCTCCTTTTTCTTGTCCAGCTGTGGGAAGAGAAATGGGGTAAAAAATAAGAAGGTAACGGTAACAGGTGGGACTCCCTGTGAGCCTCCCACCCGCAGGCCGTGCACGGAGCAGCTGTCCGCTACTTCACTCGGGCCTCACGATAACCCTCCCGGGGAGGCTCTCACACAGTCGGGAAGAGGAACAGACTCGGGAGGGCTGAGAATGTGCTCGAGGCCACAGTTAGGTGGCGGGAGACCAGGAGGAAGACTGGAATGTTGAGGGGCCAGAGTGTGACAACCCCCAGCTTACCTCTCCAAGCATGTTGAGGGCCACATTCACTGTAGCCAGAAGGGTCCCGAAGGAGGGGGCCACTTCAGAGTCAAAGGTGGGAGTGGTAAAGCTCAGGGCAAAGAGGAAGTTGTATTCAGCAAGGTCCAGGGACTGCAAAGCAAGACAGGAGTGATGTGGAGCCCCAGGAGGGCCCGGGGCACAGGAGAGCCTGGGCAGCTCACCGCGGGCACTCGGGGCAGCCAGCACTCGGGCGGGCCAGTACCTGATCCAGCAGAATCTGGCAGACGTCTGGGGTGAAGTGGCGCAGGGCCGCCAGGGTCCTGCTGAGGATCTTGAGGAGCCCGTACTGGACGGTGTGTAAGGCTCGCTGCTCCGATGCCTCCGTGTCCGCTGTGGGCTGCTTGGAGGAGGAGCAGGAGGGGGGCGTGGGAGCAGTAGCAGGTAGCCGCTGAACTCGGGGGGGCAACAGCCGAGGGGATGCCATCCCCATTTTTGTTCTGAGGGAGACAAGAAACGGAGGTGGACTCCCGAGACACCAGGCCGCGGCCCCGCGGGCAGCCAGGTGGGGGGCACTCACCTGTAAGCAGTGCTGCAGCATCTTGCGGCTGTGCAGGAGGGACGTGCAGGCCTGGCACAGGTAGCCCAGGCTCACCTGCAGGGGACATGGGGCCAAGGTGGGGGGGTGGGGGCTCTCAGCAGCAGCCTGACCGAGCGGGACCCCCAGAGCTCCCCCCCGAGCCCCCTGAGTCCTCCATCGCTGAGCTCCCATGGGGCTCACCTCCCATGTTCTCGGGCTGCAGATTACTGCCGCTAAGGACGCCTGCCTACGAACTAGGGCAAGAGGGGCCCGGGAGGTTTCCCTGGCACCTAGCTCAAGACCTAGCACATACGACGGGTCCTAAGTAAAGAAGTGAGATGGGGAGGGGCTCCCGGGTGCCTGTCCGTAGGTGCTCTTGACCTTGGGGTCATGATGAGTTCAAGCCCCACATTGGGTATAGATATTGCTTAAACTTTTTTTAAAAAAGAAAGACGATGGGGATCATTTTCCCATTTTATAGACGAAAAAGGCTCAGAGACCCTGAAGTGACCTAACCAAGGTCAGAAAAATGAGACACCTATCTGACTCTGGGACCCATTCTTTCCCTACCTCCCTTACCCCCACCCTGCCGGCCCATCCCTAAGGGATGTGAACCAACATCTCCAGCTGAGCCCAAGTTCTTAAGCTACAAGGCTGTCCTTTACTACGGAAAGAAAGCGTCAGCCTCAGAGAAAGCTACATGAGGAAAGCAAAGCCTGTATTCGCTGGGCAAGATGCCCACGTTCCAGGAACAGGCCTGCAGTTCACCAGAAGGGCGCTAGACAGTGCCCACCACCCCACACACAAGCACATCCCCAGACTCCGACCCGAGGAACCCTGTCCAGGGCCCCACCTGGACATCCCGCATCAGCTGAGGCAGGTGGAAGTGCCATTCCTTCATGAAGTTGGAGAGCTGCAGAATGAAGCCCACCGTGTGGTCGGCCTCCTCCAAGCAGGCCAGACTCTGCACGGTCCTCACTGCACTGAGGCACTGGGAGGGAAGACGGGAGGACAGGCTCAATGGGGGACCTGACCCACCTGCTTTTGCCCTTCGGCTGGGAAGACCGCTCCTGAGCCCACAAACGCAGAGGTGATGGCATAATGGGTACCTTGGCTTAGAAGTTTCTGAGTGGTCCAGAATGGCCCGGACGCCTCATTACCGTCAGCCCCCACCCGTATGATGTTGGCAGCCCCTCACCTGTAAGGTCCGCTCCTGGTGAACCCCCACGAAGTCCAGGGCCTCGGTCAGGAAGTTGTAGCGCAGAGTTTTGAGAAGCCGCTCCATCAGAGACATGGAGAGGCGGTAGACCCCAGGCCACGAGGGGGCATCCACGGACTTCCGAGAGGTGCTCGGTGTCTAAGACACAAAGAGCAGACAAGACCAGGACACACACCGATGACTCCAGCTGAGGAGCGCAGCAGGGCCTCCTTATAACACAGCAGCGAAGGCAGCCAGGCTGCTTGGAGGAAAAAAGCCCGGAATGCCCATGGCCACGGCCTGGTGACCAGCAGGGCCTGAGGGGTCCCAGGCCCATGGTTACACGGCAAGAGCACTCAGCGGAGATTTAAGAATCCTGGGTTCTAGACTCAGGTCAGCCACTAACTACCTATGTGAGCTTCTCGTGCTAGTACTTGGGGCGGGGACGGGGAGGAGTCCACACCATCTGGGCATCACATGAGGCTCTGAAGAGCAGTTTCCTGGGTGAGTATGAGATCAAAGACAGGGAGGCTTTTCCGCTGCAGCCACAGTCCGGCGGCAGCCCAGGCCTCCGGCAGGCCCCAGCACTCACCTGCACCGTCCCATTGGAGCTAAGCTGGTACACGCTCAGTAAGGGCAGACAAATGCTCTGGGTGATGCCAGCTCCAGCCACTGCTGTGGCTCCCTGAGAGGGAAAGGATAGGAATAAGCTGGGACCTCCCCAGCCCCATCACTCCTGGGACCTGTCCCCTGCAGCCACCCTGCCCAGGGACAGCTGGCACTCTCGGGCAGACCAGAGCTTCCAGGCAGGGCTGCAAGCCGCGCAGCACAAGCGAGAGGCTACCCTCTGCCTGGGGCTCGTGTCCTACCTGCTGAGTGCGAGCCAGCGTGAGGAGCAGGTGCAGCGAGGCCTCGGTGAAATGCAGGTTCTGCTTCATGCGCAGGCTCACCTCCAGAGTGGTCAAGAGGGTGGGCAGGATGGGGAGCCTGCGGGTCA